TTGCCGAGTTTTAAAGTGGTTTCAGAGATTGTTGGATACTTTTTGATACCTTTTATGGTATTTGGAAAATTTTAGAGCTCGTGGGAAAAAGATGTATTTGAGCCGAAAAATCCCGCTCAAGACCACCAAATTTCTTTTTAGCAGCAAATTAAAGCTTGATTTCTTGCTTTCTGGTTCCTTTTTCTAGACCTTAGCAGGTCCATATGACTTTTAAAGCCATTATTATTCACAGATTTGAAACTCTGCTGATCCCGCGATGACTTAGGAATGATTCACGTGGCTGACGAATGGCCTCATGTCATTCGAAAAGAGCGATAAGAACGCTCTTTCTCAGCGAGAGAGAGGGCCACAGAGTGGGATGACCAACATAAATTTAGCCCTCACGTGTTCTCGGACACAAGATGCAGGCTAGTTTGAGGAATGATTTCGGGCACCGAAACACCTCTCAATCACATGGTAGCGATACTTTGCACCCTGGAAAGTCTGAAACCGACCAGTTCGAGGGGTGAGTGTAAAGAACGCCTCCGGCGTTCTTGTCTAAAGTTGCATTCTTTGAGTCCTGCTCCAAACTTTGAGTGAAAATAACGCTTTTTTGGAAGAGAAATTTTTTATCTTGCAATTTATGGAGATCAAATTGTTTTTCAAGGCGCTGAGGCCATGATGAAAAAATTTTAAGCCTTGAGTGGAACTTTGGTGGCCATCAAAGTTCGCAATTTATTAATTTTGCACAAAAGTTACATTGCTTTAGATCCAGATGAAGGGAAAACATTCTTCATGTCCGAAGAGGTTACACAATGTAATAGTTTGGAATTACAAATGACCTAGGCGTGATTTTTAGACCAAAAAACCCTATAGACGATAAAGATATTTCTTAAAAATTTTATTTTTGGCAAGTTCTACTATAATCATATTTTAATAAAAGTTTCAACGCCCGTAGAGCATAAAAACCACCACAATTTTCTCAAGGTCTCAACTGACCGCCCAAAATTCTGGTCTGTGATTGCGCAATTCTTTTTTTCAACGCTTTTTGAGCTCTGGGCTAAAAGCAGCCCTCGGATCAACACGATCAATCAAAACATAATAAAAACACAGCTTCAAGGTGTTTCCATACGATTCTATAAATGAAATTTGGGGTAGAGGGAAATTTCGATGATCAAAAAACTTTCTACAAAGTCAAAAGTCTGCTTTTTCACTTCGAAATTGAAGACAACATAAACAAAAACTAGCGAAAAAAGTGTGTGTGTTTACGTGTTCGAGGCTCAAAAACCAAGAGTGAAACATATGATGAGTACAGATGACTAAGCCTTTCTTATAACGAAATTTTACTTGGAGGTCAGATTCCAAGAGTTCAAGTGACCTGGGGATGTTTCAGGTCATGAATAATATAATTTTGGACGTAAAAACGTTATTGTTTAACTTCAAATTGAAAAGACTGACTTTGAAAGGGCTATTCAAACCCTTTTGTATTCCCAAAGTGGCTCATAAATTTTGAGATTTTGTGAATTTCCACAATTTCTGATGATTTTTCGTCTATCGACCATAAAGCCGCCGGATATGCCTTAAGGCAATAAAATTTGCATTTAAAAGGACGCCCATTCAAGTTGGAGTTCTCTGTTTTTGTTGCTTTACCCCGTTGTTATTCAATTTTCCCATATTTTGCCCTATAGGGCACCAAGTGCTCTAAACTACATTATCCCAGGACATCCTGAGTCCAACCGAACCTCTTCTTTGTCACTATATGCTCGCTGAGCGACCAAACCTCAAACTCTTCGTTCCAAACAGTTCAAAATTCCATTCTTTACAACCCCCGTTACTCCCGCTAGAGTTACTCAATAAGTTTGGGCTGTAACTCGGAGAGAAAACCCCTTGTTTTGACGCCCTTATCTGATCGCCGCCTCAATTTGAATAATCGAATGTGACAGTGGAAACATCGACTTGGCTTCAAATCGATTAAAAACTCTCATTAAACGGGGGATTTGCTGCATAATTTCAAATCAAAAAATTCAATCGGACAGGAAAAAAAAGTGATTTGAGAAGGAATATTCAATTTTTTGTTACAAAAATGATTGATGGATTACACAAACAGGCACTTTTCAGCTGAATTTCTGCCATTTCAATTCGATTTTTCGTTGAAAAAAGAAGGGTAGTACTGTAAACTGCTTAGTCAACTACGTAGAACGAATTTTGGTTTCTTGCCCTGAGGGCGTTAGAAGCAATTTTAAGCCAAAAAACATTGAAAAAATGGAAAAATATAAGATTTTGGATGAAATTTAAACATTTTTAATGAAAATTGAGAGAAATCGACGTAATCTTCAATTACTCTGAAGATTACTTCGATTTCTAACAATTTTCAGGCCTTTTCAGGCTCTTTTACTACTCTATTATTACTTTCTACCCAAAAATCTCAAAAAATTATTTAAAACAAGGTCAATTTGCCTAAAGCAAGATCAAAACTACTAGTTTGGAAATCAGAAAGTACTCTGGGCTTTCTGTTATTCCCGCTGATTCTATCTTTCAGGTCTGAAACACCAAAAACCTTGGTCAAAACTAGTATTGTCAATAAATAGTAACGTCAATATTTACTGTGATAAAAATTGATTTCGCCTCTCGCGATTACGAAAGATTTTTTTGCGATTTCTGAGCTCCTGAGAGAACAATAACAACAAAACGCAAGAGGAGCGAGGGAACGAACGGTGAGCGGCCGTTCCGCGTACGAAGAGCCACCGAAAAACCTCAAAAAAGAAACGAAAAATTTGTTTGATGGCGAAATTTTATTGCAATCTGGGTGCAAGGCACCCTAAGACACTAGATTTGTGGGGTTTATGGGACTTTGAGGAGGTCAATGGGGAGAGAAATGGTAATTTAGTCTATTTGATACCTAAAATATTATAGATAACGTAAAAATGGGTAGCAGAGGAAATGGTTTTAAAAAACTGTCAAATTGTTTGAAGAGGCATTTACAAGCTGCTTATATGAGTTTTACACCTTTCTGAACGGACTAAAAACATTATTTTAGACAGCTTTTACCCAAAATTTCATGGATAATATAAAAAATAGCTGGGAAAGGGTTCAAAATGGTCAAAAATATGAGAAACTACTGGAAAATAGTGTAGTAAATTTGTTCAAGGCTTTACGTTTTTTCTAGGCACAAAAAACATTAATTTAGACATTTTGTACCTAAAATCTGATGTATGACAAAAAAAAGCTTACTAACCAAACAAAATGGTTACTAGAATCTTCTCGGGGCTAGTTGGAAGACTACACCTCCTGAAACGAACAAAAAACAATAAAATGAGTCGACTTTTGAGTCCGAAACGTCATAGGTAATGTGAAGAAGAACGCAAGCCCGAACTAGAAACCACAAATAAGTCATAAAATCAACGTTCGTAATGAGAACAAAGCAAATTTGGGCTCATCGAGCTCTCCGAGACCAATCGCAAGACCTCCACTCCCCCAACTTGTGCTTTATAGTTAGCGAAATCATTGCCCGAGGCGTTGATTTTTGGTTTTGCGGCGATATTTTCCGGAGTCACAACTCAAAGAAGTCACAAGTTCAATTTATGGCTTCTTATAAACACAACAACAGCGGGACATACCAGACATCACAAAGTTACGATCAAATTCATATTCCCCATGGGATGTGGGGGCAAAAAGCGGGATTAAATTTGTGAAAAACTTGGGGAAATCCGATTTCATGACGGCTCAGACAACGGAAACGGGTTTAGGAATGCACCGCGAAAAAGAGAATTCACGAAAAAGAGAGGGGAAAAAGAAATGGCGCCCGCTTTTCCGTCCCTTGCACCGCCAGACGGCTCCTCTCTCTTTTTCGTGTCGCTTTTTTTGCTCTTCGGACCCGGCTCGCCGAGAATTTTGCACTCAGTAATTGTTTGTGGGATCTCCGGTCGTCTGCGAAAGCTGTCAACCATTTTTGTTTACTCGACAGTACTGTCTAAGGACACAAATTTGTTTTTGTCATCAGAAAAGCGGAAATTTGAGATTTTATCAAAAATTACGATTTTTCGAAGGAAAAATCTCTGAATCGAGTAGAACACAGTACGACGATGACAGTACACACCGTATTTTACTTGAACCTTATCTTCAACGTTATTAATTTTTACTTTATTTGCCAAAAATCATCTATTTCGCCAAGTTCCATCCAAACTATTGTCGATTCCGTAGTCATAACGCATTCTGTAGCTTGTAAATTGTGGCTTTGATGGTTGTAGTTACTTTTCAAAGCGTTACCAAGGATTTCGCAACGTTTTCTCCCATTGTTTACCCGTAAAGTTGCATTTTTTGCATGTTTTATCGCATTCTAGCCCGAAATCTTCCATTGATGTTTGTCCGGCGATTCCCGATCTTAAGCTACAGTAAATCCCTTAAAATTATTGTTTACGTCTTGTCAATGTGGAGAATCCCTTGGCCACGGTTCTTTGCCCATATTTGGGGACTATTTTCACCGCAGTAAACTTTATACCCGAGCGTCTAGTCAACAACCCGTCTCCTTCCGACGTCTAGCCAAATCGCTCGCGAAAACTGGTCTTGGGTTTACTCGCAAAAAGTGGGTCGCGTCCTGGCACGCCCCTCGCCATCGTTCTCTTTGCTCCCCCCATGTTGTTCGGGGGAGACGGGGCGGGGCCGTCTGCTCGGGTCAGTGGGAGTGTTCTCTGCGGAAGAAAGGGGTATATAAGCGGCGGCACGTCCGAACGCTTTCCACATTCGTTTTTGGTCGTACTTCTATTGGAGGGGAGGAGGCTTTTGGAGGCATTTCGGAAGGGCATGAGATCAGACATCAGTGCTGATATTACTTTATCCATGTCGTTTTGATAGTTTAGTGTGGGGTGGGTGCAAGTACAGTAAAACTTGATTTTTGTTGTCTTAACCACGTTTATGTGATTCGAGAAGCTTTGCCGCGCCTTCTGACCACGTTTACTCGCAATCAAATGGCTGATTAGTAATCAATTCCTCTTGCAGAATTCAAAATACACCCAAAAACGAAAATGTTCATGGTTTCTGCGCCATCCTCGATTCAACACGCCTTCTGCGGCCAACAGGCGACCACTTCCCGCCAGCAGTTCGCCAACGAGTGCGACGAACTCGCAGCTCATGTTCAGCCGAAGATTTCGGCTGTGGGCCAGTTCGCGGCCAGCGGATTGGGCGGTCTTCGCCGTACCGTCAGCTCTCTTCAGTCCGCCAAACCGTGCCTGTTGAGCGACATGGACAACGACTGCGTTGTCGAGGCCAAACAGGTTGAAATGGACTTTGCCACACTCACCAACCAAGCCTTCTTCTTGAGAGTTCGCGCTCCCAACGGCGAAGTCTCGGACCGATTGAGTTTCCCCGGCTATGGCGAAACCCATCACTTCTCGCCCGTCCAGAACGGCTGCGGCCACGGCGACTGGGAGTTCATCGTGGAGAAGAAGGTGGAAAAGAAGGTTGTGGTCGTCAACAGAGAGAAAATCTACCTGGACGGTGTTGGCACCTTGTTCTTTACCATCAACGACAACTTGAAGGTCAAGCTGGCTTCTCAAGAATTCCTCCGTTTGCCATCGGCTTCGCAATGTTGCAGCAAGGTCGGAAGGAAGTCCAACTAAACTTCTGTAACTTATTTGGTTCCTTTGCTATTTTCAAGTTACCTTTTCACATTTCTTCTTATCATTTTTGTACATTCCAACACTCGTCCACTCAGATATTTGTCATCATATTTTGTGCCTTACATAGTGTCTTTTAATATCTCAAAAACATCATTCTATAGTTGTCATATATTCCTTCATTTTCTAAACTGTTGTATAAGACTACTTTTTGGAATTTTCAAATAGTTTCATCGTATTTTATAAGCTCTTTTCTCACCACAGACGCGATTAACGCGACCCATCCGATTCGATTCAGCCTTTCTTTTCGCCGATTATTGTAAGTAATTTGTGTTGCCTACCGATGATCTTTCCCCCACAGCTCTCTTAGTTTTATTGTCAGCTTTAAATTTGAGTGCTCAATTTTTACATTCAATATCAACCATTGCGAATACGTGTAAATAAATATTAATATTATAAAACAACTCGGATTTTGGTTGCATTTTCGGGGAAATTGAAGGGGAAATGGATGAATTCAAATTGTTTGGAGTCCGGCAGAGCCGTTGAGCAGCTTTGTTTCAATTTTTCCAAGGATGAGGACCTTGTAAATAGACCTTCTTTGAAGCACCTTATTTTAGTTGATGCTTTGGTAAAGCATGCTTTTTTGGCTGTTGCTTTGTTGCTGGGCATTCTCAAATTATTTCAGCGGGCCTGCAAGGCGATATTTCAGCATAGCCGACCTTGTTTTAGACAACGTTTCAGTATTAATTGACCAATTTAGTTGCTTTCACTGAAAAATCAAACGCTTTTTTTCAAATTTTGGTTTTTAGTAGAGCTTCTTTTTTACCAAATTCTCTTCTGTCAACCGTATTTTAAGACTGGTTGTATTTTAGGCAACGTATTGTAGTTTGTTTTACAAAAAATCGACGTAATTTTGGTCCAGTGGACGAAAATCTTACAGGAAATCTGTTGATGCCCTTATTAGCCCTTACGATTTGGATTACAAAATCCGATAGTGCATTAAAAATCCGTATTTCCACATCCTCCCATATTGTAAAAGGTAAACTGGTAAGCTTAAGATTTCTGTAGTTTATGAGGTTTCTGCGGGATTTCAAAACTAAATATGTTTACAAAACAAGGCAAAGACTAGAGGAACTTTGACCAAACACCGGGAAGAAAAAGAAAAGGTGGTCTCTCGGCTTTGGAACTTACTAGAATGTAGTGTTGTAAAAGTTCGGAAACTTCTGCAACTTTTTATATTTTTAAAATACGATCTGGAAAAAAGGACAATTTTTAGGAAGTTCCCAAAGTGCGACCTTTTGATTTTTTTTCAAATTTTGTACACGGCTTGTATCTATTTGATCGCGATTAATTTTTTCAAATTTTAGCTCGCGCTTTGCAAAGCCTCAAATTATCCAACTATCTTTGTCGGCGAGAGAGCAGGCAAGATGCGGAGAGCGGAAACAGAGAAAAAAGTTTTTTGGGCCATGCGTGTTTTTGTGGAAATTTTGCGATCTTTGGAAGAAATGCAACACATAAAGCACTGTTTAGGCCAAAACTCAATTAATTTCAATCGAAAAATCGAATTTCTTCTACGATTTCTGCTAAAACTCTGATATTTGTTGATTGATATAGTCCAAATTTGAACCAAATTTCTTAAAAATCTGAGCGTCACACATCCACTCTTCTCGTTATCCCAAAATTGCAATAAATGTTGATCTTTTCAATTCCAAAATCGCAAAAACAATACATTTCGGGGCCAATAAGACTTTGAACTCTGACAAATGTCGCAGCAACAATTCCCTGACGTCAATTAGGATCCGTCAGCAAATATGTTCAAAACAAAAATTAATGAGATCATATTTGAATAGGAAGAGGAAGAAATGATGAATAAAGACGTCATGGATAAAGCAATGTGTTTTAGATGAGGTCAGCTGAATAAACGGGCTCAATTGAAAGGTCAGTTGAATGAAAATCATGACATGAAGGAACTATGTAGAGAGTAAAACACAGAAAAGAAATCTAGGCTAATAAGGGCAGGGCTGGACAACGGAAATTTTTGTGGCAAAGTTATTAAAAAAATCGTCACTTTTTGCGATTTTTGATATGATAAAGGTCAGAATTACTCCTTATTAGATAGGTGGATGCTTCCCCAAAGAAAAAAATTTCCCTGCAAAACTGGCAAAAACCGAGCCGAAATTTCATTGAGATAATATAGGCCTTATATACAGGATCACAACAAAATTTGGATAAGCCCCGAGCAATTTTCTTCAACTTCTGACCATATGAATTTTCTTTTAGCAACTCTCGATTTGAAACATTGTTTGTCGCTTTGCCCATTTTTGCTCCCCATTTTCTTTCCCCTGTAGCATACAGTATAACAAAGCTAAACCAGGCGTATTTTAATGCGCTTGACATGATGAAAACAAGTGATAAAGATCTGAAGAGTAGAGTCTTGTAGGTAAGGTACATTTGGTCATGTCATGAGAAAAAATGTTGCCTTTGACCTCTCCCAAACAGACCGTAACTTATTTATCAACAGTACTCTCGGCTTTTTCACCCATTCGAACCCTAGTTGAGACATTAGGAATCTTAATTTGAGTTGACATGGGTATCTCGGGGGACCCAAGAGACCGTTAAAATAAAGATGGAGAGACTGTAAAACAAATGCGAGCTAGAAATTTCAAGACAAAATGCGATTTAATCGCCGGAAATTTAACATTTTTTTGTGGTTTGGATATGGAGCAGTCTGGAAAACACTTTGAAACTTTCCAAGTTCAAAAACATAAATCGGCCGATCAATCTTTAGGCCGCCTCATGGCCGCACTTTTAATGCTGTTTGTTTATCTCCCTAGTACTAGACCCCAATGAATTATTTCTTAAAGTCCACAGCTGTTGTCTATAAATTCCACTGGATTTTGGAGGTTAGTCATACACATTGGACGTGAAATTGACCATGATTTTTTGAGGAAAGGAGAAAAAAAAAAAAGTCTTCAATAGACGTAGAAACGTCTATTAAAGAGTTATCGTCAAGTAAGTCGGTCAAGTTTTCGAAAAATTTTCAGAATTTTATTTGGTTGGTAAAAAAAGTGCTCTCCATAATTTCGGGAAAAGTTATGGAAGTTGTGGAACTTTCTAGAAAGTTCTATCATATGATTATATAAGGGCGATGTGATAACATGAAGGTTGATATGTAACTTGTCCTATAACGCTGACCAAACGTGGATAAACGTCCGTCCCAAATTTGCTTTATTTTAAGATTATCGCAAAGGAAAGAAAGCCACAGAAGCTACAACCGAAATCCAGAGTGTCAAGCAAGGATGCCCTCAAATTGTCATGCCATTAGTCATAAAAATATTGTATAGTGTTTATGATTTTGATGCTTTATGTTACCTACCTAAAATACGATCTGTAGCTGTAAAGTGTCCCCTGGGCCGTTTTATCGGTCAAATTGGGAAAAGTAGTACTGGACTGGTTCTAATCTTTACACGTTATAAAAGTTCTAATCTTTACACGTTATACCAAGAAATGAGGTATTATTTTCAGGGTTTGATGTATGACTCAATATTTACAAAAAATTTGACGTTCGCTTAGATTCAAATTGTATTTTCAAAAAACTCCTGCGATTCTGATATAAAATCTTTTGTTTCTGCAAATCGCCAGCTAGCAATCTCTTATACCACGTAGAAAATTCTCTAATCGCTTTTTAACAGCTATCCTTTTTCCCACAAAGACAATGTTTTACACCCAATACTTCATCGCTTAGCGAATTTAATCGCTTTAATTTTATTGCTCATGAAGAATTGAAAAGAATCCTCTGATTAACACCTTACATCATTCCTATCTTTTCCGTGTTCCTCTTTCTCATCTTTTGACGCAATAAAAACACAAAGACGGAATTCCTTTATCATTCATGGAATCATCATGTTTGGAGGAGGAAAGATGAAACGTGAAGGCCAAAGACCTTCGGCCCACGCATGTTGCAAAAAAGGACAATAGAAAATAAATTAGCCCCCATTTCTTGGTAATATAATATCTCTCTTGGAAGTCGCAAAATTTTCAAATTATCAAAAAACAAACTCTAGTCTTAAAAATTGTGTGGGAGTTTTCTATGGAAGTCACGGAGTGGAAAATTTGAATGGAAAATAAAATTCCTAAATTTACATTCAGTTGCGAATTAATATCATGAGGGTGTTGGTGGGGGTGAGAAAATGAATAGAAACGTGTTTACAAGTAGTGTTTTTGAGGATGATGTGTTACTAACAGCAAACAAGGGAGTCTTTGGCTTTAGGCAATGGCGCAATGGCTTAAACTTAACATTAGCAAGTTATATATTCGCTAACAAATAAGAGAATGGTCTGAAATTTCCCCAACGTTCAGGAAGATGACTATACTGTCGGACAAATCAGGTCAATTTTGATAAGAGTCATTTGTAGCTGCGAAACAAACCCGACCGACGAGAAAGATCCACCGAAATGACTATTTTTACCAAAGTCTTTATGAGCAAAAACCTCGTCTGGCCGACTCTCCTCGTTTTGCGCGGTCTCTTGAAGGACCCTCTTGATAACCCACAAAGGAAGTCACATTTTTTGCAGACGAACTTTAGAACAGGACCTAGTAGGTCTCAAACGTGAGGCATCTACGATCATGAAGCTGTTTTTCATATATGCTCAGGGGCTTCGAAAAATTAGAAAAATCGACCGCAAGGTTTAGCCGAAATGAGCGAATAGCCTGCTCAAAAGAAGCATTGTATCTTCCATTATCAGCTACAGCCGAAAAGTGGGAGATAAAACTTTCAACGATTATCATGTATCAAGTTCAGACCACAAACACAATTTCTTCTGCATCGAGAAAAAAGAGCAAAAATTCACACCAGAATTGCTAACAAAACTTCAATTTATTGCCAATTCTCCAGACAAAAAAAATCCATGGATTCTAAATATTTAATCCCAGAATAAACAGTCCAGAATCATCGAATATTCTCCCACTTGAACGTATAGCACGAAGAGAGCTGGCCACACATCATATCACATTCAAGCGTGCTGCACTCTAGACAACCTAATAAAGACAAATTCTAGAATATTAATCTTAATGTAATCGAAACTGTAGCAGAGAAAGCGAGTAAATAATTCAGTTACAATTCAGTTACTTTTTATTGATCTAATATTAGATTACTTGTTGAAAAACTTGAATGAATACAAGTGCAACAGCCAACTAATAATGAATGCTCTATTCTTTCCTATTCATAATGTATTTTTTTTTAGAAAGTATAGAAAGAATGATGTGATTTGATATTATTTTCATGTGGCTTTTATTATTTCGATGCTATTCTTGTATATTAGAGTGTCCTCATTAAGCTTCGAGAAAAGCAATTTAGCTCTCTTTTCTTTATAATCATTTCTGTGCCTGGAATCTCGGTAAGTCGCTGCATCACACATCTAAATATTGCCTTCAGAAAGATGAAAAACTAACTAGAAACAAAAATTATATTTTTTGATGGTAGACATTCATTATTTTTGTTTTTCATAACGTATCTTTTCACGAAAATGCGTGTTCAATACGTTTTACTACAAACTGATGCGGCTCCTCTTCTGCTTCCTTCTTCCCTTCTTCCGTCTTTAATTCCTCTTTTCCAACAAGTCCAAGTTCCCCAACGACAACACCAAACTCCGGTTTACTTGGATCGGGTTTGATTACGACCATAGCTTTTGTATTGTCGTGTGTTTGAAACCGTCTATTCTTATCTCAAAATTCAGTACAGCGCTCAAATTATGTTTTGCAAAAACCTTTGCGATTACATCATTAATAATCAATTTTGCTAACGTATTAATGCTCCTCCAGGTGAGATTGCACAAACGGAGTACTGTAAAGAAAATAGAAAGCCTTCAGATGTGCGCAATTTGAGCTTTTATTCTGCAGCCGGCCGTGACTCTGTCGCAGGTAAGATGACTGCGTTCATAACTCCGGTTCAGGGCCAGATTTAGAATTATTTAAAAAAATTTTTTTTTTAATGTTTCTAAATGATTTTCGTTTCATTTTCAGCACACCTTCATAAAACGAATCTTTAATGTCTACGTTACACTTCCATTTATCGTACCCTTCACTTGTATTCTAATACACCTACCCCCATGTCTAATTAAATATATTATCTACATTCCCGCCTCTGCGGGACGCCGTCTTCGGTAGGAACAGTAAGCGGTTCGTGTTCACAACGAGTGGTTGCCATTAATTTTTGAAACCTTTTTGGAATGGTTTGACAAGGCAAGTGCCTAAAGTACAACGCTTATTGTCTCGACCTTACAAACAGAGATTGCCACGGCTCCGAAGCCGGCTCTTGGTTGGGCTGAGCAGCTCCGGCTCCGAGCCGGGAGCCAGAGCCGGAGCCGGAAATTTTGGGTGCGGCTCCGGCTCCCGAGCCCAAAGTCGGAGCCAGGCTTCTCAGCGTTTGGAAAAGTAAAAATTTGGTGATGTTGTTAAACCAAATTGTTTGAAAAGTACTGGGGAGGATGTGTTGCGTATGACTTGGCTGCAAAAAGGTTGGCTGTATGATCTCTGGCGCTAATAATTTTTATTTTAAAAAAAATTAAAAAAAAAAATTTTTGCACGGAGCCGGTATTTGGAGCCGGAGACCTTTTTAAATTTTGCACGGAGCCGGGAGCCGGAGCCAAAATTTTGACCGTGGCAATCTCTGCTTACTAACATATAGGTTAGTAAGATATCAGTTCCAAATAATTTTAGCTTCTGTCCTATTGCAACAGCCAACGTATCTAAGCATGAGATCTGCATATTGAGCACCTCCTTGTTCAATATTTTTTCATTTACAGTCATCCCATTGCCAATTCTTGGCTATTTTCCGCGAAACTATAGTGCTCACCCCGACCCACGATACTGAGGAAATAAAAAAGCACCTGTAATTGGTTGGTCCACATCTACGCAGTGAAAAAACAGTTTTCATTTGGAGCTTTTCTGATGACTACGAATTCACAATGCTATGGTTTGAATGGGCTTTCACATTATTGGTCGGAATTCCAGTTTTTATCTTAAATTTGAGGATGATTTATGTGATCAACAAGTTCCGAGATCATCATTTCGCTTCGGTGTTCTATAAAATTCTGTTTGTTTCGGGAATAATGGTAAGTCCGCCTTAGGGCCTTTATATCTCGAGTATTTACAAGGGTGATGTCTTAACTGCAATGTTCAAAATTTTTTGAAACTTTGCATACATGACGTGAATGCAAAGTCTCGATTGTTGCTGTAAATCGTGATCCAGTAATTTAATTACATGCCTCAAGTTTCATCAAAATCTGAGCGTCGCATTCGGATCACTTCCCCTGTTAATCTGAATTTCAGGACGCCCTTGGCTACACAAATGCCATTCTGACTGGCCGTTTGCCCAATACCGACTTCTTTGTGGAATATCTTCTTGTCCCGTTGATGACGCCTACTTTTGCCTTATCACCCTTTAAATACCTCACAAATCATGCAATATTATGCGCACAAGTCACGCCCTTTTTACTGGCGGTGAATCGCTTGACCAGTCTGTTTACTCCACTGTATTATGAACGGGTAAGGAGATTGCTTAAAAAAGAGAGAAAATGAGATCACAAAAGCAAAGTTCTTGGCCGATATTTCATCCATAACGTGAAGAAACATTTTATTCACCACCTGTGGTAAAAATACCAAAACTTTGCAAGAAAAAACAGTTCCTGAGCACATGGCGAAATCTTTCACCGCTGGAAAAGGAAAGGTTGCCCTTATGAACACTGTAGGGAGAGAATGCATCAACAAACTACAAATATTATTGTACAGATAACCTAGCTCTTTTATATAAAAATTGACTTGAGTTACTTGGACGGTAGGGTTTTAAATTTCCCTCTGATTACGACCAATCTGAGAAGGTTCAGATCAGAAGACGGCAATTGGGGGAAGAGGGGACCTTGAGAAAAAAGTCATATCGTAACAGGGAACCAAGGCGGTTTTTTAAGGATGGTTTTTTTTGTTCTGTCAAAAAACTAATATGAGGGACCAAGGCGGCGGGCCAATTTGTCCACACATGAAAAAAGAATTCGTCAAAATCGGGGTTTTGTCAAAATCGGACTTTTTAAACTTAGGATCTAGACATGGCTCGTCGGCCGGCCCGGGCCGAAAATCTCGGCCCGGCCCGTCGGCCTGAAGGGTTCCGTGTTCCCTAGCTATCTATAAACAAAAATACCTTTAAAAAAACCAATTGTGTCTTCACATTTCGTTTATTTTCATTAGCCTTGTCTATTAGGATCTTCCTAATTTTTGGAACCCTTGTATTTTGAAGTATGGGCTTTTATAATCCGTAAAAATTTTAAAGAGCGGTCTATTTTCGTTTGAGAAAAATTCAATTTAATTTTTGTGCCCCAAGGGATAATTTTTGTTAAAATTTTTGGCCTAGTTTTAAGGCGGATCTTGATTATTTAGAGGTTCCCCCTTACCATGTCATGTTCTCTATGATCTCACTCTTCTCACACTCTGTCAGACTTCTCGTGGTGGCATCTACCAAACAAAGCCTGAGAAGGTCTACGAACCTTTGAAAACAAAATTACTTTTTCCACGGATCACACTCAAACCTCGGACCCGTTTAGATATGGAAACCCTACAAAATTATTATCGGAACGTTCTACTTTGTCCTTCCATTCGGACTATGCTGGTTTCTCCTCCTAAACCCGGCGGAATTCACATATGACGACACAAAGCAGTGGTTTACCTTTGTGGGCTTTGACTACGACCATCAGTTTAGTGTTGGCTACAGTACCTCAAACATGACTTTATATTTCACCATGTTCTTTGCGGTTACTTCTTTTTTGGTCAATGTTTTCAACGTTGGGTTGTTGGTGAAACTGCGGATGGAAAGACTGATCAATATCAGCCGAGAGAAGAGTCTGATGATCTGCACGTTTGTGGTGTTCATCGCGCAGACTACGGTGGTCATGGGCGAAGTGAGTTTGGAATTTTTTTCAAGAGCCTCAGGCAATTCAAATTTAAGATCCTTTTTTGTCATTTATCCGGGTTTTCAGTACTTTTTCGTCACAAAATTCTTCAATATCTACGTAACACTGCGTTTCCTCCTGCCGCCAATGTTCGAAATCATGTTCCTCTTTCCCTGCGTCATCTCAACTCTGACTGTACCTCCTCTGCGTTATGCTGTTCTTGGAAGAGAAGATATTGAACGAATCTTTACAATTACCATGCACCAGTAAGAGAATAAACTTTTTTTCTCTTTTTTTTGTATTTATTTTAAGAGAAGTTTAAAATTTTTTGTTACTGACATCGGTAATTGTTTAGAATTTTGGAAAACTGAAACTTAAATTTTTTTGGAACCAAATTTCAGGTTTCTCTGTGCGGAGTTTCGGGTCAACGACGGTTCGGTTCAAAGCAAAAGTGATCGGTATGAGACGTAAGTTTTGTTTGGATATTATTGCAGTATCAGTCCGTTCGTAAAGTCGCTGGAATTATTTCGGCGACGTGCACTGTGCAAGAAAACTCAGGGTGCGAGCGACAGCTCAAAAAAGCCTATTGCACTGTGCAAAAAGCCAAAAATTGCACAATGCAAAGTGAACTTTCGGTTTCGCGGAGTGCATGTCGCCGAAAACATTCCAGCGACTTTACGAACGGCCTAGTAAGATATGTAAAGCCCCTCAAAATAGATGAAGCTATCTTAAGGCCTCATCAATCTTACGACTTCCATTCCTAGATTTCCTTATACCTACAGCAACAAATTGAGACAACCCAAAACATAGTCGACCCGAACTGTCGTTGATGAAAAGTTGTTGCGCCTTTCTGCATAACGCGGTCAAAAAATCAAAAAATTTCAAAACGAGATTTTTTAAATTTCAACGTAAAACCTCTCTAATATTTCTGCACAACGCTGTCTCAAAATTTTTCAAAAATTCGTAGGAACTTCTGAACTCCATTATCGGGAAATTTTGCTTCAATCCAACTACATTTTCAATATGAAAACGGGACTTTTCAAAGTTCTAATCCTTTTTTTACCAAAAAAAAATTGTTTTTTCCCCGAATAATTTCTGATTCATATCATAATATCTGAAGAACCCCATTTTTACCACTTTGTTTATTACAGAACAGAAAACGCGACCTCGTTACGCAAAAATGTCAAATATAAACAAACAAATCAGGCGTCAATGGTTCACCAAGTCAGTGAGGGCCAACTACATGCCCCAGGCCGTCTTCTCCATGGCGTTCCGATGTCTCTGTAGGGCGGAATAAAAGAAGACCGCCACGATGCCACAAAGCAGGGCGCAGCCAGCGAAAAGGCCGGCGAAAATCGTCGAAGAGAGACAAAGTTTGGATTGGATTCGAGTGGTGGTGGAGGCGTGGAGAAGAGAGTCAGTTCCTAAAATCAGAAATGATGGTATTTGATCAGAATATTTCTAAAAATAATTAGTTTTTAATTTGCTCACTTTTATCTTCCTCATCAATTTCGATGACAACCAATTGTTGTTCCGGCAAATCAAAGTCCGCAACTTTGTTGGTTTCGTCTGAAAAAAAAACAATAATATAGTAAAATACGCTACATTCTTCTCATATCTCACCTCTTTTCACGACCTTCTTGTATCCAATTTTGGCTCCCCCTCCTCTTCTATTGCCCAATCCGGGAGTAAATCCTTGCGACGCGCCCATTGGTTTGTAGCCGGCGGGCGGAGAAACGCCGGGTGGTCCGCCTTGCACTCCACTGTAAGAGTACTCTTCGCTCGTGTATTCGCCGGCTGAAAGTGAAATTTTTCAGTCAGTAAGGAAGGGGTTTGCTAGATGGGCCAAAAAAGGCAATTTTTTTTTTTTGATTTGACACAGTGCAATCAAAAAAATTTTTCGCACGGTGCAAAAAAATCCATTTACTTTTTTTGCATGGTGCGATAAATTTTTCTCCGGATTATTTTGCACAGTGCACTTCATAAATTTATTTTTCGCACCGTGCAGTCGATTTTGTTACTTATTTCGCACGGTGCAGCTCGAGTTTTTATTTTGCACTGTGCAGTTTGAAATATTTTTTTGCACAGTGCGAAATTTTTTTTCTCGCATCGCTAAATTGACAAAGCGCAAAATTGTCGCTACCGCATCGCTAGTGACGCACAGTGCGACTTAAATTTTCTTTGCACAGTGCAATCGACAAATTTTACAAAGTTTTCTGATGCACAAGTCAAATTTTCCTTGCACAGTGCAATCGAAAAATTTTGTTCTTCGCACAGTGCAAACCCCAGATCCGCCTTTTCTTCGCACCGAGCGTCAAAAACCCCCGAAATTTTGTTTGGCCCATCTAGCATTACTTTGATTACAAAATTCATACAGTAACTGCTAGGTGTGACCTCCGTTTGAAGGAACATGCCTGCTTTTGGTGGGACGGGGACAGTCGTTGCTTGATAGCTGCCAAAGTTCGGGGAATTGGGCGTTGGTGGGCGGGGAAATTGTTCTGATGAAGATTCGAGAGAATTGCCGGAGGCGCCATAGCCTCCTCCTCCACCTTTGGAGTATCCGCCATACTCTCCGGCCGATTGACATTGAGGTTTCTTAAAACATTTCGATTTTTTCAGAAAAAAAATTTTCAGCCGAAAAATCTCGAATTTGCCTTGTAATTATAAAAAATGACTTACAGTATAAGCACAGCCAACATTCTTGTCTTTCAGCGCCAATTCGATTTGACAATTGAAGTGCAACGTGGGTTTGTCAGCAAACTTAAAAACGTATGCTGATTGCCCTGCGGCCAAGTCAGATTGATAATCCAAGTTCTGCAGGACGTATCCGTCAATTTCACAGCTAAAAATTTCATCTACAGTAAACGTAGAGCGACAAAAATAAATTCCACAACGGCGCCTTTTCTCCCCGCGCTCAAAAGGTTCAGAAAATTTCCGCACTGTGCATTCTTCTTTCATTTCATCTGCACGGTGCATCTTTTCGCATTTGTCGCCGCTCGAGCAAAATCTGTCGCACAGTGCAGACTTCGCCTGAAAAAATCTGACGCACAGTGCAAAAAAATTTAGTGCACTGTGCGATGTCGCTGGACTTTTCCGGCGGGCGAAAGTGGTTGCACAGTGCACCCAAAAATTCACTTGCACAGTGCAGACTTCAACTTGTTTTTTCGCACTGTGCAAATTTAAATTTTTCCCTCTGCACAGTGCAAAAAGTTCAAAATGCTCTAAAAAGTTCAAAAAGCAATTGCATTTCGAAAAAATCCCCTCCAAACAAAAATCTCACCCATTCTCGTCCAAAACAGTCACCGGATCTCCTCCTTGGCCATCATTCACTGTGCAGGAATGGACTTTCATACAGTAAACATCAGCCACATCAGTGTGACATGACCATTTATGGTAGACCTGATCTCCAATTTTGGCATAATGAACTGGACCGCCATTCGGGCCGTCCGTCAAGATTTCGTATTTGCAGACCGGCAGGGAAGCCTGACGGTCGATCGATTTTGTGGTGATTGCACTAAAATTAAAGGTGTTTTGTAAGTTTATATTCGATTTAGACGTTTCAGGATACTCTTCGATACTTTTCAATTAATTTTACCTGACTTCCAAATTTTGATTCACAGTTTTCCGGGCTTCCATGTAGAAACAATTGACTTTATAGGCCCGGTCGGCTTTAGTAATAAAAATGGGATGGAAAGAAACGACCACTGTAGCCGCAATACTCACTCCGTTCATCTAAAAGAATAAGAATATATCCGGTTTACCTAATCTAAAGATTCCGTGTGAATCTCGATCCATAGGGATGCCTAGTGCAATATCCAAAAAAACTCAAACTTCGAATAAAAATCAGTCATCAAATTAATGATAAAGGAAATTTGAAAACTTGATCCTTACCTCTCGATTCCTTCTCAATCCACACTGCTCAAAATTGATCGAAAATCCATGAACTTTGGCGCCACTTCCATTCAACGAACAACTCGTATCTTGCGAATATCCCTTGACAAAAATACGGCCAGAAAACTCGCGACCAGTCGTGAAATCAATAGAGACGCTCTCAGCGCCACAAGTAACACTTGGCTCGGCCGTTAGCGCGTTGGGAATTTGCCCACCATTTCCTCGAGGGCCTCCGCCGAAGCCGATTCCTCCGCCTCCTCCTCCACCGCCGCCACCGCCTCCCAGTGTTCCATGAGATGCCGCAAAGCCCTCGCCGTAGCCACTAGCAGATACCGACCTTATACTCGAGGTCAAAACCAAAAATGAGAGGAAAATCCGAAGTTTGGACCCCATGGTGGCTAAATCAAGGTAAAAAAGGGCTGTAAGTGATATATGGTTTTCTTTCACGTAATAAGACGCTAAGAGTGTGACTTGTAGATGATAACATAGTCATTGATATCAAAAAAACCGGAACATTCAAAGAGAATTGACAAGTTTGGTCCAATTATTACTAATGACTAAACTAACATAATTTTTACCCTGTTTCAGTGTATTTTTGGATATTTCACGATTATTTAATAAGAATAGGCCCTAAAAAGCCACTTCGAAGACTAATATCAAAAACAGCGACATCAGTTTATCAAATTAAACTTAAACCTATAATTTAATAGCTTATAACCAAAGCAACAAAATTGATGGTCCGGAGTTGAATCAGCAAGGTTCGTAATCAACGAAAATGTAAAACAGAGTCTGCACATATTATCTTGAGCACTGAAACCAAAAATTATTGCTCAAAAATTTGGAAAACTCCAAATGGCCAACTGATGACTAAAGCAATATAATTTTTGCCTCAAAAGTATGATTTTTGCAAAACATACATTCTTAAAACACAAAAGAAGTAAGTACAGGCTATACTAAAGACATCAAATCCAACATGCTCAAAAACTTCAGCCACCTGAACCTTCAGGTATCTAAAATAAGACAACTGTTGCCCTAAAATATCAGTCTTCCTCAATATTACCCATGAAGACGAGTAAGAACAATAAGTCTGCGACACTGTCGACCTCTACAAGCCCACGTTACCACCCTCAGTTCAAGACTTCCCCTCCCTTTCGGCGATTTTCCACCTCAACTACCCTCATTTGCAACTTTCACTGATTAAGCAATTAGTCGGTTGCGCAACGTTGCTTCAACAAAAACCTCGACCAAGATCCGGAAGACGCTTTGGGTGAAGCGTAGCGCGATTAGAACAGTATGAAGGAAGGAAGTTCCCTGCGAACAAAATCGAAAGTTAATTATTATTATTATGGTCTGCTGCGCCCGCTGTAACTGAATTGCAAGCTCGCTGAAAAAAAACCTGGCGGTTATGGAAGGAATTTGCCGGAGATAACTATTTTCTAGTGATAATTTTGTAAAAATTTGAAAAAATAAGATCAATTCGTACTTTTGTCTAACAAGGAAAGTACTTCCATGGGGTACGACCACATACATCAAAAAATTTGCAAAATTTCTCTGATTCAGAATATGCAAAAATCAGCTGCCTAATTTTGGTCTCTCAGGGTGAAAAAATCCTCTGAACTTTTCTTGCAACACCATGCAAGTGCGCCTTTTTTACATTGGAACTACTATAAGGTTGGACGGAAAGCGAAAAAATTAAATTGAAATTTGGGTAAAAATCATACGGACTTTCCGTCCAACCTAATAATTAAGGTTTAGTATTAATCAAATTTGATATTTTAAGGATTGTCAGATGCCAGGGTACACTTTAGCTCAAAACAAAACATTTGAATTGGTAAAAACTTGGTCAAAAAGGCATTTGCGTGGACGGAATGTCCGTATGATTTTTACCCAAATTTCAATTTAATTTTTTCGCTTTCCGTCCAACCTTATAGTAGTTCCAATGTAAAAAAGGCACACTTGCATGGTGTTCCGAGAAAAGTTCAGAGGATTTTTTCACCCTTACAAATCAAAATTAGGCAGCTAATTTTTACATATTCCAAATCAGAAAACCTTTGCGAATTTTTTGATGTATGTGTCCACCTGTAACTCCATACCCTATAGAAGTACTTTCCTTTCAAAATAAGGTCAAATCACAAAAATTTTAATTGATCTCGATTTCATATATATATCACAGAGCAAATTAAAGAGAGTTTAGGAACCAAAAATCAAATAAAAACGTCTTGGTTCATCGTATTTTACCAAAAAAATCACCTTTTCCTTCAAAAAAGAGCCTTCGCTAACGAGCGAACGCCAAATTAGATGATTTCCCTTATTATGCCGGCAATAAAACCTTCAATTACAATTCCAAATCACTTTTCTTTCCCTCAAAGGCAAACTACTCCAATTCCACCGCAATTTTCCCAGTTATCCCATCAATTCTTTCTTATATTATCCATGTCTTTTATTGACTGTTTTCTTTTGCTTTGTCATCACACTGAGATAACTTATTGTGTTCGAATTAAATGGCGCTTCCTGTGAAAGGAAGTGGGATGACAAAAAGAACCTGAATCCGCAATTCTGAGGAGTTTGTTTTCCGTGGAAAAGGCGGTAATCGACACCATGTTTATGAAGGCGGCGTCACAAAACTGGCCCAAAAATATATCCAATATAGCCGGTGTGGAATTTTAAAATTTATTTCACAGTAAAATAGACCGTTTACTGTCTTAAAACTTTTCGATTTGACAATTTACAGATATCACAAGGTCGAAAAATTCGCAAAATGACAAAAAAAATAATCAAAAGTACCAAAAAAATCAAACAATTTTGAGTTTGAAGAGACGCATAAAATATGCCAAGGGAATTTTGATCACCAATGGGGAGGAAATAAAGTAAATCCGGGGAGGAATCACATCAAAAAAAAAAGGCTACAACGAACACGTTATACACAATTTGCAAGTTTTTTTTGTTAATTTGTTCGAACATGGATGTCGTACGCCAATCGGCCCAGCATTCCCGACGAATCCACCATTACGAGACCGGCCATTCGTTTGTCGAAGCGATTGCTGGTCACCTGCAGCAAGAATTTTATATTATCCACGACAATTCTGATAAAATATTTGAAGCGAAACTTTTAAAATCAAAACTGCAACAGCCAAAATGGTATTATAAGTAACTTTTCCACTCATACATTCTATTTCAACCCAAGTTTTCTACAAATTTTACTTTTGTTTATCGACTACAATGTAATTTTAGGTACAAATTTTGAACTCAAAATTACATCACAACGCTCTTAACAGTGTAAAACACAAAAGAAAATGTTTCTCTAATTAATTTTTGCTCATTATCCTTTCCAACCTACTACAATATAAATGTATGTCCAAAAAAATCCTCTCCCACCCCCTCAAAACCTACCTCAATGACCTGCAGGATCGAGTGTATTCTTGTGATCCGATCCACAGCATCCATGTACCCCATTTCGTTGAGTAAATAATCATTCAAAACATTTGCGTATTTTTCACGTATCCTGTTGATAACTTGCAATGACCTGTCGCTTAACGTGCTCACTGAAAACAAGAAATTAATCCGGAGCCCTTAATAATAATCCCTTTATTATTTTCCGGGAGCAAGAGAGCAATACCAAAAGAATTTTTGGCCGCTTTTATATTGGACTTGAGGAGCTCAAGGAGAAGATAAAAAAAAGTAGATTAATCGAAGGCTTCTTTTTCAACAATACTCAGGATATTTACGTGAACACATATTCCTTCATTCTAGACCACTTTCGCCCCATCAACAAAACTTTTACCCATGTTTTTTCAAAAACTTTCAATGACCCTAAAACAACAAAAAAAAAATAAAAATTTACCTGGCGAAAAGAAATACATTGCCTTGATAATGCAATATTCTGCTAAAGAGAGTCTCATTTCTCTCATTGGAATCACACAATCTCTGTATAATATCCGTGCAATCTCCGTAAAACTGGTTTGTTCCGCAGGTTTTTGGTCCTCGATGATCGGATAATAAACACCCATGCCAAACGTGATCGCATCCGGCTCATGATCCAGCCGTTGTGTCTTATATGCCACAGTGAGCGATAATATCCGCGTGGAATTCGCGAGAACCAGTCGATTTTTCTCTTTTTCGTCGATCATCTCCAAGTCCGGCATAAAACTGGCAAAATCGAAAAAATTGCAAATTTGACGACACCACATCGGCTTCAAAATGTCGTCAGAAAAGGGTATTCTCATTCCCCATTCCATCTAAATACATAAAATAGAAAATTTAAGGTACTTACATCAATTCTCGGGGCTACTCGACCTGGCTCACTGATGGCTAAATCAATATCCACGTCGACGCTACACTGCTGCCGAATTGCAGTGAGAGGCATTCCCATCGTCCTTTCGTCAAAGACCTCATCACATATCCTAAAATTATAGTCGTTTAGAAGAAAAAAAATTATATTGTAGTAGACAAAATTAGTCAAAAGCTCTTTCAATTCGACTAAAACTAGATCAATTGTGACCTCCTTACAATCAATAAATTGACAGAACTTATGTTACAGAAGAAAAAGCCACCAAAAATAAACTCAAAGTCCCGCTCACCTCTCAACATCGCTAAAATACTGCACAATATCACTGGTCGTTCCATTTCCTTGAGGCTTGAACACATTCAGAGATCCTAGAGACACGCATCGATTCTCAACCTAAACTCCGAATAAAAACCAAAACATTTGCAACATACCTTGGCCAATTGTTGATTAACGACGATAAATGGAGGTGTTGGAGATCCTTTGGGACTCATTTCGATAGCTTTTCGGCCCGAACCCGCCTTTCGACTGGCTTGTAAATCTGAAAATTATTCGTAATTTTTTGTCTCAATTAAATTTCAGGTGAAGTAACGTAACTTACAGCATGTTTTCATTCCAACGGAGTAGCATTTTTGCAGTCGGCAGTAATGGCAGCCATTCCGGGTCTCTGCAAACCATTTTTTTTTAAACTTATCTATATTAATCTGCACATTGCGACAAAAGATTTCCCCGCACACCGCGTTCGAATTCTCATCGCGCTACGCAACCAATTTGTGGGTCGCGATTACGGCGGTCAGAAAGTAATTTCCGTTTTGTAGTTTGCCTCCGAAACGTATTTGAATGGAATCGGACATGACCCAAAAGAATCTTCTACGTAGCGTTTGAGCTTTAACCTTTTGAATAAAAATGCGATTTAAAAAATTAGCAACGAAGCTCACCTGGACTCATTGTGCATTGCTTATTCCGAATACATTTGTAGACTTTGTTCAAGAGGATTGATCGTCGGAAAAACCCCTTACAACCGCTGAAAAAATTGATAAAATTAAACTCAAATCTTCATAATGCGGTTATCAGTATAATGGAGAACTTAAATTTTCTAAAAGAAAGAAAAAACAAAGGATTCAAAATGGACTTACAGACAAGCTATGGTACCATAATGTTTTGCTCCAGCAGCCCCGCAAATCAAACAATTCATGGGTCCAGAAAGCTCTGGCGGCTCCACAATACTCCCACCGTCATCTTCGAGCTTAATCGACCGATGCATTTCGGCGGATGAACCAAAACCACCACTAATTCATATCCCCATCTAAGCCGTTGTCATGGATAATACAAATTGTTCTGGGTAGTCCGCGAATGTTTTCCGATTGTATTAAACAACTTCCTAAGCAACAAAATTCGATAAACTATGTATTACGCAACAAAAATTTCGCGAATCCCGAGCATATTAGGGTATCGAAAACATAAGAGGTGGCAAGAATAATATAAATTTTAATTATTACACCCACAAAATCTTTCCGCAATCCGAAGAGAGCGCGACAGGCGAACTCTAGAGAGTATAATCGACGTCAAACGTATGATAGATTTGTCCGAAACGCAATTATGAAGACTTCCGCACCTTCCTCTTCCATGTCGAAGACCGATTGTTTCGTCAATCTTCAACCGAGAGCTGAAAAAAACCTGAAAGGTTAAAAAATGGAAAGAAACACTCTCTACCTCGTAAGTCGGCCCCGTTTTCCCGGCTCCATGTTGACGAAGGCAACAAGAAAAAGATTGGAGCGGAATGCCAACCTCTGTGGCATTGCAATTTTTCGTGGTGGGACTGGAGATGTTGGCTACTGCATGTATTTTTCTCGAATTTTTTCCGACTTGAAATTGATCGTCGAGATCGAGAGTGGCTTGACGTGAATATATGAATATTATTTGCCGATAGTTTCGGTAGAATATTGGGTAGCGATGCTCACGAGTAATGGGTGTGAAGAAGGTGCAGAAAAATATGGGAGTGCTGCCAGCTGCTCGCATGCGGCTTTATACAAGAATGCAGGTAATTATCTAGCCTTCATTTTTGTTTTTATGAACTTAAAATCTCTTTAAAATGGCACTTTTGTTATACTTTTTCTCGTGGATAATATAAATTTATTTCCAGGGGTTGATTCTAACGCTCTGCACTTCAAGCACCGTGCCGAGACCGTAGAGCTCCGAAAGAAAAAGCGAGATGATGGCTTTGACCGAGCCAGACGTAAAGGTGTGAGCAGGGTGAGCGGCTTCTTCTATTTTCTTTACGGATTTTAGGGTGAAAGCTACGAAGAGGATTCAGCTCGTGCTGTCTATGATCCCGACCTCATATCTGATTTGTTATGCGACGACGAGGCCAAAACACTAAACGCGCTGAAGGTTTACTCCAGAATCTTGAGCAAAGGTGAAGACTTGCTGCGTCCTATGATATTTTAGATACCTCGTTGGAAAACGGCTGTTGCTTGATGAATTTTTTGGTGTTTTTGCTTTAAATTGTTTGTGGATTTATGGCTGGTTAATTTTGCAGGGCCAGCAGTCGAAGAAGCCTTGGAAATGGGGCTATTCAACACATTTATCGACGTTTTTATGAAGGCCGAGCCTGATTCTCCCGTCGAGCGCTCCGTTGTTGGTGTGTTGTCCGAAATGAGTATGGATATTCGACTTGTCGCCAGTAGACTCAATCCTGGACCCATTGCCAAGCTTATCAACTGCTTGGGGTATGTTTTTACATTTTTTCTTTTGTCTTTAGATCCATTATTATACTTGGTGTTCTCTTCAGAAGTGATGACCCTGGAACATGTGTAAACGCACTGTTTATCCTTGAGGGAATTGTTTCATTCGACCCCTTCAAGCGTTGTACATGCGATGAGCTAATGATCTTGCCAAAAGCCTTGAGGCTTTACTTTCGGTGAGTAAATTATATTATCCTTGATATCAGACTGATTTTTTTGATAGATAATGATGAAAAATATTTTTAGATTTGATCAAATCGATGTGAAACGACAGACGGTGGCCTTAATCAACAATTATTTTACTTTTATGACTCCAGTTGAAGAATTATCGGACGAATTCTTATCTTTATATGAATTTATCTTAACCAATGAATTTGATGAGATTCTGCTGAACGAGGCTCTGGATACTTTAACCGGAATCTGCCATTTTGGCGAAGAGCACATCCAGAAGCTGATTGACGTCGGATTTCTCTCCCATTGTTCGCCTCTTCTCGAAAATCCGCTTATCCTTCCGTCGGTCCTAAAACTGGCCAATGTTATTGCTGCAAGACCCCAATTCCTGAATCATTTGTACGATAGTGGCTTTTTCGATTCAGCTTTGAGGATTTCACAAAGCAATGCGGTTACACCAAAAGCCCTGGGGCAATGTTTTTATTTGATTATTCAGTTTGTGAAGAATGGAGTTCTAAGCCATCGAGAGGATGTTGCGGAACAAATAATTGATGGATTTTTGATATGCTTGAGGGATTCGACATTTGAATTGAGAAAACAGGCAAGTTTTATTGTAATACGAAGACATATTCACGATTTTTTTTTTGAAATTTCAACAAGACCTTGTGTAAAAAATAGATTTTTTTTCAATGTCATGGCAAAAAAACATGTCCAACATGTTTCATAATCCTTCAAAGATCTAAAAATTTCTATTTTTAGGCGGTCAGTGGTCTATATGAAATTTTGAACACAAAAAATGGAAATCTGATTACCATGTGCATCAAAAAAGGCCTCTTCAAGGGAATTTGCGACCTCCTGACGGTGATGAGTGTCGACGTGGTCCTTCAAGTTATTGACTGTCTCTCCAAAGCTATGGATTATGGAGTTGCCACAGGTAATTTTGTTTTCTCTATATTATCCATCATGGATAATATAATATTTGTCAAAATTGTAATTGTAATCGGATTTACAAGGTAAATTATTGTCGGATATGTCATTCCAGGCCAAGAAGAGGAGTTTCTGGCCCAATTGGAGGGCGCGAACGCGCCGGACAAGATGGATTTCCTCATGAATTCCCAATGCTACGATATCTTCAAAGCCGCCGATGCCTTCATCACCAAGTATTTTGATCATCACAATGAAGAATAACCCCCGGTTTGCATCCTAACTGATCTCATATATATCCGATAAATTTTTTGAGTTCAGTTGTCATTTTATTATATTTTTTACTACTTAGAATGTTGTTGTAGATAAAAATGCATGTAATTTTTGAAAATATAGGGGATTTTTGAGTTGATTGGACGTTTTGTTACACTTTCTTACACCTACTTTCATAGAAGTACGCTTTTCCGAAAATTTTTTTTATCGACCGGTCGAAAAAATAAATTTTTTTTTTTTATGTTCCATAAAATAATTTGGCCTAAATTAAAGGAAATGTCATGTTTTATAAACTTTCATTTTCAATACCATAGTAACCTTGAAAGTACTCTGCTTTAGCTCCCTTTGCAGCGGGATTTGAGTAAAAAGGGTCGCTTTTTTCGCTCGGCTTTTGTAATAACCCCCATTGTACGTTTTGCGTAATCATTTCGCGGGGTAATGGCAGCGATCGGAAGCCGAATATGCTCCTAAAATATGTTTTATTCACTGTTGTATATGTAGTAAATAATGTAAATTCGGTGGATCCAATAAATGGGATAGTCCGAGACGTGGCGTACATCGCTCGGAACGCCTGGGAACAGGTCAGAAATCTTTTAATTGGGATTTTTTGATGTCATAATTTATTTCTTCTGGAAAATTATCGTATTTTACAATATTTTTGCCTTTTTTTAGATTGTCGGCCAAATAAAATTGCCGAGGATTACCGCCAGTGAGAATGGATTTTCTTTTCAATTAGACGAGCCAACACAGGTAAGAGAGGAGTTGATTTTTTCAATGCGAATTTTTGCCACTACTTTCAACGTTTCTACCGAAAATCAATTTTTGTCCGCGCAAAGTTGGTCGAAATGTGGTCAAAAAGCGGTTTTTCCTGGCCGCTCTCCTTGTTTCCACAGTCCTTCGTCTGTCAAAAAATCTCGACTGAAACTGCAAAGCAAAGGCTAAATTTTTCAGGGTTTTTTATTGTTTTAAACAGTACGTACACCTTGTAGGTAAAGCCTAAAAAAAAAGTATTTAGAGAGCTAGCTCTCTATCATTTTGTGTCATCAAAAAATATTTTTTATTTTTTTTTAGGAAATCGAAACCCACTGTCCTCGATGTCTTCCGGCGTCTCCTCATCTTTTAGTTGGGACCTGGAATGCGGTCCTCTGGTCACAGAACTTTCATATTGGAACGATGACTGACCTCAATAGTATAATCGATAAGTTGGAGCAAGGAAAGCCGATTTATACGGAAATGGCGATAAACGATCTTCTCGTGGATGCTCCCGAAATTTATTGCCCTCGACTTACAGGTACTTTTTTTAATGTCACTTTGTAAAAATAAAAAAAGTAAAAATATTTTTTAATTAAACATTTTTTTGACTAAAAATGATGATTGAGATTATCACCGAAAAAAAAGAGTTTGAAATGTAAAATACGGTTACGAATTCGCTAAGCTCAATTTTTATTTTATTTTTTCAGTGCTAAACGCCACAGACGTGACCAGATTTGAATTTATTTATCAAGTGGCTGATGGTCGACAAAAATCGATCATTGGGCCTTGGGAGAACCTACGGGATGGGACGTTTTTCTGGCGAATCGCACCGACATTACACACAAGGTGTAAGTTTCATAATTTTTATGAGTTTTACACATTTTACACTGTTTTTTAAGCTTCATTTTTTTCAATTTCAGTATGTGTCGCCTTCGCTACAGTCAATCAAAACCCGGCCGCATCAGACTTCGTAATCCTAAATCAAGTCGATTCCTGGCCTCAATGCTCCAATTTCATTGCTCTGGCCAAATCCCGAGCTCCCGAAGAGGTGAACAATCTCCGAGATTTCATGGAGCAACAAAACTTGGATGGGGTTTTCAACAAAGTCAAGAAATTGTATTGTCCCGGCTCAACGGCCGGGACTCCGAATAATTCTATTCTTAATGGCTTAATTCCTCCTCAAAACGGTGTCGTATATCCACCGGAAGACAATGAGACCACTGTCAGTGACAATGCAATTGATCCATTTGCTTTGCCGAGGGAAGAAATTATAAATCAAACGGGAAATAGTAATTCTACCGAAGAGATTGAACGGTAATGGAGAATACAGTAAGAAATTGATGAAATAAATTGGCAGCGACAATGGGAAATCGATTTTTGGATTGTATAGGGCTTTTATTTTCCTAGGAGCAACAAAGTTTTGGGTCTTCGATGAGAAAATATTAAACATTTTTGTTGTGCTATACTTGATGAGGGGTATAATATAATTTACTGAAATTCTGATTCATCTAACGTCTGATAGTATTAAAAAACGTTTTATAATACAATCAACACCCTTCATTCCATATACTTTTTGGTTTATTAAAATTGTGTTGGCAGGTTTAAATAAAGAAACAGCACGAAATTTACAAGGCGATATTATACGTTTAACATCTTTGTTGACAAAATAATCGCAAATATTGAAACAAAAGAAGAATTTCTGGTTCGATAGCACCTGAGTTCGAATATAATTCGAGCAAGATATTGGAGTTAATTATAAGAAAAAAACTAGAATAACAAGGCCATGTAGAAGAAGACGATCAAGAAGTAGAACAAAGGAGTTGATTGCGCAATCTGAGAGAGATGGATAACAAATATACACAGGGTTTATATGTTCGGTTTTTGGGATTATCAGTCAAATTTTAGGTCTAGAAATAGGAGATTTCGTCAAAATTTTGGTTCAGATCTCATGGATAATATAATTCTTGTCCTTTTATCGGCTACCAAAATTTCAAAAACCGATTTCAGCACTAAATACTACCAATAATTTACGTAACCACCTCATTCCAATCTCGATTTTCATTCATCTACCTTATAATCCCCCCCTTGGACATTTTATACGATGAAACATTCCTAGCCAAAAACAAGTCCTAAAACAATATTTAAACATCAAATTTAAAAACCTTTGTCTCCACAATCCTCTAACAACCTCATTGATTCCAAAAAATTATATCATCCATTCAGACCTGACCTTATTTTAGACCAAGACCCACTTCCGATCTAAAATAATATTGAAACCCCCAAAACAAACGTGTGGAAAAGAAGTAAAGCCGATGAAAACTCATTGTGGACCTAGAGGAAGCTTATTCACACAAAATTCAAAAAAAAATGCATTGGGCATTTGGCAGTAATTCCATGGCCAAATCCTTATTAATGGACAACAAACCGGTAGGGAAGAGAAGTCTTTCATAATCGAAATCAGAGCCTACGAGAACTTATTATGGGACTAGTATTCAGCGTTTTTGGAGCTCTTGTCGTAGGATTTCGATCATTTCGTTGGTGCGTTTGTCCACGATTCGTTGGAAATCAAGGAGAATGTCCTGTTTGAAGCGTTCCAGGTCCGCCACGGTGAGGTATCGCTCTTCAGGGGATGAGCCGTTGGTCAAGGTGTTCCTAAAATTTTATAATTTTTATTTCACAAGCAAAAAACTTTGGGTCAAACTTGAAAAAATACGTTATGTTATACTAGGCCAAAATGGCAAAAATTTTTTTTAAAAACCACCAAAAAAGATTCGAAAAGATAAAAACTCTTACTATAAATTCTTATAAACCCTCTTTATTACCCTGTTTAACAATTCCCAATCAAAAATCCTCTCTAAAAACTCCCTGATTTCACTTACTTTCTCCTAACTTTAGGTGAGTCAGTTCCATTCGTCCCATTGTGTCCATGTGCCGTCAACGTCCCCGTGCCTCCATTCTGAGGCGGGTTCGAGTTCAAGGAGGCATTCGACGTCTTTTGCCAGGGTCGGGGGACCTGCCTTTCCTCCGAGGAGGCCGATGATATTGTACTTGATGTCGAGGCGGCCGATCCCACTGATCCGACTTCCGCATTGTTCTGCATCCGTCTGATTTTTTGCTGCAACTCGTCCATCAAGGCGCCCGATCCATTTTGTGACAGAGTTGCGCCTTTTTCTGGCACTTTATTCACCTGAATTCCGTTCGCATTGTTCGCGGCCTTGGCCTCGCTGGCCGCTTTGATCGCGTCCGCCATGGTTTTAGGCTTGGTTTTTGGATCTCCATTGGCCTTAAAAAGGCCTGGTGGCGGCGGAGGGGGTGGCGGGGGTGCCGACGTCGAAACTTGCGCAACTTTTGCCTGAGGCGGTGGCGGCGGAGGGGGCGGGGGAGGGGCGCAATTCGTGGCTTGAGCTGGCGGTTGTGGTGGGGGTTGTGGAGGGGGAGCGACGGGTTGTCGGATCGGCTGACTATGGCCATTCGGATGGCCGTTTTGATGGCCAAGTGATCCGTTCGAGATCAGTGATCCATTCGAAGAACTAAAGTGATGGGGATGGCCGTTGGCGGGTTGTTGCAGCTGACCCAGGGCCATTTGACCGTTCGTTGGGGTGTTGAAACCGTTGAGTTGGGCCTGTAAATACTTGAATTGCTAAAAATTCGCTCAAACTTGATCAAAAAGTTCCCATTTCCTCCAAATTTTGTCAATCACACTTTATGACTTCTGAAATCCCGTTTTTCGGCCGTTTCTTAACCTTAAGCCCCAAACATTCTTCCAAAACACTTTCTAAACCCTTTCCCTTACTCCATATTACCTTAACATTATCACTCCTAACAAAGCTGACCGTCCACAACATTGCACTAGCCTCTTCTTCCAGCAGCATTCGGAAGAATGTTGGTGGTCGAAAAAAAGAGTAATCGAGTGAAAGTCAGGCGCGGGCGAATGTCCGAAAAGAGGGAGCAAGAGGAGGAGGGGATTATAAATGAGATGATGATGATCTACACTCCTCTTCCAATTTACACAACGGGTGACTAAACACAATACTATTACTATTATTGGAGGTGGCGGGGGAAGAGTAAAAACAATCAAGTTGTTGTTTTTTCGGTGAAGGCGATCAGAAAAAACGGATCCTTGTTTTGTAGCTTGGGGAGGAAGAAGAAATTTTTGGAGCGGTCTTTACATTTTTCGAAAACCTAAAAATTTTTTGAAATTCCCGTCATTTTTGGCATTCTGTTTCAAGCTTTCAAATCAACCAAAAACTGCATGATTGACTGTAAAATTCGTCATATAAACCCTACTAGTCAATTCTAATGCTCTTACTGTGAAAATATTTGAATTTCCAGCTATTCTTGGCATTCTGTTTCAAGCGGTAAGATCACTTCCAAAGACATTACCCATGACAAAGTTTGATGTCCCATTACCTCAAAAACATCTAATTACATATAATTTAACTATTAAACTCCGTATTTTACCCTTCTTACCTCCGGCCATTTCACTGTTGTGCAACAACAGCGGGGGAAACGCAGCCAAACGCTCATTTCGCTTCAAAAATATGCAAATTAGATCCGCACCCGGCAAACAAAAGGCGAAGCAAAGCCGGCAAACGTCCGCGCGAGTATTAATACCCAATTTGGACTTCAAACGCGGTCCAAATTCCCCGTTTAACATCAAAATTTATCTTATCCATAGCTAATTTTGGTCCGAGCCTCAAAAAAGTTGCAAAAACTTCCAAATTTCGAGTTCAAAAATTCCGACGTGAAGATTCCGAGGGTGCCGTGGAATTTCCCGAGGCATAAGACGATTAGTGCGTGGGGAAGAGGCGAATCTTCCGGCCCGTAGCACAAAGTGTTATTGTGAGAAAAAAAGGGGGAAGAAAGGTTTAGACAACTTAACGGGGCTCTTCCTTCCGCCGGATAAAAAGTCAATTACCGGCCTAGGAAGGCCATTCACGAAGAATTAGTCTGATTTTCGACGCTTTGAAGATCAAATTTTAAAATAGAAAAAAAATTAGTACAAAAAAATTACAAAATCAGTTCGCCAAAGAGAAAAAGACATTGTAAAACAAGCATAATGGAATTAAAGTTCTCTAAAATGTTCTGAACACTACAAAAATCCTATTTCCGACATGAAAAAATCTTAAAATTTTGCCTAAAAAAGCACCTCAGCTCCCTAAAGCAATATAAAGTAACCCTTCCAACACCGCTATATTTCAAATTCAAGCTCAATGGGGGGTCAAACGCCGCGAGGCATGCCAAAAAACATAAAAATTGACCTGTCCAAAAAACAGAAAGGCCATTATTCCATTAAATATTCAATTCGCCCGTGGCTGTCAGCCAACCTTGCTATATAGCTAATAATGTCAAATAGGGCCACTTATGGCCATAACAGGGGTCACTCAATTACCCTTGACAGAACTTTTGAGGGGAAAAAATATAAAAAATTTAAAATTTATATTACACTAGGTGATTTTTTGCCCAAGAGTGCTCAAAAAAGGTGTTTTCGTCCCAACTAAAGTAAAAAAAGAGTTCTTACGGTTGCGTAGATGTTTTGCTGAAGGGTTGTTGACGAGCCGGACGAGGTTTGGGAGGCGCGACGTTGTTGTTGCTGCGATAAATGAGTGCCAATTTGTTGGGTTTGATGTGGCGTTTGATAGTTGTACTGTCTGAAAACGATGGAATTAGAGACGTTCACACTGAACGGCATCAATTTTTTCAAAAATCTCAACAAAAAATCGCTCGAAACCGTCTTTTCCGAGCAAAAATTACTGCTAAAAATAACGTTTTGCGAAAAAAAAAACTTCCAAAATTGCAAATAAAAATGCACTTTAGTGAGTCACTAGTATAATAAACAAAAAAAAGCGTTCGTAAAGTGATAGAGTACAGTAAGACAGAAGAATGAGTCGTTTGGAGATAGTGGAAAGAGGCTGAGAAATGGTTAAAAACAGATTTTGGATATTGTTTAGTCATTCTACATAAAAAAAATGGTAAAATACGCCGCATAAATTTGCCCAAAAACATATTTTTTCGTATAAAACGACTCCGCAATTTTTTTATAAAACTTAAAAAGGTAGACCATGCCATACCGCACCCAATAAGATGCAAAATTTGCTATAAAGATCATCAAAATTTCAAAATAAAACCAAAATTGTGTTTTATCGTATAAAATGTCCCAAATTTCACAAGGCCTAAAATCCATTTTGAAGACTGCTTATTGATAAAAAAAATACGACCGTTCTCTAAAATCCCTGGCAATTCTAGCCTAAAATTCAGTACTTTTCATCATTTTTTTACCACTTTTTATTAACAACTGCCAAAACAGGACAAAACATGGCCAAAAACTGCCAAAATCCAATATTACCCTACAATTTCCGAACCAAAAATCACTCTAAACATAAGAACGAACCCTTCCCTTCGTTCCAAATCCGAATTAAGACCCGGATTCTTAATTTATATAGTTTTTTCGAAAGTTTTTTCCCTTTGACTTTCCTTAATTTATCAAAGACGTAAAAACGGCGGGTAAAAGGCAGAGTGACTCATAGTTGGTCGAGTCAATCTTCTCAGTGATCTTGATGTATATGGTTTCTTAGCAAAACACGGGTGAAAAAACAAAAGATTACTACGTAACCTTGAAAATTGCATGTTTTCCATGACCAAAGTATTGGATTTAAGGTCAGATTTTTATTGGGTCACTATTGGAGGAGTAATTCACTTTGAGGAAGTGGGAAATTCGATGAGAATCGAAGGGGAATTCAAAAAAATTTTGAGGTAGTATCATGGATAATATAATTTTACGAGAAATTTCGGCAGAAACGATAGCAAAAATGCTAGCTTTAGCGTTACAATTAGAAAAAAAATCAAAAATTATTACCTAAAATAAGGTAAATGGATGTTTTTCGACCTTATTCCCCATCAATTCAGAAAAAAAAGAAATTCCCCAAAATCAAAACAACATGAGTTTTAATTTACCTCAAAAATCTTATAATTACCCAAACTTAAAACTTCCAGTAAACAGACAGATCAAACGTGATCAGGTCTCTAAAACAATCCTTATGGAAGTACAAGTTTTTTCGCCCAAAGAGACAGACAATACGCTCTGTGATCCCCGGAAATCCCCAGCTTTACCAGAGGGATCAAAATGCAAGCACAAAAACATAAAAAGGCGCCAGGAGAAAGAAAAATATTATCCATCGTCACGTTGCTCATGGATAATATCGGCGACGTTACGAAAATAAATTTTCCGATTGGGAAATGGTTCTAAAAGTTTGAAGACACAAAAAAAAATTTTTCTTCGCCTTACCTCACTCCATTCGACCCTAGACTGTCGGCATCGCCTTCACTTCGAAAGCTTGGATCAGATCCATTTTGGCCTTGCGCATAGAAGCCAGCATGCGGATCCTGATATACAGGCGGCTTGTTTTTGGTTAACTCTATTAACCTCTCCATCACCTGATCCACTTGTTGGGCTTCTCTTTTGTCCGCAAATTGCAATCCGTACACCTGAAATGTCTCATGTATAATATAGTTCAGGAATGGTCGAAAAAAGGTCAAAACAGCTTACAATCTTTTGATTGTTCCGAAAAAGGAGGAAATTCCGGTCCAAATCGCCATCGTACTTTAAAATCAAGCTGATATTCTGCTCTATTAACGCCTCATAACCGGAAGGCGTCGCGTTTCCAACGACGAGAAAAAACTGATTTTGTTGCTGCACAACCTGCATCGTACTCTGTTGACCAGAGAGATCTTTCCAATCCTGGTTTGCATGTTTCATCAGCCGCGCCGTCTGTGCGTAAACCAACACCTTCGGCCTGAAAATTTATATTGTACTTGACATCAGATGGAAACCGTTCGATTTCTCAAAACTTGATGCCTAAACCAAGTACAAAAAGAGACAAAAAACATACTCCATGATGTGATGCGTTTATCGCGGCCGAAAGAAATTATTGCTGAGCGATTTGGCACGCCAGATTCACGTCGAACGCCGACGGGATTTCTGAAGCGGCCAAACGAATATGGCCAGTTCTACAAGTTCTGAAATCAAAATTTTACATTCCCAAAAGTGCAAAGAGCAGAAATTTGGAAAAAATTCGCGTCAATAAAAATTTACATCCTAAATTTTATATTACCCATGAGAAAAATTAGTATAACGAGAAAAAATAGGCGAATAAAAAAAGAAGTGGGCCGTGAGATCTTGGAGGACAAGAATAACTGTTTGGCACTCCGTTTCCAAGGAGGTTGAGCCGCTGAAACCTCGTTTCAGCTGGTCTTTGAGTGAAAAACAAGACAAAAACGGGCATAAGAAATGGGGGTTGGTCTGATGCGAGAGGTGATGCAAATTATAAATAATGCTAAAAAACAGAAAGAGGAAGACTTGAAGAGTATTTTAGGAAAAAAGGAAGAAGGTCCGAGTTCGTTTTTGGCCATTTTGGACGCCAAAAATAAGGTGGGACATAATGCCAAAATAGAAAATTGAAATGCAAATTTCGCGGGGAAATCGAGATTCAAATTGGACAAAATTTGGCAAAATTATTGGATATTTCATAGCCTTGCTATTACTCAATAAAATGCTCGTTAAATCTGTTAGGGCTTTCCTTCTTTTTATTATATTATACTTGATCATCAGACCTAAAGAAAACGTAATTTTTGCAATGAAATCAGTCTTTAAATTGGCGAAGGTTTACTCCAAAACTTGGGTGGGTTCCTAATCTTCATAATTACAGCCAAATCGCCTATTAAATCTAATAAAATTATCACTTTATCCCCTATATTGTCCTTGATCACCTGATCTCAAAGAGAGATGATTTTTACTAAGAAATCGGGTTTCAGATTGGCCAAGACCTTGTCCAAGAATTTATTTTGCCCTAATCTATCTAATAATGCCGAAAATTACCAGTGAGATGGAAAAGGAGCATCAATTTTCACCTTATGTTACCCATGCCCAACAGCTCTCCAAAAAACCAAATTTTGACCCAAAAGTTGAGCTCCCGCAAATTCTCGTCATACTTTCTCGCTGCTGGAGTGTGAAATCGACGCAAGTGACAATCAATTTTGGGAACCAAATTCGGTTTTACTTCCCTCCCAAGGGGAAAGGCTGATAAAACGCGAAGGTGACGGGAAATGGCAAATAAAACGAGCAATTACATGTCGCCGCGACGGGAGATATTTCCCACCCGATGATAAGGGACATGACAGGTCGGGTTTATGATTCGGGTCAGTGCGCGGCGATTTGTCGGATTCCAAAAAAGGTGATGACAATTGGGATTCTGGGGAAAATTCGAGGCGATTTTTTTTGAGAGTTTCTGGAAATATCTGGCATCGAGAATAGAGATAAAGCCGGGGTTAATTAATTTCATGGCCAGATATTAATTCTAGAATGTTAAAAATGATTTTTATACGATTTTAGGCCAAAATGAAAATTCTTTGGTCTAAAAAATATGATTTTTTCTGACGTCATTAAGAAATAAGTCTTACTTTACATCTCGAACAAAAAACGAATCTTTCAGAGATCTTTCAGAGATGTCAACTCTTCTCAACCCACAAAAATAATCTTTGTATTGATTTTTAACAAAAAAAAATGTGATTTTTTGGCCTAAAATAATACAAAATCCCTCTAGTTGGCCAAGAACAGTTCTTTCTCCCTCCCAAAACAATCTCTTTCCCCGCAACCCTTCCCACACAATTTTACAAACCAAACCCTTGTGAGTAATCGGGCAGCTCCCTTCTTCCCAAAACGGTCATTCCCCGAGGGCTGCGAACTCTCGATGGGCCCGCTAAAAACACCTTTAAACGCGTTGGGAAAAAAAAGTTTTCGGATCAAATGTCGACGAAAAAGAGTGAGGTCGATCCCGAAGCTGGCCGGCCGGCAGACTCGTCCGACTTTTTTTGCCACTCACTAACCCAAAAACGTTTCCGAAAAGGCCCCCCGAACCGAGCGAGAGCAGAGAGGAAGAGAGGGGCGCTGGTTATCGCTATAAGGTCCCCATCCCTCGCTCCCTCCGCGGCCTTATAGCCGCGATACGCGGGAGTCTTGACCATTCTCGACGCTCTCGCCCTCCCCATTCCGAACGCACTCCAGCGGGTCCATTGCTGCCTGAATGTTTGGACTCTCTCGGCTCGGTCGGGTCTAGCGTTTCCGAAAATTTTTGACCATTGGAGATTTCGCGCGCTCTCCGGAATTAGCTAGCATTTGAGGGGAAGGGGGCAGGGGACGTTGGGACGTTGGGACAAGAACCGGACAAGTATTGATGAGGATTCCGATAATTTTCTCACGCTTCAAAGGCTGGATTATATTATACATCAGCGAGAGAGGCTAGATTTCGAGATTTTCGATAATTACTTGGTTAATTAGTGCTAAAGAGAAAAGTAAATAGGCAGTATGGCCATTCAACTTTATGTGATGATTTTAGTATAAACTAACTGAATAGGAAAGATAGAAAAAACATAAAAACAAGCTATACTCGATAACCAATCGAAAAATAGCGGCAATAAACCAGTTTAAAATACGACAAGCTGTAATATTGCCCTATTGACATTTTGAGGCCAATTCAGGGCCGAAAAAATTAAAAATTTGATTATATTACACTTGATACCAAATGATTACATAAGTGATTTTCTCTAAATTTTAGGTGGTAAGATTCATTAGTAAGGCCAGAAATGGAAGAAAACTCCTTTGTAGGACATTCAGACATAAGTTAAGCTAAAAATTATCAATGATATTCACCATGACATCAAAAAAATCAAAGACGAAAATATCAATTTTTTCCAACAAAAAAGTAACCAAAAAAGTTAAAAAATTTTAATTCCAATACTTCCCGGGAAATTTAAACCCTATAAATTACCTAAAATACATTAGAAACCCGAGTAACCGCGATGTTTACACGATTACTCACCCAGTTCGATGATTTACTATCATTAAATGTCTGGAATCAAAGGAATTCGTGTTGGAAAGAACACCAAAAAAGGGAACACGAAAAAAAATTTGCGTTAGAAACACGATGGAAAACACTGAGGAGGGGAAGACTCAACGACTCGAAACCGGTTCGGACCCTTCGCTTTTTTGCCGCCGACTGATTACAAAAGATGACTGGACAGGGCTCGGATTTGCTTTCTTGAGGTTGGTAGAACGGAGTGGAAGTTTTTATTGTCCTTTGAGAATGATTTTAAAGCATTTTTGAAAAAAAATGATTAAAAGGAAAAAGAAAATTCAGATATTTTGACCTATACTCCGCCGATTTAATTTGGACCAGTCTGAAACTTGAAAACGGCTATAGATATGAACTCCATTCCTTCAACAAGTTTGATCACCAGTCGACTCTATGTTCAACTGTAGCCAAATATTTCCTCTGCCTTGAGGCAAAAGAAAAATATTCGAATTTTGTAATTTTTTCTGTCGAAAAAGTTTGGACCAGGGCAACAAAAATTTGCATTTCTTTATCACTAGGTGGGGTGAAACCATGATAACTTGTGAAAATAATTGTGATTCCCTGCTGATACTAACGAGCAGGGAATTCCGAGATTAGCGCTGTGTTTAAGGCCCTGAGGGCAATTTTTAAGAAAATTCCCAAAATTCCAGAATTTTTTCGCCCTGGCGCTTGAGTAAGAAGCGTAAATCGTCTTAAATTAGTTTCTGTGCAACCACAGTATCGTGTACATCTAATTGGATGACGTTATAAAATAGTTTTACATCTAAAGTTTTTTGTTCTTGGAGGATTTGCGACTTTGAAACTTGGGTTGGCGATAATAGTGAGACCACTGCGCTCAAACAACTGCTAAATCATACAGCGTTTTGCTTTCGACATATGAGGGGCATCCCACACTTTCCTTCAGTGTCAAAACAATATCCGATTTACACGCGACAAATGCATAATAGACCGAAGACTTTGATAAAAAAAGTTTTCGTTGGCCCAGTCGAAACATGTTGAGAAAAAACAATTTAATGTGCATCAAATTAAGTTCTATCAGGTCTGTCTAGCACCTCATAGCGGAATAAACGTACAATGTACATATAGGAACATCTTTTTTCACTTTGGAAAACTTTTAAGTAAGCACCCTCTTCTTAAATTTTTTTATCAAAGTGTTCGGTCTATTGTGCATTTGTCGCGTGTAAATCGGATATTGTTTTGACACTGAAGGAAAGTGTGGGATGCCCCTCATATGTCCCAAGCAAAACACTGTATGATTTAGCAGTTGTTTGAGCGCAGTGGCCTCACTATTATCGCCAACCCAAGTTTCAAAGTCGCAAATCCTCCAAGAACAAAAAATTTTAGATGTAAAACTATTTTATAACGTCATCCAATTAGATGTACACGATACTGTGGTTGCACAGAAACTAATTTAAGACGATTTACGCTTCTTACTCAAGCGCCAGGGCGAAAAAATTCTGGAATTTTGGGAATTTTCTTAAAAATTGCCCTCAGGGCCTTAAACACAGCTCTAATCTCGGAATTCCCTGCTCGTTAGTATCAGCAGGGAATCACAATTATTTTCACAAGTTATCATGGTTTCACCCCACCTAGTGATAAACAAATGCAAATTTTTGTTGCCCTGGTCCAAACTTTTTCGACAGAAAAAATTACAAAATTCGAATATTTTTCTTTTGCCTCAAGGCAGAGGAAATATTTGGCTACAGTTGAACATAGAGTCGACTGGTGATCAAACTTGTTGAAGGAATGGAGTTCATATCTATAACCGTTTTCAAGTTTCAGACTGGTCCAAATTAAATCGGCGGAGTATAAAACAAGGGTAATTTTCGGCGTGTTTCGGTATTTTTCAGCCTTTTGTGGGTGTAGAAATAACTCTAGATCGAATGTAAATCATCTCCGAACATTTAAATTTAACTTTCAACATGAAAATCTAAAAAAATCTAAATAAAATCACAAAACTCCAAAAATTCGGCCTAATCTCCAGAATAATATAAAAAAAATGCCCATAAAAAGAGAAGAATATAAAAAACAATAAAAACAGAACGATAAGAATGAAATGTCAATTCTCTCTTCTTCGACAACGTTTATATTTTGGGCCTACAAAACCAGGGAATGTCAACAAAAATGGCGGCGTATAAAATGTCACCCACGAAAAATTAGGGTAAAATACGTCGGGAGAAACTCAAGGACTCTCAATTTCTCTTATACAAAATAAATTTGATTAGTTTTCCGTCTTCGTATAAATTGTCACCCTTATATTTCTTCGTATAAATTGTCACCTCTGGCCTAAAAATGAAAGATGAATAAATTCTTGGGGAATTTAAAATTAGTAGCGAAATTTTATAGTTTACATTGAACACCTAGAATGCAAATTAAAATCATTAAGTTTTTAAAAATCCCATTTTCACCTTCCAAAAAACCTCCGTTCTTTGGCCTTCGGAGAATCGGAAAATCTATTGCTAAATGAACGGGTGGAGGTTTCGACGTCGGTAAGCACGAAAAGCGAAGAGGGGATTCAAATGAAATGCGAAAAAACAAGCGGTCGAATGGGCATTTTCCTGCTGTCCGGCTGATGTGAATCACCTCGAAAAACGAGGGCAAACCAGGTGAAAAAACTGAGAAAAAAATACCCCATTGCCCCTTCCTCGCTCCGCTCTTTGAAGAGACCATTGCATAAATCAACGGGTTTTACAGCCTTGGGGGTTTTTGGAAATTATAAAATTTTGAGATTTTCTTACAATTATGGAAAAGTGAAAAAGTTGGATTAAAAAAATGGGTAGATTTTTGATGCGACTTGGCCAAAATGAAGAGTATGATCTGTAAGGAATATGTAAAATTTTTAGCATACGCTTTGCAAAATCCACTGAAATTTTTTATTGAAAATTTAAAAAAAAAGTCCATTTTTTATTTTTAAATTGAAATAAAAAAATTAGTCATGCGAAATTAATAATAAATAATCAAAATATTATACAAAAAAAAATCGAAAAATAAAAAAAAAAATTAAAATTGTTCAAACACAAAAATCAAACCTCCTCTAATTCAAAAAATCTTATTTTCTCCCTTCGTCGGAAACAAAGCTTACTGCGCAAAATGGACGAGCGGATAATAATATAATAATCCACCGAGTGCTAATTGCATAATAATCGAACGGAGAGAAAAAAGAGAAAGAGACAAAAAATGGAGAGCCCGGAAGAGGAAAGAAGAACAATAACCAAATATGGAAATTGATTTCTAATCGGACGAAAGAACGGATTTTTAAAGAAAAAATTATTTAAAAAGAAAAAAAGAAATATAGACAAAATAAAAAAAATAAAAAAGATTTTTTGGAATGGCTAAGAATAAAATTTTTATATTTTTTCGAATTTTCTTTGGAAAAAATAAAAAAATGAAATAAAAATGTGTGAGAAATCTAACATTAATAAAAAAAATTTTTTACTTTTTTTAAAATTGAAGCCGTTAAAAAAATTTTTTTGCCCGAAAATTGACTGTAAAAATATTGCCAAGTATAAATTAATCTCAAAAACATGAACTGATGAATCTACAATTTTCCTAATCCCATCTTCTCCCTTTTTGTTTTCGAAAACAGCCCGTACTGACCAAAACAACAGGACGGTTTGGCCTAATCATGTTGGACGTTCTATTCCTCGTAAATTATAAACAAAAGATTTCAGGGCCATTGGTAAAAAACAAAAAAAGATTTATTGGTTTTCCCACGATCTTATCAACTACTTTTTTGGGAATTATCAACTACTTTTTTTTTTAATTTTGGGTTCTCCCAAAAATGGGAAAATTCCCCGGAAATGATGAATATTACAAACATTACTAATTACGGGGCTTGTTTAGACTTTTAACTATTTTTTCTCTCAAAATCTGTGAAAATAGAAATAATTTTTTTATTCATTACTGTTTCCCAAAGACCCTTGAATTTTTACTTTTTTGGTGCTAATATTATAATTCAATTTATTCTCCTCATCTTTCTCTACAAAAATTTCAAATTATTCATCATTAACTCCTCCCACGTTCCGATGACGTATATATTGCCCTTCCCAATGACCCAAACTCCTCTCCTCATATGTCAAAAACCCTCCCCCGGAAATCGGAGCGATCCCCACCAGCGATCCGGTTCACTGCCATTTGTAGTTAATTAATTTATTTATAAAAAACCAGCCCTGCAATTATCTCCCATAAACAACGAGCGCCCCAATTAAAGATGACTTCGTATAGGGGAAGTAAATAAAACAATAAACATTCGGATCAGGACAGATCAGCTTCAGCCGCCAATTCCAGCGTGCAATCTTTGCGGGAGAGTTTGGGGGAAAGTGTCAGGGTGTTTGCGAAGCGATAATAGCCGGGGAAAACACGATTGTCCGAAGCGAAAAATACAGTGGCTAAGAGCGGGATCATGGACAAACACTTGACCTCAACGAAGGATAATGCAGAAGAGAAAATAAAAAGTGGATAATAGGGGTTAATAAAGGATGAATTTATCCTTTATTAACCCCTTGCTGAGACTTGTAAATGTTAAGAAAATCGTATTTTAGGGAAGGCATTTCTTTTTTCTTTGATTCCATTTCTTCCGTTTCCGATTCCTTTCCGTTCACACCGCGGTGAGCGGTTCGGTTTCCTGCCGACGATGCCGTTGCTGGCAACAACCCCTCCGGAGGATGGGGCAGAAGCTCAACCCGTGGCACGACCTTCTTGAGGATTGGCACACTGGACAACCGACGTGGCATCCCCATCTTGGCCCCGAATCATGGCCCGTTTCTCTACTTTTGATAGATGATCAGCGGAAATAAATTGAATTGAATTGAATTTATTTTTTCATAAAATTTTGGCAGGCAAATATTAAACTAGCAATTTCAAAAAAAATATTATATGTTCAAAATTTGCGCCTAATTTTATCCAATTCTGCTTTTGAAAAGTCAGACTTTTCGTATGGGAAGCACTTTTTAGCCAACTTTTTGTTAATGCGGCTTTATATAGATGGCCTAAAAATTTGACTCTTTTCTAATGCCTAGAATGACGTGCTCCGGAATCCTAGAAACAGTTATTGATAGATCATGAAAGATGAGGAGAGACAGTCAAAGAAAAAAATTAATTTCTTATAAAAACGCATTCTTAATTGCCACAAATTTCATTGAAAATGCTTTGAAAAATTAAAGTATTTGTGTAGTTTCTACTAATATTCGTAATAAACACAACGAATTCTCAGTGTTTTATACTATTCAATATTCGTAAGAAACACAACCTAAAGAACCGCTCCCATAATATCATTCACATCAAATCCATTACCCGAAAAAACGGCACGTATAATATAGTATAATGCCAGTATAATATCCCGCGAATAACCGAAAAAAAAGAAAGTTGAGCCGCACCTCAAATGAAAGACATGACTAAATTTATAAAAATGGGCGCCGCGCTCGGCCCTTCTCGCTTTTCCCATGAGGCCGGCCCAAGTTCGAACGGCATTACCCGCTTCCTTAAGTTTGTCCCCAAAAAAGATGGATTCCCTTTCGCCCACAATTAGAGGCCAGAAAAAATGGCGAAAAACAAATACTTTTGTGGAGGGAAAACGAAATTTTAAAAATTTTGAAAATTTCAGAAAACTTGAACTAATTTGCGTCTTGAAAAATTTTGGTAAATGAGATAAAGTTTATTTTCCGAACAAGTAGGCCACATTAAGTATAATTTTTGGAAATTTGAATGTTTACCTAGGATTTGCATATTATGAAAAAATTAGAATAATTTTAAAAAAAAAATAAATTATTTTTTTGTTCTCAACGTCAACACAATCTTGGCTTCATTTATAGAAGTTTTTGTGGCAATAAAAATAGCATAACTCCAAAAAAAGTAAAATGTTTAAAAAAGAATTAACGAGAGCTTTTTTAAATTTTCATAAATCATCAAAAATGAGTTTTTTTTTTCAAAATATCTTTTGGAAATCTCGAATTTAATTTTTCAAACAAAAAATCTCTTCTAAAAACCTCAAAAAATCATGAATTTCCTTGCCCCAAAATTTGCCCAAAATCTTATCCGAAAAGCAAACCTGCATAAAGCTTCATTAAGCTTTCATTTTTTGCGACAAAGAGACACGAAAATTGGCCTGGTCACAACGTTTGACCCGAACCGAATGCCGCTTTCCGCTTTCGCATGTGTACGCTCAAGCTTCCGACAGCTGGGAGAGAAACAATACAGGGTGGGCCACTCGAAACGGGTAAGTTGTTTCTTTGAATTTCTCCGCGGAGACTCCGCCGATTTTCCCGAAATTAAGATTTTTCTGGAGCTGAGACCCGCCATTTTTAACCGATTGAATTTCAAAAAAATATATTTTGAATTGACCTTTATATGCCTTCCCAAAGTTTCGAAGAATTATTTTCGAGCCGAAACCGCTAAAACTTAGAAAATTTTTGGAATGATTTTGAAAACTTGGTCATTTTTTCGAGTTTTTGGGTGAAATTTTCTTAGTTTTACCTCAGATAACCATAAAATATTGTTGTAAAAACAATTTTATTTAACGAACTGATTATTAATATTTCTATCTGAGTTCGAAATGCCCACCTCATCTCGCAGCACAAACTTTTAGGAGCTTTGAGAGTCGTGAACAGCTCGAATTGCAGATCGTGAACATCGTTTAGCTTTAATCGGGCTGGGCTCCAAGCCTCAACGGCTTGGAGCTGGGGTTCGTAGCCAATTGTGTGGACTTTATCAATTGTTAAAAAAAATGGTTTTTTTTTGAAAGTTCGTGCCCTCCGGTAACGAAGACAACACTATTTTTACTTTCAACTTGCTTTAAGCAAGTTTAGAGAGAGGATACGCAACTTTTTTACTTCTCGGTTTTACCAAAAAAAGCCAAAAATTTTCGAAGTCCGAGAAAGTCAATTGAAAATCATTCCAAAAATTTTCAAACTTTTAGCGGTTTCGGCTCGAAAATAATTCTTCGAAACTTTGGGAAGGCATAGAAAGGTCAATTCAAAACATATTTTTTTGAAATTCAATCGGTTAAAAATGGCGGGTCTCAGCTACAGAAAAATCTAAATTTCGGGAAAATCGGCGGAGTCTCCGCGGAGAAATTCAAAGAAACAACTTACCCGTTTCGAGTGGCCCACCCTGTATTCTAATTTTTTCCGTTTCGAGTGCAGAACAAAAAGAGGTTTTTTTGAAGGAATAGTAATGGAGGTCGTGGAGATTGAAGGTCGAAAAAATTGCCAGATAAAAAACACAAAACTTGTGAATATCAAGATTTGATTTGCATTGGAAATGCCAAAAAAATTTCAGTTCTTTGTCTAGGAAAACAACTTCCGGAAATTAGATTTAACCCGGCGAAGGGAAAACCCGAGATTTTTGGCTCGCGTTTTGCAGAAACGAAATTTTTGTGCAAAAATTTGGGAAAACCCTTTTTTGCATATTTTATGTCTATTGGAGACGGTAACATTTTTATCAAAAATAAATTTTTTCCGCCCAAAATTAACAGAGATATAGCAAAAATTCGTTTTTTCTCTCTGGCCAAATTTTTAGATCGCGTTTTGCAGAAGCTGCCAAGATATTCAAAGATCTCTGTCGCAGGCGAAATGCTGAGATTGGTCAGGGAAGAAAACGTTTTCTAGCCATATCTTTGCCACTTTGCACAGAGAAATCGGTTTCGTATCACAAACTTTTTCTGAGTCAATCCAATTTTATTGATTACATTATTTTCCCTTTTAGCGGTCAATAAAACGACAATTTCAAACTCCCAAACCCTCCGAACCCAAGTAAAACTTGCCCATTCATCAAGCAAACCTCTTTACTCAGCCCTCAACTTCCCAATGGCCATTTCTCCGGGGCCAACTCTCTCCAAATGTATTCATAAATCTCGGGTTCTATTTTTTATATTTGCGTTTCCTTCGGAATGACCGTCATCTGGTTTTTTCCGCCCAAATTGACCTCAGGGCATAAAAGTGAATAAAATTTTTTATTCGGCCTTTCGAAACGGGCCATGCCTTTATGGCCAAATGTGCACGAGGGAGTAACGGAGGTTATAACCGGGAGGTTGAATTGTGTTGGGGATCCAGAAAGCCTTCGGCTTCGACGTCGATTAAGAACATGGCTTCATCGTGTTGGAGAGGCGGCGATTTGAAGAGAACGTTGAACCAGCGCTCTGAAAATGAGCCATGCTTAGATAAAGACCGGATCAAGACACTGTAAAGCACGTTTCGACTAGTCAAAACTTATAGAAAAGCCTTCATATTTATGTGTGAATTGCTAGAGTTGCAAAGCTTCAATCCTCAGGAAAATCTTCATGAATGTATGACATTGGTTACTAATCTGTCCATGAAAAAGTTGGCTCAAAACTATCACAAATGACCGAGTTATTTAACGTATGCGCGAGACCATAGAAAACGAGGAGAGATGGTCAGAAAAAAACGTTTTTTCGGGCTTCATGTCTATAACGCCCACTTAGCAAAGCATGGCATGTTGAAGATGGTAAAATACGTGATGCCCTACAGATATAATGTGATCTAGTTTGCTGACAAATCTCTATACAAAAATAAAAAATCAGCACTTACTTTTACAGGCAAAAATGATGACTAAAAGTAAAAGAACTGTGCTTGTCGCCAACATTGTATATCCAACTCCAATTCCAGTCGTTTTCCTGAGGCACACTGTTCCATCATTACCGCTGAAATTGGAAAACACGACACTGCTTATATAGCTTGTATAAAACACTTTTTACCCTCTCAGACTTACTGATATCCATCAATGCAGACATGTGACGCATTGTTGAAGTAGGCATTGCTGATGCTATCAATATAACTCACATCAAACATGTTCCTAATGCTGAAACCTCTTCAGAAATGCATATAATTGAAACAATTTGCAGGCCAATAAAGAATTAGAAGTCCAAGAATTGGTGCAAAGAAGTTACTGGGTACATTTTGGTGAAAATATTGTTGTTCATTCACTATTCACAGCAGGAGACGTCTGCACTTCGGTCTGGCCAATTTAATTCCAAAGTCGCGTTGAGAATAGCTGAACAAGGAAGAGGCTGGGAATCTCAGCGGAGTGAATTGATGGATGATATTACAATATTAGAAGAGCAGGCAGTTTTATATTTGGAAAAACACTCGTAATACATTGGAATACAATATTTATGAGATGTAATTAGAAAACTTGGAAGTTTCTGAGCATGGGAATGAAAGAGACTACAAAAATTTGGATTTGTAAAAGGAAGATGACAAAAGCAAAAATAGAAGTGCTGAAACCTAGAAGTTTTCAGAGTAAGCGCTTCAGGTGCAACGATTCGATTTTTGTGAAGTTTGGCAACAATCTAGAGTGTGCAAAAATTTTTTATCAGAGATTTTCGACTGCCTCATTGATGATGACTCTCAAAGCCTCCGTCGAAAAGGTCAACAAGCTCGTCATGAAGGAAATTAGTTAGAGTTACGATAAGGCTGAAATTGCAGTACGTATGTTGAATTATGCATAAAATTTGTGATGATACATATATGTATATTTATTCTTCAAAAAAAATTTATAAAAGGCAAATAAAATAATCATGGCTTGTTGTGATATCCTTTTAGCTTCTTCAGGAAATGCTTTGTTAAAAAATTATTCAAATTTTCAAGAAAAAATGTTCAAGTACAGAAAAAATAAAATTTCGCCAAGAGCGACAGCTACAAAAAATGGTTGATATGGCAATTCTAAGCGGTGATAAAGTCGATAGATTTGAGCATTGATTTGACTGATTCCTCCCGTTTCTCCTCTTGAATTTTTCGATATAACTCGTCATTAGTGTTAGTAAATCGACTTGAATAAAAATCGATTCGTTCGGCCTCTCTTCGGCCGCTTAAATACGCGCCAATTGTGGTCTGGTAAATCGTGGAATGAGTGGCCTCTCCGGCAAACAAAATACGAGGTTTCCGACTTTTAAATACCGGTCGAGCCAAGATTTCCAATGGATCTTCTTTGAATTGTGAGGCTTCGGCAGAGATGTAGGTATAACTTCCTCGGAAATTGTCATCACGCAGCCAGGAGGTCCTAAAAGATTGTTTAAAGTACGATGAATGTGAGAAGCCTAGGAACGGCAATATTATTAGCTGTCTGAAATTTTATTCAAGTATAAAACTGAAAAAGGAAAAAGAAGTTTTTTTACCTTATCAACTGTCTCGGCTCGGGAACCTCCACATCTGGCATTGAATTTCTGAAATGTTGTGTGATATGTTGTGCCAATTCCTGGTCGCTGATCCAATCGATATGTTTCGGGCCGTCGCCGGAGAGCCAGCCCACCAAGACGTTGGGTTCCCATTCCAAGGGCTCGAACGTGTGCAGTTCTTTGCTCAAATAACTCTCCGGAGAGCAGCCTTCGATGTGAAGCGGGACGAAAGAGTTGGTCCAGTTGGCCCAGAAAGGCTTGTCGTATCTTAGAAACACTTTGAGAAGAGAGCCAAATCCTGAAGAATGTGATTATGTGCACTTTGAAAAAAGATATCAGAAAGTTTTTTTCGTATTTTTTTACTATTTTTCTCTCAAAAAATCCCATTTTAACTCACCCATTTTTTCGATGACATCCAGTTTTCGACCCGGCAATTGAGGCTGAAATAAATGCGTAGCATGGGCCTTCAGATGCCCTAAGGGCACAGTCACGATCACCACGTCAAACTGGCCATTATAAACTTCTCCATTCACTAATTTTATTTTTGTTTTTTCGTTGCGGTAGTCAATTGTAGCCACTTTTGAATTCAAATGAACTCTCTCCTTGGGAAGTTTGGAAATCAGTTCGCTCAAAATTGAAGTATAACCGAATTTGTCCAAAGTAAAAGAGGCAAATTTAGCGGATTGATCGTCCCATTTTGCGTAATTTCGAAGGGAGAGTTTGTCGATTGGCGCTGACCATTCTCCTTCGTAGTAGGTTTGATAAAACTGACTGAGTGCTTGATAGGAGCGTAATTCTTTGTCAGAGCGGGCTTTTTCCTGGAAAAAAGTCAGTTATTTTAGTTTTTAAGAAGCTGAGAAACAAAAGGTCTGGATCGGCTTCGGATCGGAGAAGGTCGAAAAGGAAGCAGAAATTAACACCAATTTGGTATCAAAAAGTATCAGTAAGACCTAAAAAGTTTATGGCTTTCATAGAGGAGGCAACTCTTCTTTTTATAACTTGTCTTTTGAGGCAGTAAAAAAAGATAAAAAAATACAATTTTTCTTCTAAAAAAACCGCTAAAAGATTCAAATATTTGGAAACTTTCGACCTAAAAATTTCGGTGTTTGCTGCAAATCATGAGCTAAAAATCTCGCATATCTCTCATAAAATTTTGATCTTAAAACGCACTTCGCGAGCTGTGGAAGGGGGGTCTGCCCTAGAAATTGACCCCCACTTTTTTTTGTCTTAACTGATGACATGTAGGATGCTAAAGAACTTGGTGAATTTTTTTCGAAAAATTCGTCATCATGACCGAGATATGACGTATTTATTGAATTTCGCATAATGTGATATATTGTACTGATTTATTGACAAAATATCTCAGAACTGAGTATATATACGTTATTGGCCATGCTGAACAACTTTGTAATTGACCCGAAGTTTGTCAGGTTACTGTAACATACCGTAACGCCAATGCTCAATCAAAAAATCTCGATTTTCTCGATTTTTTTCAATAATTTTCTCGGAATTTTTTTTCATTTTTGGAATCAGCATCAAATTCTGCATCGGATAGGCTATATGCGCATCTCCAGATAGGTGTACAAAAATGTCGTGGCGCAACCGGTAGTGGGTCGGACTACCATTCAAAAGGTCCCGGGTTCGAGTCCGGGTGGAAGCAAAAATGCTCAAACGCGCTGGAAATTGTCCCAAAACAGTTGTAATGTATTGGAACTGTGTTAAAAATAAATAATAATTAACATTTTCCCCTAAAAAGGCTAAATTTTGGATTTTACGAAATTTTTGAAAATCATGATTTTTGTGGGCCCAAATCTGCCGAAGAAATGAAAATTTTTTGTTAGCGATTTTTTTGTTTAGAAACAACACAGGGCATATAGAAAGACTATTCCTCAGAAGATTTCGCTCAATTTTGCCCAAAACACCAAAAAGTTGCACTTTTTTGTTTTAATCGGAGAGCCCCGCCAGAACCCAGTAAACCGAAGTAACGTCATTCAAACGTGGATACAAATGTTTTGTACTATGAGGAGTCGAAATTTTAGCAAATTTTACAAGATTAAATACTGTAACATCATGAAATATGTGAATATCTACAAATTTTTGAATGTAAAATTTTTTTGTGGAAGATTTTCGCGGCTGTTAGAAAGCTATTTGAAGGCAGCGCAAAAAACTGCTCTAGAAAAACTGGAAACGTTTTCGCGTAAGAACACCTGAAAATCATTATCTCAATTTTTTGTCAAATGGCAAAATGCGAAAACTTTTTGGTGTTTTGGGCAAAATAGAGCGAAATCCTCTGAGGAATAGTCTTTCTGTGTGCCCTGCGTTGTTTCTAAACAAAAAAATCGCTAACAAAAAATTTTCATTTCCAATACATTACAACTGTTTTGGGACAATTTCCAGCGCGTTTGAGCATTTTTTCTTCCACCCGGACTCGAACCCGGGACCTTTTGAATGGTAGTCCGACCCACTACCGGTTGCGCCACGACATTTTTGTACACCTATCTGGAGATGCGCATATAGCCTATCCGATGCAGAATTTGATGCTGATTCCAAAAATGAAAAAAAATTCCGAGAAAATTATTGAAAAAAATCGAGAAAATCGAGATTTTTTGATTGAGCATTGGCGTTACGGTATGTTACAGTAACCTGACAAACTTCGGGTCAATTACAAAGTTGTTCAGCATGGCCAATAACGTATATATACACAGTTCTGAGATATTTTGTCAATAAATCAGTACAATATATCACATTATGCGAAATTCAATAAATACGTCATATCTCGGTCATGATGACGAATTTTTCGAAAAAAATTCACCAAGTTCTTTAGCATCCTACATGTCATCAGTTAAGACAAAAAAAAGTGGGAGTCAATTTCTAGGGCAGACCCCCCTTTGAGCCTGCTTCAGCAACTCGCGAAGTGCGTTTTAATTTGCGTCGACTTTCATCCAAATCCGACACTTTTTTCCTTTTTTTCTTTTTTCCAAAAAATCTCAAGATTTACTGCCAACTCACCGCAATAAACCCTCGAAAGACCTCTTTGTAGACCGTTGCGACGGTCCGATTCCACATGACCGGGTCTCTGGCCATCTCCTGGATTTGGAATTCGAGTTTTTCCACGAACTCTTCGAACTCCTCCACACAATGCATGTCCAGAGAGCACTTGCCCGTCCGGTAATCCGCATTTCGAAACAATTCGTCGTCGTCCATCTCTCTAGTCACAACGCCCAGTCGCCGAGCCATCTCAAAAATGGGATTCTCCGCGCCGTTAATGAACTGCGCGCCGTGCTGGATGAAGCCGTCGGCTGGAAAACGGGATTTTTTTACATATTGCACTAGACATCAAATATTTTTCAATTTTGCTTTTAAAATCTTTTTAAAAATCATAAAAATTTTAAAATACGGTAATGTAATTCTTTTATCGACTACCAAATTTTGGGCCAAATTCCGCGACAAAATTTCAAGTTTTTAAATTCCCGCCGATTTTGGCATTCTGTTCCAGTTTGCAAAACCTAAATTCAAAAAAGTAAGGTAAAGAAGAAATACTCTGAAAAGTTATCTATATGCTCTGTAACGACCGCTAATGTCCTTAGGCCAAGTTTAGAAGCAATTTTTTTTATTATTATCCATGACATGAATAATATAAATTTTTGTTGAAACCCCTAATTTTTTACTGATTTTTAACCAGATGTGATGTTTGAATAACCCTATAAAGTCTAACAACATCATAAATAGTCATAAAACGATTTTTTATTTTTTCAAAAACTCACTATAAGGTACAGGGTAGACTCGGCCGCCCAATCGACCGGCCGCTTCGAAAAGTTCGACATTTTCATATCCCAGTTGATCCAGCTTTCCGAAGGCAGCGAGCCCAGCGAATCCACCACCGATGATTGCAATACTAACATTTTTTCCATCGTTTTTCGTTGAGTTTAAAGTTTTTGTCCCAAATTCGGCCGAAATTTGGGGAAAATCGGGAATTCCGGGGTCAATTTCACCGCATGCGCCCTGAAAATCATCGTGTAATATAATGAAACGTAAGGTATTTTAAAATGGATAAAACAAAGTGAAGTGAACTTACTGCAATAAGGAGCACGATTGTTATAGCGACTTTGCCGGTGATCCGATGATCCATACAGCGACTGGCAGCCGGAATTTGATGGAACGGGACGTTGGTTGATGATCTTCTTGGCCAAATGGCCTGACTCTTACGAGCCTGAAAGAGTTATTGAATAATTTAATTTCTACGTTATTTTGCGTAAAATACGGACTGTATAGTATAAAAAAATTATTAATTTTCTGGCGGAAAAACAGAAAATGGTCTAGGAAACCTAGCAAATTAAAAAATTATCAAAAATGAACGGAAATCGGAGCGTCTCGGCCGGTTAAATTATCTAATCTTTCGACCGTCCGAGCAATTGATAGCTCAAAATTGAATTAACGCACGTACGTTTTAGCTGCTACAGGACGAAGAGCAAAAAAGATCCAAAAAAGCTTTCATTATAATGAGCAGTAAGTACGTAAAAAAGATTGCTCACAACGCTGAAAATATTGCAATATCCCGACAATTTTGCAAAATGCAAAGAGATTGACCTTGAGCAATAAAAGGAACTGCTCTTTGTTGGGCGATCTTATCTACCAAAGAGCAATTGATTGATAAAGCCAAAATCAGTTGTTGAAACGGTCAACAAATGAAACAGGGTAAAGTTTAAGATTCGAATTGGAATAACTTGTGTAATTTTCCCCCATTCCAGCCTTAAGTGTGCTGGGAAAGAAAGGTAGAGTTTTGAAAGCATATCCAATATTGTTGGCATGCGCTTTGCAGTAGCCATCAAGTGACTTGCAAACGGAATTCTAGAGTTTAATAAACGCTCAAATTTTTTATAGAACTTGGCCCGAAACTAGACCAATTTTTTCTAGTATATGTAAGCGAAAGCACCAGCCATTTTTTCACAATTTCGAAACGAATTGTCTCTCTATGTTGCCGCCAAATCCCATCGCAATCTGAGACTTAAAAACCCGGTAAATTTTAAGCAATTCTATGCCCTCAAGTCCTTCATAAATGAAAAATTTTAGTCTCTACTGCAATCTTTATATGCTACTTCGAATTGTCACTATAGAATTTCGAGAAAAAGAAAAAAAGGTCATTCTCAATTGAAAGAGTGCACTCTGAGTGCGTATTTCTTAATCCTTCCGAACCAAAAATAATACAATTTTGAGAGAGCGATAAATTGAGTAAAAGCTCCTATTTCAACATCGGTAAACTTTGGATTAACCGAGAAAGAATAACGGGATGACATTGCCAATAAAACAACAAAGGGATGTAAATAACATTGTAAATTATAGTAGCTAATGTCAATACTACCTTCTATGTAAAATTGTTCGACTATTCAAGGCAACATGCAAAATTTTTTTGATTCTTTGGCCTACAGTTTTCAGAGAACGCCAAGCTTTGTGGTCGGCTTTGCTTAATGTTTTGGTTAATTGCCATCCCGTTCGAAAAGTTGAAAAAAACTGTTTCACCAAAAAATCAAGCGCGACATTGGCACGGATTCGAGCCCTGCACTGTGCAAAAAAGAAATTTTGTTTTCTCACAGTGCATGTCGCGAAAGTCACTAAAGCGACTTTGCAAACAGACTAGTACGGTCAAAAAGAGTTTTCCTGGCTGACGACTCTCCGCCTTTTTCGTACTCTCTAGTTGTCAAAGATCATCGAATATCTCGGATGTCCTTGCAAAGCGTAAGCTAAAATTTTAGAAAACTGAAAGTATTATAAAGACAATGGTATAACAAAACGAAATAAAAGGATCTGAACGTCGTTTTTTGAGCCAGTCTTGTACAAAAACATCAGACTCAAATAAAGGCTCCACACAGAATATGCAAGCCAATTAAGGGGGCTCATTACTCCACCAAGCCAATTTTCTCTCCTTCTGGTAATTGCACATACAGACGTAAATGTAAAAATACAAAAATTATCGATGTAATAATGCCAAAAAGAATCACGTTTTCCTCCCATTTGCATGACTAGCAAGTCTTCAGGACAAACATTGGGAAGAGGCCGTTTTAGGGATATTTAATCCGCTTATTTGGCAAAAAAATTTTAAAATGGCATCTTGCGTACTTTAGCCATCAATTAAATGTAAGAAAATTTGAAAAGGTTTCAAAATCCATTGAAAAAAAGTAAAATTACAATAAAGGTTATGAAAAAATCACGACTGACCGCAAGCTTTAGGCCATTTTCGAAATAGAGCCGAGCTCGTAAAAAAGAGAAAGCGAGCCGAGAGAAAGGGGGCCTCGTGTTTGGCCGTTCCACTTTTCGAAACATGTGGACACGTCTCTGGCCTCGGAAAGGGCTAATGAAAATGAGGGGAACTTCTGAAAATCGTCGTATTGTTATGTTCCGAGAAAGGAAATATATTTTTTTCATGGAAAGTAAAAAATGTCCGGAGAATTTTCGGATTTTTTGAGGCAAAATGCAAAAAATTTGCATAATCTCCCTGGTGAAAGGATCCAAAAATTTTTTGTTTTTGGCTATAGGGCCAAGATGTGGCATTTCCGGGCCTTGGCCACCTCAAAGCCGGCCCGGCCTTTTCCAAATTTCCGAATCCCGGCCCGGCCCCTACCATGTCTGGAAAAAATGCAAATGGCGTATCTTTTCAATTCAATTCAGTCCCTCTCCTCCCAAAGTAAATTGGACGCTGAATTTTCACATATCAGCTTTATCGAGGGATAGGAAGGACTTCCATTCATGACTGTTTCCCTACTCTGTTAAAGTAAACGCATTAAAGGTTGTAAAAGCTATTTTTCCTCTATTTATTCCCAACCCACGCAGGTGTCAAGTTCATCAGGCCGTCCAAAAAGAGCGTTTATATTCATGACGTGTATTGGCCAATGTGTTTGTTCGGGAATGAGTTTTATAAAAGTTATGCGAGAAATAAAAAAATTAATTGAAATATGGACTTTTTTAATTAAAATATATATTACAATGATTAAAAAAACAAATGCAAAATAAAAGAAACCAAATTTGGAAAAAAAATTAACAAAAAACATTTTGCAAGTGACAAAAATTTTAACCCGCAAAAATTATTGAAGTTTTCGGCCAAAATAAGCCGATTTTCTTGCGGTTTTCTGGATGAAAAGATTGCATAAATTATGTTGCATGTACTGCAGGCAGCAATTATATAATATATTACTTGATAATTTGAAAAAAAAATAATTTAAAAAAATGGTAGAAAATTAAAGTACTTTTTCCATGCACCTATCGCTTTATTTTTCAATGATTTTTGTTAGAAATTCCATCAATTTTTTCACTTACTGAAGCTGTTTTGTAGAGACGTTCATCCTCAATTAACCACTATTCATTTCAAATGACCATCCCGCGGCCTCTGACCTTTACACAAAAAAGCTGAAATCGAGTCATGGCAACAGACAGAGAGCCAAGATTTTAAAGGTGGAAACAGCGAACAACTTGAGCCGGAAAAGACTATTTAGAATCGTCAAAGTCTCTGATGTATTTTTTGTATTTTTTATTGTACTTACCAGTATCCGATGGGCTCAAAGTTCTTGTATTTTCCCCAACAATTAGTTATTCACATATGATTTTCAACTCAAAAGTTGCTTCGGCGTTGGCCGAAGACGGTCATAATGTGGTGAGTATTTTAAGATTTTTTAAATAAAATAATATTAATAAAATGTGATAATTTGTAGATGGGCGGGTCGTTTAATAAGACATGAAAACTGTTCGCCAAAATTTGACATGACTCTAGGTTCCGTATATAGAAAAAATCACCTTTAATATTAGGTTGATTCAAAAGTTTTTCCACATGTCTTTAAAAAATTTTTAAAAATTTAGACCAAAGCCAGTGGGCCTGATATATATCTTGTTAGAAAGAGGGCTGTTTGTAGATTATAGTAGATTAATAACTTTTTACAACTTAGCAATTTGTAGTAGTAGCGCCGTGTTAAACCTTAACTACTCGAAGGTAGAAAAAGTAAACCGCCGGCGTTACGTCTAGAGTGACTGTATCTTCTTAATATTCTAGAATATGGTATGCCTGTATGTAATCTCTATGGCATCGAGGACAATTTGCTATAGGGCTAGTCGAAAAATTTTTAGTGCGAAAAATCAAAAATTAGGGTCTGGCAAAAGTAGACCCTGTAGACGCAGCTATTAGAAGCACTAAGAGATAACGCTTTCTGTTATTGTAGTGTATGAGTAGCACTACAACGCCAATGCTAAACATTCGCGCTAGCTTTAGCTATGCGGCAGAAAAATCGAATCTTTCTAATCTACCAATATTTTACGAAATTTAGGGGATTTTTACAAAAACGTTTTCTGTTCATTACTCTCGCCCGGTATCCTAGTTATTTAATAAATAATTGATCCTACTTGACATACACTATCAGTTGCTAGACGCGCTAAGCTGAAGGTCCTCTTGCCATACCAGTAAAAAAATTACAAAAATCGTCTAAAAGTGCAGTTTATGCTGCTTTTCTACCTTATAAGGCAATTTCAGTTGGTGACTTTTTGAATGTATCATCAGCATACAGTCTTTGTACAACCTGAATGGCAGCCGAGTCAAAAAAGTCTAACCCCTTTCAAAAAATTTTTAAAAATCTGCTTTTGATCGGTAGCTCGGCTCTTCGGCCAACTTTATGGGATGCTACAAAAAACGTCAGTGTAGATATAAGTAGAGCAATAAATTCAGAAGAAACTACAGCCATCCCCAGTACGAATAACCCAAAACCGGAGACTTTTTAGTGGGCTGGAAAATTGCTAGGGCCCGGGATATTCACCATGACGCAAACGGAGAAATTTTTAGTATTTTTGAAATATTCTGAAAGGAAGCTTGTAGAAAATAAAATGCTACGAATCAAAAATTTTGCAATGGTCTGCCCCATACATCTATGCTTTCAGTTTTAACGTACATTCAATCAGGCTCCAGAAATTTTATTTTGAAATGTCTCAAAAAAATGTGGAAAAACTTTTGAATCAACCTAATATTTTTTCAGACTCTAATGGAAGTTTTTTACGATGAACCTCCGGGCAGTTTCAACTATAAATCTAATAATTTCAACCTCTGGAAAGTGAACTTTGATTGGCCAAATCGGACAGCTCCAATTTCTACCTCAAGAACTGCTAATGATTACTTGCCAATATTCATTTTTGATCTTCTAAAGCCCCTTTTTTATTTCTCAATTTTCTTTGAAAGTGCTGATATTCATTCCAGACTGGCCGATGCTTGTAAATGTAAGTAAATTGTGCAGAAAACAAAGGCTTGTCTAAAATATCCCATTAATTTCTTCTACTCGTATTTTACAAACAATTCTAGGCTTTGTCGAAAAAGAGGGACTGATCAAAGAGATTAAGGAAAATAATTATGATGTTCTTGTTGGAGAGCAGCTAACTTTATGCGGATTCGGAATCGCTGAAGCGGCTGGAATCAAAACGAAAATCTGGATGTCGAGGCAAGTTTAATTTCCACAAAAAAATCAACTTTTTCCGTGCGGACCTGGGAAATTGAGGGAGAAAATTGCTTTTCTCTCTGACCGCTCTCCGTGTTTCGCGTACTCTCTCGACGGCAAAAGATCGTTCAATATCTCAGCGGCCACTGCAAAACGTCAGCTAAAATTTTCAGGAAGTGATGTGTAGCCTGTGCCCAAAATGTACGCATTTTGGGTACTTCCCTTGACAAGTTTTTATCTCGTTATTTGCAGGCTTCCGTAAATCTTCATACGAGGATTTATTCTGTCCTAAAATTGACAGTAGTATGCAGCCTACGATTGTTGTTTTAGTTGCCCCATGAATTCAGCAATGGCCTCCACTCTCGGCTTGCCATTCACTCCATCCTGGCTTCCCGCCGTCTTTGACAACAAAAACATCGATGACAAGATGACTTTAACCGAACGTTACAGTAATCTCCTCACAGAACTCTCAACAATCCAGGGATTCCGAAAAGCCGCAGAATCTGAAACAGCAATTTTCCGCGAAAAATTCGAAGAAAGTTTTGCTGATTTGCCAAGGATCGCGGCCAAATCTTCATTAGTTTTTGTAAATTCGCTCGATTTTTTGGACTTTCCTCGGCCAAAAAGCAGCAGAATTGTGAATATTGGGGGAATTGGAGTCGAAAATAGCGATGAGAAGTTGCCCGAGGATCTGCGAACATTATCAGAAGAGCACGAAAAAATCATTTATTTTTCAATGGGAACCATGGCGGTTACAACCTTCAACTTCATGGAGAATATTTTGGATATCTTCTCGCAAGTCGAGGGATTTCATTTTGTTGTCAGATTGGATGAAAAAGATACGGTAAAGAGGATATTTTAAGACATTTTAGGCTGCTTGAAGACATGAGCTTAACATTATTTTGGCGGAACGTATTGTTTTGTAAACTCCTTTTTCAGGCGTCAAGGGAATTTGCAGGAAACTTTCCAAATATTGACGTTGTTTCTTGGATTCCTCAACAACAATTGATCTGTAAGAATTTATTTTCTTCTTCGTATTCTACCTTGAAATTTTTTGATTAAAAAATAGGCCAAAAGATCCACAAATCATCTTTTTTTGATCCTGGAAATAAAAGAACCTGAGAGATTAATTTTATTCATACATATTTCAGGCCATCCCCATGTAAAACTCTTCATAACTCATGGAGGATATAACAGCCTAGTCGAAGCTGCCTATTGTGGTGTCCCAGTCCTTGTCATCCCATTATTTGGAGATCAAACTTTCAATGGAAAACTGGTCGAAAGAAATGGCTGGGGAAAAATGGTCAATAAAGATGATTTAGCCGGAAATCCGACAAAATTCATAAAAATTTTCAGCGAAATGTTGAGAAATAATAAGTAAGCAGCACTTGTCAACTCATACAATGAGATTTCAGATACTCAGTTAACGCTCAACGGGTCAAAACTTTGTTCAAAAATCAATCTTTCACTGGAAAAGAGGCCTTACAACGGTATTTTCGATTCCTCGAAGCGGCTGATGGAAATCTCCCGGAATTTTTACCGTCATCTGTTGAGATGAGCATCGTACAGCTCTATAACCTCGATTTGACTGGCCTTTTGGCTTTGGTTGTACTGTTCTTGACATTTTTTATTTATAATTCGGCGAAAATTACGGTAAAAATCGGAAAATTTTTGATTTCTCGGTTGTTTAGAATAAAAAATCGGGAAAAAGCTGAATAAAATTATTACTATTCTTATTATCAGTCTTATATTTGCTAAAAAAAGTTAACTTCAACTGTAAGTTTATAAGATTTTGCAAACTTTTGACATCGACTATGTTGTACATGGCAAGGATACAAAAACTTACAGAAATTAGCAAGTTTTGAGCATTTGAAGATCAGAATTGTTTACTTAGACAGGTTTGGAAATATCTTTCAAAAAACACTATCTTACAGTCCTTTACAGCTACTGTTATCCTCTCTCCAAACACCTTTCATCGTATAAAATGTCGCCTTTTGTAAAAATTATTCTTTTTTGCAACGTTTCCTTTTATTCGGCCACTAATCTGAATACACGAATCGGAAGTTATTTTTTTTCTCTTTATAAACCCTTTATCGAATATTTATTTAGCTTTTCTCACAGCTTTATATTAATCGTCATGGTGAATATTGAAAATAAATTATATTGCTTTAGAGTTTGAGTAAAAGTAGTAAATTTCCAGTTGCAGGGCTCGTTCATGTCATGGCAATCAACTTACCATCGGCGAGACTTGCATTTGTCGCAGGTTTGGCAACTTTTATTTGCATAAGCTTTGTGCTATACAATTTTGTCGATTCCAATGCTACCATCCGAACAAACGCCCTCAAACGAAATGTAAGTGCGCTTAAATGTCTTGTTCTATGTTTAGATACCTATTTCCATCAAGGAAATGTTTATTTTTCCCCTAATAATCGAATTTTTATATTATCTATCCCTTCAGATCGACTCGATTGAAACACTTCGAGCCAAGGTTAATGACCTCGAAGCAAAGCTCTTGAGAAATGAGGATTTAGTCAAGGACTTCAAAGGTCGATTAGGGAGATATCAAGAGATTGGGAAGGCCCATGAGGCTGTAGAGAATGATAATGGCCAAGGAGCTCAGATCCCTCAGCCTCAGGAAAATAATGGAGTTCATGTCGGTTTTAATGTTTCCGGAGCCCAGCAATGCCCTGTTGGACAAGTTGTCAGCGATATTCAAGTAAATTTTTGGTTTATTTTTGCTCTCTTTGGCTTTTAGGAGATTGTACTAGGCAAAGGAGATAAAAATTCTCAATTTTACCCTGATTTTGGATGTCCAACCGAACTAAATGTGTTTTTTATAGATGTTAGATGTCTATGACAGTATTCCCTTTGACAATCCAAATGGAGGAGTATGGAAACAAGGCTTTGAAATCAAATATGACAAGGAGAAGATCAAATCCGAAAAACGATTGGATGTTATTGTTATTCCTCACTCTCATTGTGATCCCGGATGGCTCAAGACTTTTGAGGGATATTATGAAGAGCAAACTAAGAATATTCTTGATGGAATGGCAAAAAATTTGGGTGAAAAGCCGGATATGAAGTTCATTTATGCGGAGATGTCTTTCTTTGAGCTCTGGTGGTCGCAACAGACGGAAGATACGAAGGAGAAGGTTAGAGGGTACGTGATTTGTCTTTTTTGTTCGGTTTTTAGGTGAAGGGCAAAAAATTCTGTCAAAATTTGAATTTTTTCATATCTGATGGTCATGTGTAATATAATTTTTGCGAAGTTCCGGAGATTTTTTATATGCTATTTGCTTACTTGATCATAAATCGTATTTTCAGCTACCTGCAATCGGGCCAATTCGAAATTGTGACTGGTGGATGGGTAATGACAGATGAAGCCAACGCCCATTTATATTCAATTTTAATGGAACTTTTTGAGGGTCATGAGTTCCTGCAGACCCAGCTCGGCTTCAAACCACGCTCTCATTGGTCCATCGATCCATTTGGATTGAGTTCTGTATTGGCTCATGTGATGAAATCGGCAAATTTGACGCACATGGCCGTTCAACGGGTTCATTATTCGATCAAAAAGTATTTAGCCGAGAGGAAACAACTTGAATTTAGATGGAGACAGCTTTTTGCGGGTAAGATGGGGCGGAGTTGGGGATTTGGACCTTATTTTTGGGGACTTGGACATAATATCTGAGAAGATTTTAGATATCAAAAATTCGAAATTTTTATTAGAAAACTGGTAAATTTTTTATGAAAATGATGGAAAATAAACTTTCGAGGCATTTTAAATTCGATGAACTGATTTTTTTACCGAAAAATATGAAAATTTTTATTTTTTGACCTTATTTTACTCATTTTCCTTATTTTTTCGATTATATTCCAGGCAATTCTGCTCGAACTGACATCCGAACCCACATGTTCCCCTTCTACTCCTATGATGTCCCCCACACTTGCGGTCCTGACCCCTCGATCTGCTGTCAGTTTGATTTCCGCCGCCTAACTTCATATGGATGCCCTTGGGGCAAGCCTCCAAAACGAATCACCAATACGAATGTGGCGGCTAGAGCTGAGATATTGGCCGATCAGTACCGCAAAAAGGCCCAACTCTATGACTTGAATGTACTTTTGATCCCATTGGGAGACGATTTTCGATATGATACGCAAACGGAATGGACCGATCAGTATGAAAATTACCAGAAATTGTTTGCCTATATGAATGGAAAGAAGGAATTGAACATCAATGTAGGTGGTTTATAGTGTTTGTTTTTGGTTTTTAGGGAGAGTGAAGGCAATTGGCAGAAGATTTGAGAAAATAATATTTAAAACATAGGATTATGTTACAGTAGCGGACCTGATCCAGTGACAAAAACGTACCATTTTGCAGCCGGAAAGTATCAAAAATGCAACAAAATACCTCCCTCTCCAAGTGAAAACAGTTTTTTAGTTGGAGAGGGAGGCATTTTGCCACATTTTTGATACTTCCCGGGTGCAAAATGATACGTTTTTTGTCACTGGATCAGACCCCTCACTGTACGTATTTGGCTTATTTGGAAATTTTTTTAGGCCAAATTTGGAACCCTGAATGACTATTTCCAATTGATGGATAAAAGATTATCTGAACAGCCCGAGACTCCAAAACAGGACTTGCCTATTCTCAGTGGTGACTTCTTTACTTATGCGGATCGGGACGACCATTATTGGAGCGGTAAGAACTGTTTTGAACAAAAAAATTTTATGACTTTAGGTCTAATTAGGTGAAAATTTTGCAAAATTTTTTTTAATTATATTTTTTCGAGGGGAATTTTTTAGGCTGTTGTTGGGTTTAGGCTATTATATTTTCTTTTTTGGCTTTCAGAGTACTTGATTTATGTTATTTTGGACCATTTCATTGATAAAGTTATACTAATTTAGACAAAAACTTGTGAAAAAACAATTTCATTTTAGGTTATTTCACCTCCCGGCCCTTTTACAAGCACATGGACAGAACTGTCGGTCATTTTGTACGAGCAGCGGATATTCTTTTTTCATTTTCAAACTGGAAAGCCACCAAAAATAATGAGGAAAATGCATCGTTAAAACAACTTTATAACCGATTAGTAGAAGCGAGAAGAGCATTATCATTGTTCCAACATCACGATGGAGTGACTGGGACTGCCAGAAAGGATGTTGTTGTCGATTATGGACGAAAGTAATATTTTAAATTTTTGGGATTTTTTGAAAAAAAGTCGCATTTTAGAATTGTAAAATTAGAAACAAATTGCAGAACATGTTTTCTTAATCGTTTTTACAATGTTATTTTTGGGATTTAACTTGAAAAATTCTTGATTATGAGGCAAAAATTTGATTTGTTACCTAAAATAAGGTCTTTTTTTTAACTTTTTTGTCATAAGGAGATTGAAATTTTTATTTGTGGTTCTTCAAGTTGTTTTCCCACCCCTTGAGCATGTTTTAAAACTGATTTTACTCTTTTTCAGGATGCTCAAAGCCATTGAAGACTCAAAAACGATCATTTCCCAGGCCACCGCCTATCTTTTTGGCCTCTCAGAACAAGATAAACAGCAAGTCAAAGTGGACACTGAGCATTTCCTGGATTTACTGCCCAAACATAAACCCATCGAACCGGTTTCAACGATCCTAATTCAGAATTCACTGGGATTTGAACGAAATGAAGTCCATTGTATCGCCGTGAAATCCCCGAAAATTAAAATTCGAAAATCAGAAAGTTCGGAAGTCCCAAAACAACAAATCCAACCGATTATAATAGTCAAAGATGGAAAGATTACCATAGAAAAAGATCAGCTTGAATTGTGTTTCGTTGCGAACATACCAGCCCTTGGAATTTCGAGGTATGAGCTGGTCCAAGGAGAAGATAATGCAAATTTCGTGAAGATTCAAGCGTCCGAAGGAGTTGAAACGAGGTGAGCATATGATTTGAAGAATTTTTTGAAGTGCTAGAAAAGTTTTGGACCGAATTTTTATTTGAATTTTGAATTTGCGCCCATTTTGGCATTGTGTTTCATAGGGGGAGAATAGCTGAAATTGGTCTTGGAATTAAATTATGAGATTGTAAAATGCGGAAATCTGTGCAAAAAGAATGATTTTTGTATTTAAAATTGGGTTTTTTTTATTTTTACATGCAATAATATATTATTTTAGTAACTTTTCGCCATTCGAAGCCACCAAATTTGATGGTGAAATTTTATTGTCAAATGAGAAGACTAGTGCCTCCTTTGACTCCAATACTGCATTGTTGAAGTCTGTAAAGCCTAAAGACGATATCAGCTTGGATATGAATATGGAATTTGTCTTCTACGGAGCTCGGGGGAAGAATCGATGTAAGTGTTGTCTAAAATAAGGCTTTTTATGTGATTTTAATCGATTTTTTCGGTGGCTTGAGGGGTTACGAATAATTTATAGGGCACAAAAGGTGATTTTGAGCGAAATTGATTTTGGAATTGAATTAATTTTTGAGTTCTTGATCTTTTTATTTTTTTTTCTTGATTTTGCATAAAATAAGGAAATTGTGGTGACAAAAAAAGAAAATTGCTGAGAGCTTGGGGGTTTATAGGAAGCTTGAGGTGTAATGAATGTAATGTATATTGGTTTTGCTTTTTTTATCCACGATTTTTTTGACTTCTGACATTAAGTTGACATTATACTTGATCTAAATTTTCAGCTCGAGATCCTGGTGGAGACTCCCTCTCGGGCGCCTATCTTTTCCTCCCGAATGGCAAGGCAAAGCCCCTGGAGAACAATAAGAACAGTTTTGTAAAAGTTTCCGGCCCAATCCGCCAGTCAATTCACATTCTCGGCCCTCAGGAAGCTCAAATCCTTCAAGAAATTCGGTTGGATCAAAATGAAGACTTCTTGGATATTATAAATCATGTTGATATCACGACGCAGAGCAACTTTGAGGTCGCAATGCGCCTAAAATCGACGGATTTCACCAACAATGAAGAGTTTTATACCGAGCTGAATGCCCAACAGGTAGGTATAATACAGGGTGACCCAAAATAACGGAGACAATTTTTGAAGGGTCCCACCGCGAAAACCGGGCGTTAGAGAAACATAAGCGACAGCGGGTAATGTTCTATAACACCTTCTTTATAATCCCCGAGAATTTGGTGGAATCATCATGTCGCAGAAAAAAGTTACAGCTTAAGAAAAATGCTTTGCGCCGTTTTTTTGGCCCTCAATTTTGGTTCCCTTGTGTTGTGTAAAGCCTGGCTGTACTAGAGCCGCAGAAATGGCAAGTTCATTTGTTTTGTTAGACTACTATGTCCGTAAGAAAGCAGTTGCATAGGTTTTTGGGCTACGGTTTTTATTTCTACGGTGGTACCGATCTCAACATTGAAGATCGCCATTTTTTCCAAATTTTTTCCATAAAAAATTCAGTTTTTTCGAATAAAGCTAAAACCACTAGTACGTGTTCTATTCATAAATACAATGATTCTGAAAAAATCTGTGATTGCTTGCTGGTTGCAACAGCTTTTCCTTAACAAGTTTCTCGCCCAGAACTTCCCCATGGCACGCTGCTTTGAGAAAGATGGGTTATCGATAACAGAATGACAAGATGGATCAAAACGGGGCTTTATGCTCCAGCACACTTATGAATACGACTCTTAAGAATCAGCCTAGGGCACTTTCGGTCTTACTGTGTCACCGGCTCGACCGGTATGCCGCCTAAGGCAAAAATAAGGCAGAATTCCAGTGATTACCAAGTGGCATTCCGTAGCAGTTACAAGATGTTTCTCTTTTGCTTTTATGGTGTTCCTTTAATCATCTTCTAGTAACTCGTATTACATTTTGCCTTATCTAACATTTAAACTCCTTCTTACGCTTACATTTAAAAAAGGCCGATTTTTGCACTTCAACTGCCTGAAAATACTCGGCTGTAACTTTTGAACCATAGATAGTTAAGCTTGGTATGATAGCTCATTTTAAAGGTCTTATTACGATAATTAATCACTGCACATCTCAAACTATTCCGAGTTTTCTTTTTTGAGTAAGGCAGCTTTCTTGTAAAAACACCCCACGGGCAGAAGGGTCCGAGTCAACCGGATATATTCATGTCGTTCAAGGCAGAAGAGCGTCGTACAACAAAACTATCGGTAAATAAAACTACCCTAACGTGGTACTGAAATATAAATAAGGAGTCACCCATGAATCTTAATAAGACGCAGAAAAAACGGGAAATCTTTTGTCTCCGTTATTTTGGGTCACCCTGTATTTTTTTATTTTAATTTTTTAATTTTTTGGGATATTTTTGAAAATTTTTGAATGGATTTGTATGTGTACGAATAGTATAAGGCTTAATGTATGTATTTTTCAGATGATCCGCAGGAAGAGGTACGAGAAAATTCCATTACAAGGTAATTTTTACCCAATGCCGGGAGCTGCGTTCTTGCAAACGAAGGAAAAAAGATGGTCCTTATTGGGCAGACAGGCTTTGGGAGTGGCTAGTTTGGAACCTGGATGGATGGAAGTGATGCTGGATAGAAGGCTAGACCAAGACGACGATAGAGGATTGGCGGAGGTAAAAAAATCGAATTTTTTGGAAGAAATGGGGTTTTTTGAGAAATTTTTTGGTTTTTCTTACGATTTTGATGTATTTTTTGAGTTTGAAGGGTTTTTATTGAATTGTAGACACTTTATACGATAAAAAAAAATTTATAGATATGTCGACACCTTATACGATCAAACATGTTTTTTTTCTTTTCAGGACGTGCATGATAACAAGCTCACAGAATCCAGATTCCGCCTCTTAATTGAGAAAACGCCCTCTCAATCCTCAACAGACTCCAAGAAGATTGATTATCACTCGGTTCGGGCTCATCATTACAGTCTCAAATTGCATTATCCATTGATTTCGATGTCCATTTCATTAGATGAATCATCCGCCAAATCTTTACCGGCCGAATGGAAACCCTTAAAAACGGATTTGCCATGTGATGTACATTTATTGGCCTTTAGGAATTTTGGAGAAAAGACGGTGTATTCGGATGGAAACAGAAATACCGTACCGAAAAATCAGGGTGCCTTGATTCTGCAGAGACTTGGCATTGGATGTGATGCTGAAAATGTGGAGGGAAAATGCAAACCATCGGATGGAAAGGTGAGAAATTGGAGGGAATTGGCCTAATTTGAGAGGGATTTCAGAGGAAAATTTATATTGTAGTAGGTGACTGTAATATATTTTTTTCTATGTTTTTCAATTTTTTGTGGAAAACTGCAAAAAGGAAAAATGGTTTTTTTAATTTTTTTCAATTTGGAGACATTTTATACGAAAAATTTTTTGGATTTTTGAAATTTTTTTAGTAAAATTAAGAGGAAACGGTATAAAACTTGTGAGGAATCGGAGGGAATTGGCATAATTTGAGACGGATTTTAGAGGAAATTTTATATTGTAATAGGTGACTGTAACATATTTTTCTGCGTTTTTTTTTATTTTTTTCAATTTGGAGACATTTTATACGAAAAAATTTCTGGATTTTTGAAATTTGGTTTTTAGTAAAATTGAGAGGAAACGGTATAAAGCTAGTATTTTCAGCTCCTCCTCACCGATTACTTGGTTGATTCTCCCAAAAAAGCCAGTCTAACCTCTCTGACGAGCATGGACGAACTCCATTCCGTGAATGGCCTGCAAGTTCAACTGGAGCCATTTGATCTGAAAACGGTTCGAATCGAATTCTAAGCCATCAAGAGATCAGTTTATTTTAGTCACTTATTATTATTATTTATTTTTTTAGCTATTTTCATCTTGTGTTTTCTGTGATATCGGGTTGTTTCTTTTTTTGTACATTTTTTATATTTTTTGCTGATTTTACCCACATTCCAATAATTTTTTTTATGCGGTGTGCCTCTGAAATTTTAATAAAGAGGATGAAAATTAATTCGGAAGAAATGAAAAGAATTTTTGAGGAGTTTTGCAAAAAAATTTGTCATGGATAATATAAAAATTGGTCTCAAAATCAAAAAAAACGAAGGAATATTTGAATAAAGTGCAAATGCACTTACTCAGACATTCCCAACATTCCAAACCACTTTTTTTTATTTATTTTTGAGACTTTTCCCGCAGGAAACGTGCCCTTTTATGGTCTGTAATAAAGCCGACGAAATCTTTGTCGCGCTTCCGGCTTTCCCCACTCACCGTTAGCCGAACGTACAACTTCAAAGAAGAAGCGGAACGTTACGAAACGATCGCGGGATTTCCGGCAATCAATAACCGCCGCTTTAAAACCCCCGAAGATTTGCTTGGGTTTTGCTGCCGGGGAGAAATTGCATTCGTCGGGCGGTGAAAGTAATGACCGATTCGAGGGTTTGAACTGTGTCAAGGCTTGTTTTTGGAAGGCGACTTGTTGTTGTTTCTTAACTTGGATATTGTAGGAAATTTGGGATTTTTTCTTGAAGACTTTCACGGTGAATTCTCTCTTTTTTAATTTTTTTTATCCTGAAAAGATCAAAAATCAATCTCTAAAAGGTCTGTCGCCCTCTGCCAGACGACAGCCGTGAAAATCAACAATCTTTTTTCGAGAGAGCACGCGAAATGAAGAGAGTCGGCCAGACTAAACGTTTTTGCCAATAACCTTTTTGGTTTCTGCATGGAAAAATTTTTTCTTCATGTACAATGGAGGACCTGATCCAGTCGCCAAAAATATGCAATTTTGTTTCCAGGAGGGAATAAAATTGCCTCAAAATACCTCCCCAGCCAAACAACGCTTCTTTGAAGATCAAATTCAAAGCAATGTTCTTTTTGGTTGCAGATGGAAGGCATTTTGCGGCAATTTTATTGCTTCCTGGAGGTAAAATTGCACATTTTTGGCGGCTGGGACGGCATTCAAGATCGATGGCGCATTTTTGCCGCCACCGATCGGCCCCAATTTTCGGTAAAAATGACAACAGGGCTGCGCCTCAGCTGATAACTAGCTAGTCTAAAAATGAAAAAGAGCCAAAAATGGTTTTCAGATAGAGTGAAAAAAGACCTATCCAAAGATATAAGTACTTTCTATTGCATTTCTCTCTGTAACGATTTATATTTCCTACAAAATTTCAAGTTTTAATTTTTTATTCATGGATAAATGCACTTTATGAGGGCATAATTTTCTGACCCAGCGCTGCGTCAGGTCCACCCATCATAAAAATATTGTATTTCGCTACAAATCGCCTATCAAAAGAAAATTTTTCCTGCCAAAATTTCAGAAAAATGGCACCAAAGAATTCACTTACATCATTCCTCCTTTTCCTTTTGATCTCCCCTTCCCTCGCTGATCTCAAAATCTCCATACGACCTCCCAAAGAGCCTGCGGCCTATTCGAAAGTTAGTGAAGGAAATGGTTCCGAGGAAGTCGACCTGCTCGCCCCGATTAACGGCCCCTTCACAACACCTCTGTGCATCGAAGAGTTCGCCTATATCAGTGAATCAGAGCCCACTGATTATATTGATCATGTCGTTCTGAAGGTCAATCTAACTGATGGCCGGGATAAGCCCTGGGATTTCTATGCAAATGCAACGAGAAACTTGAAAAGATTGTTGCCAAATTTGAGGAGTTGCACAATAAAAACGGCGTATGTCAGATACGTCAAAGACTTGGTAAGTGGCCCGTAACTTTTAGATCATTGTAATCACAATTTTGTTACAGTATCAAGTGAATTTTATGGAGAACATTAATTATATCGAGGGCATCTTGAACAAGGTCACATGGGCTTTTAAAACTGAGAAGTTGCATTTGAACAATGTCGAGATTACGGAGGAGATCATCAGCGATCAGGAGGTAAGTCATTCAATATACTCGACATTTTGCGAAAGACCGTGGAAAATGAGGAGACGATTAAATGATTTTAACTCCAAAAATGGCCAATTTCAGATCCCAGAAGACCCGAATACTCTTTACTCCATCTTCGCGCATCGCGTTTCTTCTCACGAACTTCGAACTGGTCCAGTCTACAAGACCAATCTGAACGGAGTCCCGATCAAAATTCAATTCCGCCTGTCTTCGCTCCACCTCGACTTGGGACCGTATTTTAGAATCCCGAATGAATGGAGAACGCTGACTTATCAATACCAACGATACGGAGTCTACAATATTGAAGTGATTTTGCCGCAAAATTGCGTCCGAATGATCTCAACACACAGTTGGGAGAGGGGTTTGTGTCAGATTTCGAGTGGACGGAGAGTGAATACGATGTATGGAAGTCGCGGACAGACATTTGAGTTTTGTTGCAATGTATAAAATTATTGATTTTTTGATCTCTCAAAAGTGGGCTAACCGTAAAGAATAAAGTTTCATTTTTGTCTTAACATTTAAAAATCTTTTTTGAAATATGGTCTATTTATTTGTAAGGTCAAGTGTAAAGTTCCCAAAATTTTCAAGTCAGAAGCTGCAACGGTCGTTGAGATACTTATCTTTAAATTTTAGCTGATTTACGATGACCCATAAAATCAGAAATTCGAAAATTATTGTGGTGGAAAATCGAAAACTCAAAAATAAAAACTGCCTTCTATTTATTGCAAACCACATCCAATATCCTTCCAGTACAATTTCCACTAATAATCATTGGCTCCACATTCATATTCATCAAATTATTTGTGTTATTTCGATTATACTGAAATCGAAAAAGAAGTTTGATTGTTCCATTTTCAAAGCACCCGCTCTCTAGTTTCTCTTTGCCATTGGTAGTAATAGTGCTAACAAATTCCACATCCAAGATATCAACAGTCAAATTTTCGACCCCAATTGTATGTTTCTTCCGATACTCCCAAATATCCATGGTTCTGGGTCCCGAACGGATGATTGGACGGATACTGCAGACATTTGAAGTTGTGGTAGGCAGATCAATAGTAATATTTTGTGAAGACAAACATGAATTTGTGATGAAATTTCTTATGTGTGATTTCATCAAAAATCCAGCGTTTTTCTAAAAATTTAAGGGGTTACTGTAACTTCTAGGACAATCAAATGAAAAGGAAAAAGTTCACCTAGAAAAAATGGGGATTGATTAGTTCACAGCTCTCGATTTTTTGAAAAAACTCCCAAAAATATTTTTTGATCTTACAAGCTACTAAAGTAATACCGTATTTGACCACGTCAATGTTATCATATATAATAAACCACTCGCCTCAACTCTCGCGTCACTCAGAAAAAAGACCAAAAAGTCTTTGCGGGTGAGCTTTGAAACGCATTAAATTGCAGACAAGGTCCGCTAAACATCGCGTTTACAACCCCAATTAATGTTTTCGGTACAGTATTTTTGTAGTGCAAGAAGGATGATTTTGAATTTTCTTGAATGAATGTTTTTAGATTTCTAGGCATTTTTAAAATTTCGTTTTAACCGGGAAGCTTTAAATTGACGATTACTTTAACAATTTCCACATACCGTAATCTCCATCCAGTCGATATCTTCCGTTTTGTTTAGTTTTACCTGACAAACACAAAAATTATCTGGTATCTTGGCTTCTCTACAACTTCTGTCCTTCGAGATTTCTTGGAATAAACTTGTTCCAATCCTATAAACGCCATTTCCATCGTTTTGCAACTTCCCACTTTCTCCGTCATACGCGATAAAATTGTTCGCGACATCTTTCAGAGTCTCATGAAGATCAAAAGTAGAAGTAAATCTGTTTTTGTTCTTCTTCAAATTCAAGTAGAGCTCGGGATGTTCTTGTTTGAATCGTTGAGGAATTGACAGGGCGGCTAGTGGCATTCTTTCCTCAACTCGCCCGTAGTAGGTTCCTCGGATTCTGTGCTGAAAATCCGTACAAGTTACAACAAATAGAAAGCTTCAAAGGCAGATCTTAATGATCTGATTAATGCTACGTAAAATAAGACAGGGATGTTGCCCTCTGCTAAAGTTATAGCTAAAGAACGGTTGAAGTTGACGAAAGAAACGGGTTGTTTGCTGCCTTACAATTCTCTGTCCGTGATCTCCGTTGATCAATAAAAACGCGTTGTTCAAAACTCCAGACTCCTTTAACTCTTTTAGGATGTTGTATAGGTACTTGTCGTAAAATTGTAGATTGCTACCATCGCCATGAGTAAACAGAGAGTAATGGTTGAACGAGAAATGGCAATAGTTCTTGTAGGCGAGAAGGTAGCTGAAACAAAAAATTTCTTGTTAGAGCCACACAACAAACATGCAAGGCCACATTACAACTTACTTCTTCCAAGTTCTCAACCAGAATGGGATCAGAAGTTTTCCATTGGCGCAACTGTAAGATGCATCGAAATTTTGATAAATGTACTCAAAATAGGGCCTGAAAAAACAAAATTCTATGGTTGTATAGATTCTTACCTATAATAGTAATCCGTAGGTACGGATCGGAATCCAGTGAAAGCTTGGTAATGAAAAAGCCCTTTGTTTGTCATTCCAATATCATCGTTGAAGAAGGTTACACAACCACGATCTGAAAAAGATACACAGTTTTGCTCTGCGTAAATAAGGTGTTGTATCCCAGTTGCAATATGAAGAGGCAGGCCAGATATAGAATAGAAGTTTTACCTTGGAGGAGTAACAGCAGTGATCACTGTGGGGATATGAATGAATGAAAAAATAATTCAACTAGATCTGCAATATCTAAGTCAGAGCAAAAACAATACCGAGAATTCATATTTCCATAGAGAGCTTCGAGAATCTTCGAATGGGACGGAATGCCAAGAAGATCTCAGGTGTTTAGCGATGGGACTCAAATTAAAGGCACAGAGATGTTGGTAGTTGTAGCGTGACATTACCTAAGCTCACCTTTCATAACATTGAACAAAAACGGAACCAATTTTTGGAAATTGCCCAATGTTTCATCCTCATCCAAAAAATCCCGCTTATCCACATATCCACTCAAATTCCTTATTTCTGGCTCAAACACTTTTCCGCTCAAGAGCGCCAACGTGTTTATGGCGGAGTTATCGCCGATCTTGGTGTAGCCATGAAGAAAATCGTAGCCATTTTCCAACATAAATCTGAGTGTTTTTGGACAATGGCGGACGAAAGCGTTGCGCGAGGTTGAATCGATTTGCAAAATAGCAAGACTGTAATCCTTTGTGAGGGTTTCGGCCTTCAATTCGTGTTTGAACGGAGCGTTGGAGTAGGCGTTGTGATAGACTGAAACTGATTGATTCAACAGTGTGGTTTTTTACCCAATGTGTGACTCTCTATTTCCCAGCACTTGATCACAAATTGGTCCTTCTCGAGCCGAAACCTTTTCTCTAACGGCAATTTCTTCCACAGCCCTTTAAACCGATAGACATTTATTGTTGGCCACAAGGCTCCAGTCAGTTCTCGAAAGTAGCAGCTGACATCGTTTGAATTTAGATGCATCGTCGACTGAAAAGGTTCGCTGATCATAAAGGATCCGTCTTCGAATTGATGAACAAAGTTATTGAACTTGGATTCAGGGCATTCATATTCAACTCGATGGTGATGGAGGTCAAGAATTGTGGGGTCTTCTAAAACCCAATAAAATAACATTTTTTTCCAACAAACTACAGCGTTCTGACACATATCTCGAACTTACCTGGTTGCAAATTTGGATAAACACACGAGTTTTCAAATGGATGGGAGAATTCATAGTCAATCAATTCTCTGGCTACGAAGTCCTTCTCGGAAACTATGTGTTCCGTCGAGGGATCTATTAGATCATATTCCAAACTGTAATCTCTGTCCCAGTAGTAGGTGGCTCGCAGAATCACTAGAACAAAATAGAGCAGCAGAATTATTAGGCAGTAATTTAATTCGGGTCTTCGAAATGTCATTTTGTTCCCAGCGAACTGACGTACAACAAGTCCTGCCTATAGCAAACAATTCTCTGCGCTAGAAAGTCAATTTTAAGCTGTACGAATCTTCATACAACGATGACCGAGTAGGTTTTTGGTCCCCGTTGTACACAGGTTCGACTGTCTTAGAACAACAACTACTCCTTTTGCTATTGCTAAACTTTCAATTCCTTCCATATTCCGTAACCTACCTCATCTTATTCTTAACCGTCTTCGGCATTTTTCTTTTTGATCTTAATCAATTTGTTTTAAAATTATCCCAATTACCCTAAAAGGTTAATTACCTTCCTCCGCGGCGTCAGAATTATAATATTTTGAAACACACGATCTTTCGCGTTTCCGAGAACAATTTGATCCCTCAGATGTCACAAATTTGATTGACAGCTATGACATATTTACATTTTCAATACAATTACCAGCGTAAATTAAAGTCCATTTTCCGACAAAGTACAGAGTTTTTTGCGTGGGTCATTTGAATAGCCGTTAAATTGGGGAGTTGACGATTCCCCAGATATTTGCGGGGAATAATCGTTATATTAACGTGGCTTTTTGAGACGGTGGTGTTACATAGGCATTACTAATTTGTTCATTCAGTGTCAATGCCGGATATAATATTTTCCGGATGTTCTCTGATTTTTGACATAAATATGTTTATGTATTATACATACATGTAGTACGGTAAGAAACACGTGAAACAGAGTGCCACGAACGCGACAAATTATGTATGATGGCCAAGATGTAGGAGTTTTTTTAAGAAAGAAGAATGACGCTTTTTTTGACCGCAGTTTCAGCGATTTTAACGTACGAGATACTATAGAAATTTGGGAGACTGCCAAAATTGGAAGAACCCCCCACATTTGGCAAGGTGTTGGCATTGTCGCATTGAATTATGTGCCTGATTTGACTCATTAGTGCATTAAGCAGCCAGTAGAACCACTTTCGAACCTTGGTTTTACGGCTTACGAAAAGAAACGTCCAGAAAATCACTTCGCGTAATATACTAGTAAAAAGAAGACAAAATTTTACTAACTCTATAAGCTAATAATGATTTTAGTATTTACAATTTCGCCGGCTTTGCTCGCGTGGCAGAAACCAAATACGTTTTTCTTGACATTCCGTTCCCCAATCCGTAAAAAGTGCGTTTCCAAAGTACTCGTACTGGCCATTCAAGGAATACGAAAGTTTATCTACACCTAGAAGAGTCCATTCGCGTTCCTTCAAACACTTTCCATTCCCAAATGTATTCATAATTATTGCGTCAAACTTCCGCATTATAATTAGGTGACGTTAAATTGAACATAATTGTATGCTATCACAATCAATTTATTTTTTAATATTATAAATTCTATTTTTTTGTAGTTTACAATTTCTTAGTGAGCAACTTTGTCGCCCAGAGTTTCCAACTATTTACTTTCATCTTACTATACTTTCGAAAAGAGATAATTTTTCTTTTTTAAGCCGAAACGTTAGACGATTCTTCGGTTGGCCAAACTAATCGTATATTTTCGCACAGATAATTTTATTTCTTTGTTTTCATATAAACAAATGCGTATTCTTGGCATGAAGCCATTTTGCGCCGTTATTGAGATTTTTTGAGATACGTTTTTGGGGCAAGATGAGTTATTACTACTAAAATATAGCAATGTCTGGCATTTTTGGGAAGCCAAAAAATGGTAGTGTAACGGTTTGCAGCAAATAAAATTGTAATGTTATGATAGCAGAAGATCATCATTTTCAATCTTTGACGATCTTTTCGTTGAAAAATTTAAATCGTGAGAAATCCCGCCAAATTTGGCATTCTGTTCTATGCAGCGAAAAGGAAGTTTTTGGAGTGAAAAATGATGACTAAAATAATCTTTAGCAATAATTTTTTTTAAATCACATCATAGTATTATAAATTTTTTCATTGTTCAAGTTCTTAGAATTGCAATTTTCATTGTTCTTCCGGAGGAACAAATGTCTAAATATTCGAGCGCCAGCTCTAGACATTTTTTTAATTACTTTTTCCAATAATTTATTTCGTTTGGCCGTGCTTTATATCACACTTCTCTTTTTTTTAATAAATCATTTTTTGAAATCTATTAAAAAATTTTAGTAAGAATTTAGTAATAAAAGATGTCGAACCGTGAAAATTAATTGTCCAAAATTGATGCTTCCCCAATTAAAGTACATTTTATAAAACATTTTTTGGAGGTGTGCGAATTTGGTATCTACTCAGAATGGTAAATCCTTAAAATTTTTAACTAAACATCCTTATTTGCAAATTCAAGCCTCTCGAGAGTGAACGTGATTGCCGATAAAAGTAAGGCTCGTTGATTGTTTTGGACAAAACGTCACTTCGTGAAAGATTTTATCAGATGCACGCAAATTCTTTGTACTTTTGTTGATTTCATGGCCGGGACTTACAAAAAACGTCTCGCTTTTGGCATTTCCTTCTCCAGCAATTAGGATTTTGTTAGATGAGTTCTTTCCGACCGAAGCCACTTGCAGAGGAGAGTTCTTTCTATAGCCGGCTCTCCTCATTTTCTATGGTTTCCAGTCTGCAATCTTTGCTGAATATCTTGGTTCTGCATGTATAGCTGGAGCTAAAAATTGGAGTGTTTAACGTACGACCTACATAAGAGTTGTGACCAAGATTTTATGAAAATCTGGTGGTTCTTTTTTCGTAAATTGAAATTTTTTCGAACAGGACCTTAAACCCTCTCTGTTTCATTTTTTTCACTCGGTTTTTGTAGTCTCATATCCGTGTCCTGTAAGGAAGGCAAAAAAACATAAAGTGATGATGTTGGGCGATTTTAAAATTTAGATTCCAAAATTTTTGGAATATTAATATCAGCGAAGGTGGGAGAGGAGAACACATAAAATATTAATCCTACCATTCTGTATGCCATTTTTGAATTTTTTATCCCGTGTTTTTTCCTTTATCCCCACTAATAATAGAATTTTGGCCCTTTTTTTGCAACACTGCAACTCTAAAAAAAGAATTAAAAAGTGCGAGCAAAGGCGCGGTGTTTCCAAAATTTGGCCACGTTTTGATGGACAAAGGACTTGAGTAACGTCATTTTAAGTCGTTGAGAGTTCACTGTTTTCAAAATGCTCTGCGATTTTATCTGATTTCGCCCTTTTTACGGGGGGAAGGCACGTTCTATGGTCAAAAATCACAACAATTGTCATGTATTATATAAATTGATTCCGAAAAGCCGTTTTATTATCTAAACAAAATTTCTTTGCATATTGTAAATTTCATTTTACTGCAGAATATGGCATTTTACAACTTGTTTTTAAAATTTTTCTGGGAATTTAGGGCCCAAAAAGAGATGTAAACAGAATGCCATAAACAGTAAAAAAAATTAAAATTTTAGAATTTGATGTAAATTAAATAAATTTCTGATGTTTTTCAGGCATTTTGGTTTGCATTTTCTACTGTTGTGCGCTTTTTGAATGACCTATAAGCCAAAATCTACCTTAGAACAGAATGCCAAATAGTGGCGGGAATTTTAATTTTTCAAATTTCAAACTGCAGCGGAAGCTGAATATGGCTGATAAGGTCATTTAGGAACACTCTGGCAAATACTACTTTTTCTAAACTACTGATTACGGCCATACGAGCCATTCTTACACATGTTTACAGTGCCCAAGTTGGCGGGAATTTAAATATTTAAATTTTTGAGTCAAAAATTCCCGTCAAGGCCAATCTTCACGTCAAGGCACGTGCTTCCATTAAACTTTCTACACTAGTAAATTTGTCATTGAGGTGAAGTCATAACCGGAAATTTGTTGCGTTTCATCTCCATTTCTGACCTCTCCGCCGAATATGATTAATTTCACTTCATTATTCAGTTTTCAATTAAACTATGATGATCGCATGCTATATAGTGCCACGATTCCCCTCTACTGTTCCTATTATTATCATAGGAACAGTAGAGGGGCGCATTTCCTTGCGATATCGTGGTGTTTTTCCGAGAAATCACAAGATCTCCGCGAATATCGTACTCAATGTAAATATGCCCGCAATACGCAACTTGTTTTGCGACGGAATTCCTGATATACACCTACGGAGTGCAAACTTTTGCATGTTTGTTTAGTATCAACTACGAGTGTTGGTTTATGATGCAACCTTCGCCGCTCAGACCATACCTGATATTAAACATCCTGGTCCAGATTCCCGAGGGAATGTGGGGGAGAAAGAGGTTAAAGTTTAGATGTGCCGGAGGGTCGAAAGATGAATTTGGAAGGAAAAATATTAATGAAAGTATTTTAGGCAGCAAAAAGGTTTTATTAGGGCTATAAACAGAGTTGCGAGGGTTCAAACAAAATATATAAAAACAAAAGCTTTGGCAAAAAGAATTTAAACTGGGATTTTTCAAAGCTCAAGTGTCGGTTTTTGATGAAACTCGGGGTGGATGAAGATTAGAGTTTTCTAAGGAACATACCAGATTTCTAGCCTCTAATCGTCAGGAACCTTCAAGATTTTTAGGCCCTAATTTTCTGAAATTTTTTATTTATTGGGCAGTTTTTGGTTAGGTGTTTTTTATCTTTCAGTTCTAAGCGAATTGCAAAGCATATAGGCTAAAAATGAACTTTTTTCTCCGCAAAGTTATTGCCCAAAGTGTTTTTTCATTGACCGTCTCTTTTTTCGCAATCTCGGTCGTTGAATATCACTTCCCATGCAATGCTTGAGCTAAAATTTTCAGTGATTGATACGTCTTCTAGGTAAATGTCACATGCGAAATTTCAAGAAAATCGAAGCATCGTACTTTGGTATATTCGCCGTTCTACTAGACCATCTCTTTCTTCTACTATTATATTTACATAAAAATTCTTTTGAGGCCTAGAAATCCATTACAGCCTAGAGCGTAAACACACTTGACCTTTCAGTTTAATACCGCCCTGAGAGCTGTCTATGCCTATAAATTTTCAATTCCCTGAACTCGTTTCAAATATCCATATTCTTTGGCCAACTTCGACCGCCTTTCCTCGACACCCAACAAACATTACCTTCAACCTATTTGTTTTGATGGGAAACGGACCAAACGACGTCATGTAAAATTGTCACATATAAGGTTTGGTTTTAGACATAGTATTGGACGATAATACCCCATAGTTTGGTCGAACCGAAGCTCCGAATTTACATTTTTTTTGACGCTAAAAAGTACATATAATAGTAGTTCCTCCAAGAAATGTTATGATGACTTTGGAAGGCCGAAAACATCGGTAAGGTCCTCGGAGACTTGCTGGTTTCCTTGAAATTTCGGAGGTGGTTTACGTATAGGCCAAAAATCAACCCCTCAAAATTTTAGCTTCCGTCTTGAGAATCCAGCCAATATATTTAGCGCGTTTTGCAGACAATAGATTACGTGATATAAGTTGAGAGGATCAGAGCAACGTTTTTCGGCTAAATCTTTTTGACTTCTGCGTGAAAAAAAAGTTATTTTTTACCACAAAGAAATCACAGAAATTGACAAAATTTGGACTTGTTTTAGGAAGTAGTAATCTAAATTTGAGCGTTTTCAGAACCAGTCGAATTTTGAGAAATTCCATTTTTAGCCTAATAATAAAGGGCTATCTATTTTTATTCAAAGAATCACTTTTTCGCGGTAAACGTGGTTCAATACATGTCATCAATGACTCTATTCTGAGGTACTGGCCTTGATTGCACCCCTCATGCGCTAGTTTTATCACAATTACCTTCTGCATTCCGTTAATTTTAGTCTTTCCTCCGCTTTAATCTTTCGTTGCTCTTCTCCTGAACAACATTTTTGTGTCACATAATTGAACACTCGTCACGCCATTTCGTCGCCAATTACGAGAATTGACCAATAATGAACTGTTTTCGCATAATATCGGCACCGCCCACCAACGAATGCCAACGCAAAAAGAGGGCGGAGCTTACGAGTCCGGTGGGAGAATTAGCCCGGATATCCCGGCTAATTCTCAAAATTTGCTTTGAATTTGCGTTGCGCATTGAGAATTGAGCTTGATTCTGGGTAGTAAACTGAACTCTCGGGATATTAAATGGCCTAGAGTCACGTTAAATTGGAATTTATTTGATTTTGAGGGATATAAGGCGCGTGCGTTCTACTTCTCTTCGGACTTCCTCGCAGAAAACCCGCATTTCTTGTCTGTGGGCCCGCTAGACAAGAAACGCGCAATTCTTGTCTAAAATTGCGTAACATTGCGCAATATTGCGCAATTTTCTGCTCTCTCCCCGTGAAGATTTTTTTCTTTTTTTCTCTGCTCAGCCAAGAATTGCACATTTCTTGTCTAGCGGGCCCACAGACAAGAAATGCGGGTTTTCTGCGAGGAAGTCCGCAGAGAAGTAGAACGCACGCGCCTTATATCTTTGATTTGAGACACATTTTTCTGATAAAACGCTTGTTTTGCCACTTCAAATTCGTTGCTCTGCAAAGTTTTTGCAATAAAAACATTCTGCATGATCTACTTTCCCGGTTGCTAAAGCATTTTGCAAGTTACCATACTTAAAATGCGGACTTTTTTGATATTTTTTGGATCTTCTGGGTTCAATGGGGAGGATAATATAAAAATGACTTTATTGAGGAGCATTTTGGTTTGCTGGCTCCAAAAAACGTCTTCCTCACGTTCTCAGACCTTTATTGTTTTCCGTGGTAATCGGTTTGAGTTACTGTAGCTGCCACTTTCCTGCTATTCTTTGATTTTCCTAAAATCAGAGATCTGATGGCCATGTACAATATAGGTTCACCGTGTGGCCCATTGCTTTACTTCCGCCCGGTAAATTTTTCGGACAGCTAAGAGTATTAATGAGCATCCCATAGTATGTTGTTTCCGACTGTACTTTTCGTTTTTGCAAAAAAAATCCAATTTCTCCGTAGTTTGAGCTCAAAGTTCATGTGTAAGATAAATTTTGCAACATCTGCAATGTTTTACGACTGTTTTTTTGCAATTTTATTTGTTTTCAATTAAGCCCTTGTTTTTCAAGCTCATTATGTCATCTGAAGCGTTTTTACTCACTTTTTCTTACTGTAACTGCTTGTTATCTAAAGTACGATTAAAGGCCATTAAGTTTACATGCTTTCGTTTGATTTTGTAATGCATGGCTTTGATTTTTTTGTCATCATTTTTTGGCTGTATTTTTTGCCAAATTCGGATTTTTGTGATACTTTTTGATACCAAAATAAAACTTTTTTGAATTTCCCTATTTTATGTCTACTTTCCAATTCGTTTACCATCGATATTACCTATAAAATTGCCATTAAATTTCAAAAAATTAAAAAATAAATTTCAGGGTTGGAGTGATTGCCGTTGTGCCCAAAAAGCGACTAAATGGAGCTGAAGATGACAAATTCTCAAGCCCTTTGTCTTGTTATGGCCTCGCTGATTGTCCTCACATCCACCGCGCTACCTTTGTTGGAGGACCGAGAGTAAGTTTGAAAGATTAAAGAGTAGTAACTAAGTTACGTTTCCTCATCGGAAACGTGTTGGAAACTTCCGTTCTCAGGCTTACTGAGGACAATGTTGTTTTTGCCTACGGTAATGATGATGTCAGAGAAATCTTGGTGGGACAAAGCTTTCAAAACATGTCAAAAAACATTCGAGTTTTCCCAAATCCGTAAAAATCGCGTTATGTAGAAATTTCGATAAAATTTTTAAAAAATTACTTTAATTTTTCCGAGACTTTTCGACCGCATTATGCAGAATATAACATATAAAAATTTCAAAGACATTTTTCACAAAAGTTTTGCGAAAAAGTACTTTATATTTACCGTAATACAACTTCACCAACCACCTAAAACAATATAGTTTCAGCATGGAGAAGAAGTCGAATCTCAACGAATTCATGTCAGCAATGAAAGGCGCTCCTCGATTACGCTATGGGAAGAGGAATTTCGACGAATTCGTGCCCGCATATCAGTATGTCATTCCTCAACGGTACGAACTTTTTCTTTGGTTTTTGAAATCACGATTTTTTGCGTAGCCAAAAAACTATATGAAAAAATGTTTCAGAGCAGTTTACAAAAGGATGGCCGCCCAGAATCTCCCGGAACTGATCGATACGCTAAACGGCGCTGAAAGATTACGGTAGGTTTTAAATCTTATCGAAAAAGTGACTAAACGCAGTAAATTATTTTAAAATTTCTTCTATGTATTCATCTAAAATACGTTGTATAAGGCCACAATTCTCTTAAATTTGCAAAATTTACGGTTGGGATGACATAAAAAATTGCTTGCTAAAAAACACTTTTTATCGTATAAAATGTCACCCCATTTTTGCCGAATTGTCAGTGGTAGGTTTTTTAGCCTTTTCAAACACCAGACCATATATAGATATTATTACAATCATACTGTAGTATATATCTTTGGGTACCACCACGATTTCCCTGAACAGCAATTTTACACTTCCGAACGGTGTATGTAGAAAGTGTTACTGCCAACATCAGTCCTACAAGGTCCATTTTTCAACATTTTTGCGGTAATTGCGTGCAATTACACTATTGTTGCCAAAAAGTCATTTATCACTTTGTGCAAAGATAATGAAAAAGTATCAATTACTCTCCAGTGAGCACAACTTTTAACCATGACACGTATGTAATTACGGGCTCCCAGCTCTGCTTTGTTCACATGTTTTGCGGCGGGCTCAGATACTGCCTGGGGGTGTGGGATCGGAACCAAATGCCCTGAGGGTTCATTGTCCGCAAGATCGGCCATTGTGCCGGAAGGTTCCCAGAAGTGGCATTGAAAGGTTTTCGATACAATTCTACGTCAATCACGGCGCCAATATAACAAAATATTATTCCGGGCACTACTTGCTTATTCAGAAAATGAAAATTTTTTATTTTTTATTCAAAAAAAATTTTTTTTGAGTGGGATACAAATAATGATTAAAACATTAATTGCGGAACACAGAGGCATCTCCCGCGTATGATTAACCCGCTGCTACGCGACTAAACGACCCCGCAGGGGCTTTTTTCGAAGGGAAAAAAGTGCACTAGATTATTTATTTTGGTTGGTAATACAACATTTAAAGAATATTCAAAGGGAAGATGTATGATAATAAATAGAAGAAGATATATGGACTCTTTTGGACCCGGAGAACTTGTTTTGAGGACACGAGTGTATGTGAAGTTGAGCGTGCAAGAAGTCGGGCACAAAAAACAAACAGATCCACTAAAATACAAATATTTGTAATCAAATTTGCTAAAAAAACTATCATGATATATGAAATACTACTAGGGTATTCAGAAAACATAAAAAAAAATCAAAATTATGATCAAGATATGCAAATTTTAATGAATGAATATTTTCAGATTCGGCCGAAAGTGATCTCTGAACACCTCGATGGAGATAAGCACACGAACTTCAGTCGACTCACGCTGTAACGGAGCATATTATTTCTCTTTGTTTTATGTGTTCCCCCCATAAATAATTTCGGTTTATAAATCTAAGAAATTTGCTGATAAAAATTGAATTTAGAAATGGACAAACAGTGTAATGTTACAATTAGAGATGTGCAGAAAAAACTCAAGACTTTTTTTGTCGACCGGTCGATTTTTTTTCTTAAAATATTGTGTTTCTTAACTAATTTTTAAAAAATTTGCTTTTTATGAATTTTAAAAAATCAAGTTTTAATTATTTTTCCGTCCTTTCTTATCCGCACCACAAAAAAATAGTATTTTTTCCAATTTGCGCCCGAGCCTTCATTTGGAAGAGTGCTTGTCAAGCAAAATTGAAAAAAAAAGTGTACAATAATCGCGTTCAAACACTCTCCCTGAATTTTTTGAGGGAGAAATTGGCAATCGAAGGACTGTGGCCAATGGCGAAGACAACACTTTGATTGTGGTTGACGAGAATGATAAAGAATAGAAGACGAAGGCAACTTTTTGTGGCTTTATTTTTTCTTTAGTTCTCCAAAAAAGGAGCTAGCCTTTAGGGGATTATACTATTTAGATAAAAGTTGAAAAAAATTGCATTAGAACTTACAAGAGGAGTACCCCAAGTGCGACGCTCAGATTTTGATAAAACTCGGCACAGATTTAGAGTAATTTTGTCTACAATATATGTGAGAATCCTAGCTCGCGCTTTGCAGAAACAACCAAGACTTTTAGATTGAAAGTCGGCGAAAATTTAGGACTTTTTGCCGAATTTCGGCACAAAAAGTTGCATACCGATTTCAACCGTAAAGGGTAATGTTTCCACAAAAAATCAATTTTTTCCTCACGAAACTGCCAAAGTTATGGCCAAAAAGCGTTTTTCTCTCTGACCGCTATCCGCGTTGGGCGTACTCTCTCCGCGACAAAAATGGTTCAATATTTCGGCGGCGCCCGCAAAGCGCGAGCTAAAACTTTCAGGAATTCATATTTAGTCCATAACCGACGTGTGTGCAAAATTTAAAGAAAATCTGAGCGTCGCACTTGGACTACTTCCCCTGTTAGATAAAAGTTGCAGAAAAGATTGCATTAGAATTTATTACAGCATATTCGAGAATATTACCTTGCAATTCCTCAAAGTTCCGGATGACAATTCTACCCGAGTCGCTCCGCAAACTCCGAATCTTTGATCATCGTGGTTGTGGTCCTCTATGTGATTGAAATCGCTCTCTGCAATTGCCTTCGATCCTGTCTCGCCGCCCAAAGAAAGCCGGAGTTTGGAAATCCATTTGTAAAAACGGAGGAGAGGAAAAGCGAGGAAATGAGGCGAGAACACGCCGCCGATTATGATATCTATAAGACATTGGTGAAGAAGGAGAACAAACGAGCTTGAATTTGCATTTTTGGGACATTTAGTAGCTTTCGGTTTACAAGGCTGCAAAAGGTCTTGAAAAAAAACAAAAAATTTGTGCTTTGTGAAAAAAGGTGAGAATTCTTTCCGGTTTATCAAGATGAAGATCCTGCTCATCTGATTTTTCGGAAGGCGATGTTTCAGTTCTTTGAAGCCAATACTTTTTAAAGTCAACTTTACGACTAGGAGCGTCACTTTGCCTAGAGAAGCGGGCCCTTGTTTAAGCAAGATGGTGGGCGAACAGAGTTTGATGATATTCCAAATTAGCTGCAAGTGCGGCGCTCACGTTTTCTCCAAACTTTGAAGACACGTTGTGTCTAGGCCACTTATCAATCCTTAAAATTTTAGCTTGGGGTTTGAAGGAGTATCGGAGACATTCAACGATTTTTGCCAAAGGGAAAGTATGCGAGATGCGGAGAGCGGTAGGAAAACGGTTTTTCGATCATAGCTTCGATTTTTCGGGCATTACTTTTTCTAAATTTAGCATGGAAAAAATAGCTTTTTTCTTGAAACAATACGCTCTCTAGCAGAAATTTTTGGGTATTTTTCTAGGACAGAGCTTGTGAGAAAGATGTCGAATTTTGCTTAATTAAAAAATTTTATTTGTCTTTGCAATGCGCGAGTTTCCTTTGACAACTTTGTTCACACATTGCTCTTTAAAGAGCCTTTGCCGTTTCTGGTTTTCCTCACAAGTATTCCACTTGAGAATGACCTTGACTTGAGTAAGAGATACGTATCTCCCCTCTCATTAAAACTCACCATTTTCGAGGTAAAAGATCCCTCATCTTTTGAGGTGAATCGACGTGGCTTTCAGTTATTCTGCAGAGGGTTTCTGTGTCTCTGTGATACTTTCTGATACTTTTTAATAATTGGCTTTCTAACAGACCTATCCCTATCCACCATGAGCACCTCCAACGACTGGATGGAGCTTCTCAAATCGAATCTCCAAACATTATCGGCCAACAAAAATTACGGCAGATTCTCCAAGAAATTGGTGCCAATTTCGGCCGGCGAAAAGGAGGTTAAATTCGAACTGACGGTAGATGATGAGGAAATAAATGGAAAGGGGACGTTGTATGGGGGACAAACCGCCTCTCTGGTCGATTTATGCACCGCCATGGTGATGATACAGACGGTGCGGGACACCCCGTTGGTCTCGGTGGAAATATCTTGCAGGTAACGGGGATTTTCAGATTTTTTGGAGATTCGTAAGGATTTTTTCGATTTTTTTGTAATTTTTTGCATTCCTTGGATTTTTTCGGAGGTTTTTTTCGATTTTTTGTAATTTTTAAGAGTTAAAAAAAGCTTTAGGACTGACTAAAACTTGTTTGACTTAGAATTCTAAAAACCATTCTAAATTTTTTTAATTTTTTATCAATTAGATGTCATCGTTTTCAACATTTTTTAGATTTTCCAAAATTTTCAATTTTTTCAATTTTTCGAATGCCCTTCTCTATTTTCTGGCCTTGTAAAATCCCCGAATTTTATGGAGTGCTCTAAATTTATGGCCGAGACAAATTTAGGGAGCCGTTTTATTCGATTTTAGTCTGTGAGAAATGTCTTTTCAGCTACCTCTCCCCTGCTTTTGTCGGCGAGAAGCTGATAATCGAAGCCACCATTCTCCGGAGCGGTAGGAATATGATTTTTGCGGAGGCTGTTTTTTCGAAAGAGAATGGGACAATCGTTGCCAAGGGGAAGCACACCTGCGCCCGACTCAACCATCTCAAAGTGGAAGGTCAAATTGTCATTCAGTAGATAAAAAAAATTTTTTTTTGATGAATATGTAAATTTTGCCGGAGTAAAAATTTTTTTGTGTAAAATAAATTTTAAAAATTTAATTCAAAAATTGTAAAAATTTTTTTTTTTTGATTTTTTATTAAGTTCTTGATTATTTTCATTCAAAAATATTTTTTTAAAAACCAGATTAAACATTGAATCTTGGAAGTTCAAAAGTTTTGTCAATAAACCAAACTTTTTCGGCCGTATTTTCGGCCGTTTTTTGCGCGTGGAAAACAAAAAAGTGAGAGCACGGCGGGAAAGCTCGGGTCTATCGAAACATGGCCCTCAGCTTCCTCTCTTCAACGAGGTCTCGCCCGAGGGCATCTATTTTCCGCTGGTTTTGAGTTTGTTCCCTGCTTTTACAGTGTTGTAAATTTCGAAATATATGGGGGTTCTGTTAAATTAGAGTGGGAAAAGTGTTGATGCAGTGGGCTGAGAGGTTTTCAACGACTTTTATAGTTACATGTTTTGCTGGGAAGTTTTTAAAACCGAGTTTTTCGAGCTTTCGGAAAACAAATTTAATTTTATCGAAAATTGGCAAAATTTTCTATGCTTATTGTCTGTTAAATATGTCCTGTTTTCTTTTGCTGCAAACAATTCCCTTTTTTCGCACAAAAAACTTCCAAAAATAAGATTGTTTTCAATGTTTGAATTGAGCAATTACTTTGAAGTAAAAAGTTAGTTTCTATTTTTCCCTTTCTCTTTGAAAGAGATCAATAAAGTATTTTTTCGCTATACGAACCTAACCGTAGAGTCGACAAGGGGAAAGTTCAAAGTGCGACGCTTACAAGGGAAGTCACTTTTTTCGCAGATCGATCCATACTGGTGACCTAGTGGACTGTGAAGGCCTCAGGCTGTGTAAGAAGAATCTGGCGTCCAAAAGTGTTTACGGGCCCTGAGGGCAGAGTTATGACTCATCAAAGTTCGCGCAAAAAAGGTTCCGAAAAGACCCTCCAAAAAAAGGGATCGGAGAAGTGAGCTTCGGTAGCAGAGTGGTTCGCAGATTTTTCTTTTGTCTGGAAGGGCCAGGGTTCGATTCCTCTTCCCGGCAATAACCAAAAATAACATTGTAAGAGTAGCGTAAATTACAAAAAAAATGTTTTGAAATATTTTTTGAAAAATGTTATTATCCTGTCGTTAAAATTTGGGGAAGTCGTTGTGAGCTTGGACACAGTGAGGGATAAGAGGGCATTTTTCCACCGAGGATCGCATTCAATTTCTGGAATAATGCGGCGATTACGGTGGATCAAGACGCCGTATCATTGGAGAAAACTGCGGGAAATTTTGGCGTGAAGGTAGGACTGGGATTCTCAATATGTATATCTCTGATGTTTTAGAAGACGCCCTTGGTGATCGTGATATCATGCTGAAGCGTTTGAGTCAAACGCTTGCTGTCTGGGCAGGTGATAAATTTAGTGACGATATGAACAAAATCGTAATTTTTTTAATGACAGGATCATAATATTTTTCAAAAAATATTTTAAAATATTTTTTTGTGACTTACGCTACTCTTACAATATTAGTTTTATTTATTGCCGGGAAGGGGAATCGAACCCTGGCCCTTCCAGACAAAAGAAAAATCTGCGAACCACTCTGCTACCGAAGCTCACTTCTCCGATCCGTTTTTTTGGAGGGTCTTTTCGGAACCTTTTTTGCGCGAACTTTGATGAGCCATAACTCTGCCCTCAGGGCCCGTAAACACTTTTGGACGCCAGATTCTTCTTACACAGCCTGAGGCCTTCACTGTCCACTAGGTCACCAGTATGGATCGATCTGCGAAAAAAGTGACTTCCCTTGTTAGATTTTCTTCAAATTTTTTACTCATACACAGGCTATGGTATCAATTTCCGAAAATTTTAGCTTTTGCTTTGCAGGGGTATCCGCAATACAACAGTCCTTGCGAACGAGAGACTGCTCAAAATGCGGAGAGTGGTCAGAGAGAAAAACGTTGTTCGGCTATGCCTTTGCAAATTTCGTGTGAAAAAAGTAGATTTTTTTTGTAGTAAACTTTTTTCTAGCAACGACAATAATCACATTTTTCAACTCTCAAAAAAACTGTCAACTTTTTTCAACTTTTTGACCTAATAATCTCGGATTTTTACCAAAGCAGGAGCTATGAATCTCATGCGGATTTGAAAAGCCTTTTTTAGAACTATAGCCAAATTTCACTAATATCTGGGTGTCACACTTGAAGCACTTCCTTTTTAAATTTAAAAATTTTACCCTCTCAAAAGTCCAAAATCTCAAAAACTTGAACCCTAAACTTCCGAGATTTTTCATGGATTTTCATACAGCCAAAGCTCCAGCTTGGACTTTGCCCTTAAATTTGAGACTTTATTTGTTTATATCGGTTTTTATTACAACGTTTAAGTATAAAGAAAGTCGTATATATAAAATTGCTTAAAGATGACGTTGAACCAGGATTACCTCAACTCAATAAAGAGCGAGCTGGAGAAACTACCAATTAAAGTAAGCTGATCCTTTTATAAAGACCTGTTATGGGTTCAATTTCGTTGTCTAACCGTTGCTTTCAGCACAAAAAACGGCGCACTCATGTCCCATTCCGCCCAACCAACAATGTGAACTACTTGAACATGATGAAGAATTGTATTGGAAAGGAGCTAAGCAAAGTTTCGCTGCCGGTAGGTTGTCTTAACAGCGCCAAATTTGTAATAAAATTTCCCATTTTTTGCCAATTTTTGATTAAAAATCTTGGTTGTTTCTATAAAACGCGAGCTAAAAACCTCCCGTATGCTTAGGATTAAAAAATATGCAAATTTGACCAAGTTTTAATAAAATCCGAGGTTTCCAGTTGGTTTCTGGAAAGTTCTTTCCCACTGCACATCAACTCCTTTTTTCAGGTCGATTTCAACGAGCCCTTGTCGACTTTACAACGCCTAACTGAAGACTTGGAATACTCCTACTTACTCGACAAAGCAGTTTCTGAAAAACACGATCCCTACAAAAGGCTGGCCTATATTTCAGCATTCGCTTTGTCGGCCTATTCCTCGTTACCCAATCGAAATGCAAAGCCGTTCAACCCACTGCTCGGTGAGACCTTCGAATTCGACCGACGAGAGGATCGAGGGTTCTTTTCAGTGGCTGAACAGGTAAGCTGAGGAGAAATTTTAATTTAAAATACGACGTGTAGCGGTGGGATTACATTTTTGACTTTTCTTTATCAAAAATGTTGACAATCTTAAATATTATTTTAGAAAAAAATCGGCCGAACAATAAAGATCTTTACTGACGAGAGACTATGGAAAACGAGGAGAGACAGTTCGAGAAAACTCCTTTTTTTGCCCGCATCCGGATAGATTTTACTCTGCAACTGTCTACTTTTAGATGGCAATTCTGTGTTTTCGGGGAATGCAAATAAATTTTTATTTTGATAACCGTAAAAAATATAAAATTTTGACCGACTTTAGCTTATTTAAAAATGTCGCTGATTTCTGCAAAGCGCGAGCTTAACATATGACATATTTCCAATTTCGTCTTCTGACAGGTGTCATCGAAGAATCACCTTAAATTGCGGCTACTTCCAAGCAGTTCTAAGAATACCGCCATGTGTTCATGACGTATTTTAAAAACTAAAAACCAATGTATAATATAGCAAGCTTTCCCATTTTTTCAAGCCTTCCTTTCAGATTTCACATCACCCTCCGACAAGTGCCTTGTTTGCCGTTGGCGAAGGCTGGGCGGTTCAGGAGAAGTACACCTTCTCCACCGCAGTAAAAGGCAAAACTTTTACTGTCCATCAGGACGGCTCGACTTTCATCAAATTCACGGATACTGATTCCACTTACGTTTATAAAAAAGTAAGAACTTTTTCGGCTCAAAAAAATTATGTTTTTTTATTTCAGCTGCCCTGCTCCAGAGTCATCACAAATCTCGTATCGGGGAAAGTAACGACTTCTTGCGTTGGGGAAATTGTCATTTTCCAAAACAAATGCGCCGCCCAGAGCCGAATCAAACTTGTGGAAAACAAAAACGGATCTCATAACGCCATTTCGGGTACAATTGTCGATGAAAACGGAAGAATTCGATATCAACTGCACGGAGTTTGGGATAAACACATTTTATTGCGAAAACTCGATGAAGATGGCGATATTGTAGCCGAAACTTTGGTGTGGCAGCGATTTCCACTACCGTAAGTCGGAAAAAAAATAAATAATTGGCAAAAAGAATGACTAACTTTTACACCATTTTTTATTTTGATTTATCTATAACCTATTGTAATTTTTTCAGTGAAAACAGCGAGAAAATGCATGGATTCTCTCAATTTGCAATCGAACTCAATGAACTTGAAGAAGGCGTGGCGCCAACTGACAGTCGATTTCGCCCGGATCAAAGGTATATGGAAAATGGGGATTGGAAAAAGGCGAATCATGTAAAAACGGAATTGGAATCTAGGCAACGATTACGGAAGGCCAAACGGGACGAACTAGGAAAAAGTAAGAGTTTATGGTAATCGCCGTAATTAAAGTGGGGGACCTGATCCAGTGGCAAAAAACGTACCATTTTGCTTCCGGGAAGTATCAAAACTGTGACAAAATGCTTCCCTCTCCAAGTGAAAAAACTCCGATTTCAAAAGCACGCCCGCTCATTTTGTGAGGAAAAGGAGCGCCCTTAAAAACGAAGTTTTTTTTCAGTTGGAGAGGGAAGGATTTTGCCACATTTTTGATACTTCCCGGATGCAAAATGGTACGTTTTTTGCCACTGGATCAGGTCCCCACTGTAGCAAAACAATTGTTGATTTTTTGATAAAGTTATTAACAACAAGGTCAACTTAGACTTCGACTTTATCGACAGACCCTCCTAATCTCTTTTTCAGCTTTATAAAGGACTCTCGAATATTTTAGACTTCAATTTTCTTATTTTTTTCCAAAAGATTTCTTTAATTTACCTTATTTTAGCTTACACTCCCCTTTGGTTTCTCCCCAAGCCCGAATCTCGCCGTCTAACCGCCGATGACCAAATCGAATTCAACCTCGACTACCTCGTCCATCACCGGACGAAAGACTGGAAAATCTGTCCAAAAATATTCGAATTTTAGCCTTCTATAATATTTATATTACTAATGAACAAAAAAAGAACCTCGTATGATCAGGGGTGGTCAGTGGGCCGGCCCGGCCCAAACGGGCCGGCCGGGCTCAAAAATGGAAAATTACAAACGGGCCGGGCCCGTCACGGGCCGGGCCGGGCCGGGCCGCGGGCCTGGGGTTTTTCCGGCCCGGCCCGGCCCGTCTAAATTACAATGCCAAAGCGTTGGCATTCATTGTTTTCGCGCCGGGAAAATTAATTGATGTTGTTATAGTTGCTGTTTCTCAAGTTCTAACACGTTTACAAGTCTATAGTTCCATTATAGAACCACAAAACTATCACATTGATCCTTTACTAGCTAGATCAACGCCTTTTTTGCCTCAGTTTAGATCCCGAGCCTGGGCGCAGTTCGCAGAACCCTCTATAGACGGGCCTGCACGGGCCGGGCCGGGCCGGGCCTGGAAAAAGACTAGACGGGCCGGGCCGGGCCGGTGATTAGACGGGCCGGGCCGCGGGCCGAAAATCGGAAAAATAGGGTCTGCTGACCACCCCTGCGTATGATACAGTGGGTCTATAAGCCTGAACTCAAAATGACTCTAAAGTAAGTAAGTGACGTCGTGGAATGATCAAAATCTTATCGATGATTGGTAGTCTCCATAAATAGAGAGCTTATGTTATCATTGAGGCTTTCCGGTTGTTTTCCATTTTGATCCGTCCAATTTGACGGCTTCAAGCCAATCATCACAGACCGTCTCTCCGTCAGGTGCGAGGACTATTCCTGAGCACACAACGATCGCTTCATCACCTTGTACGATGAATCCATTACCGAGATATGAATCAATTTCTGCACCGATACCCAGGAATTTACCTTCCTTGTTGAATCGTTGAAATCTTCCGGTTTTATCCATGACTAGGACTTCGTTGTTATAACTACAATATCTTCAGTTTCGCTGGCTCTATGGACAGAACAAATTCAAAAGAAAATGACTTACCTTTGAATGGATCTTGGGAAAAAGATCTGGCCATCAGATTTGCCCGCCTCACTAAAGCTTTGAAGAATCTTCCCTGAATTCGCATCGATAATCTTGAGCGTTTGCCTGGAAAATTAAGAATCAACAAAAAAAATCCATGAAATTTGAGGCATAAACAAAAAATCCGAAAAAAATTCAAATTAACATCATGTGTAACATATTACTTTGAACAGATGTTGATAGGGACAGTCGTTGTCGCTGCAACCAGAGTATCGTCGTCTAATAGGCATAGTGCTTGAAAGCAGTAGTCGTAGGCCGAGCAAAAATCATTCCATCCAATAGGACAGTCGAATGTTGTTTTATATATCAAGAACTCATCTCCGGCAACAGGCTGTTTCGTCAAGAACATGTCTCCTTTCGTGTTGATCACAAAGCTTTGGACTTTTCCATCGATAAAACTCTCTGTTTCAACTGATCCATCAAGGTTTAGGATCCGGAACTCGGTCAGATCACCTTCGCCAGTTTGGATGTGGATTACCTAAATTCAGTAAAAAATATGTCCAAAATACGTACCTTGTCCTGGAAAGCATGAATCTGACAAAAAGCCATCATCTTCTTAGGAAACTCGTTCCTTTTCTCCCATAACACCGCTTTGGTGTCCTTATTAATCTTGAAGATCCCACCCTTGGAAGCCACCCAAAGACTGCCCTCCGAATCGAAGCAGATCGAATATGGAATCACAGCACCAATAGGAGTGAGATGCAGGAGCATCTCATCCAATCGCTGATGATTGGCAGTGTCGGATGGGGCTTCCGTCATGTTTAATCTGAAACTTTCTTCTAGTATAATATCAAATTTCAAAGGTCAAAAAAGTCATGTGTTCACACAGAAATGATGGTAGAACCCATTATTAATCGTGCGGGAATATAATAACGAGAGGACCGGCTGAAATAACGGACCAAGAGACCAATACTCGATCTTTAGTTTTATCCGTGTGCGTGGTCATAAACAAGATCATAAGGGAAGATTTTAACCCAATAGACAACAACATTGAAAGTACAACTTACAAACACTTTAACCGTAAGCTTTTACTGCCACCGGCCACATTGGAATATGGGGAAAAAACTAGTTTTTTAGACGAAGAAATGTTTTTTGGGCAATTTATTTTAGTCTCCAAGCGATGCATTGCAACGCCAAAGTATGTTTGGCATTCCGTCACACGTATAGAGTTTCCACGGAAACGAAAAAGGAAAGGATCGGCTGGTAAGAATAACAAATTTGAGCAGCTAGAAGGTGGTTTTGTTTTGTTATGAAGCAAGATGGGGAACAGGACAAGGAATCGGCTGAAAATGGATCAATTCAGGATGTTCACCATGCAGAAGACAAACCTTGTACAAGTTCGAGTGCAGAAGAAGTTGAAAATGGTTTTGACGGTCAGTAAAGGTTCTTTGTTGATTTTCAATTATTTTATAGTTCTTTTTTTGATTTTTTATACGAGTTATATTGCTTTAGATGAGGACGACGAATTCGGAGATTTCGAGACAGCTGAAATCAATGAAACAGAATCCCCCGTCGAAGCAACAGTTGTAAATGAGTCAAGGAAAGCTTCGCAAGATTATGTAAGTGATTTTTCTTTACCTTTTTACAAATTTAGGTATATTTTCCGGTTCTTGAGAATATCTTCAATAATGATGGAGTATGGGATGTAGAAGATACGGAAAATCAGTCAAATTTTGAGCAGATCGATCTCGATTATTTCTTGGATGAAGCATCATCCGATTCAGAGCTTCCGTAAGAAATTTATTGATTTTAAAGGGAAAATATGTTTTTCGTCTCATCAAGTATAATTCTAGGTCGGTGCAACTATGGAACTTACTTCGAGTAATAGAAGAGACAAACTCTTTGAAGTTCCGATGGCCCAGTTCCAATTTGTCAACAGTATTCTTGGAATCAATTGGAGTTTGTGAACCTAATATGTTATCTATGAGGAACCCGGAAAACCAAGCTCCCTCAAGTCAGTCCAGGTTTGGTTGTGTCCTTTCTTCTTTTCTATTGAAGTTTAGGCCGCTTTTTGCCGAGAATCCGCTCATGGATATGGGGGCTATTGATTTAAGTTCTTTACAAGTTGAACCAGCAGATTTTGATTGGAATAGAGCTGGATTGGTTAACCCATTAAGAATTTGTAAGATTAGTGTTGTCGTAGTCGTTAAGAATGTCGTAATTGTGGCTGTTAAAGTGTTTTACCCTTTGTAGACGGTTTTTGGGAAGATGGGTCATTTTTTCGAAGCTTTTAGGTATCTCGGGTCATGGTTAATATAAATTTTTGAAGCTATTTTTAGGCCTTACTGTCTGTGTTTAAGTTTTTAATGCGTTTGTTTTTCCTTTTTGATGTTGTCCTTCCCCTTTCTCTCCACGTTTTTTACAATAAAAATTTTCAGCTTCGTCGGACCCAATTGCAAATCTCAATTGCGACTTTTTCCAAAACTCTCCATTCAAAATGAATGGAAAGAGCTTACTTGATGACGACCTAGCTGCATGGGGATTGGATTCGGAAAATAATAAGTGAGTATTAAAATTCATTTTTTTTTATGTTTTTAGGTCAAACGGCCAAAACGGATATACGCACGCAACTAACAATGGATTATCCTTCTTATCAGTCGACGGATTAAGTGAGGATGCCAAGGAGCTACTAAACAGGCTTCCAAATCTGGAATTTATGCTTTCCGACCGAGTTCAACGGCTAAAATAATATCAGGATGCCTAAAATAAGGTCAGAATTGTTCAAAAACAAGGTGAAAATACGATTTATTCACTTTAAGTAATTTATTATATAGTCTATATGGGTTTTAAATTCCAATTCGATTGTCTTAACGAGCTTTTAATTCGATGTGTACTAATTGTATTATACTAGGGGTCTTTGGAAAAAATTTAATAGAAGAGTTGTGATATGTATATCAATTTGTTGCTAAATCGGTCCTTTCTTATGCTAGCACTTTGTTTATCTGACATATCATGGATTGTGGTTGTTAATTTACTTTTTAAAAGTCTTAAATAGTAATGGTGATATAGACGTAAAAAAGATTTCTGTGCTTGATGAAGATAATTAATTAATAAGAGATCGTGAGGTTGAAAGGTAGATTTGGAAGTTGTAAGTACAGTGTAATGTATATGGACGGTAATGGAAATTGTTTCCCTAAAAAATTGCCAAAAAATTCTATTAGCCATTATGGGTAATATAAGTCTTCAAATTTCACTCCGTTTCTGCCGAGAAGTCAGTGTTGCGACATGCGCAACGCTTGACTCGAACTACATCACGAGTAATAAAGCCCTCAGGGCGTCCAGGACACTGCAATGTAACTTGATGGACATAGGTCTCAACTGGAACACAAATTGAGCAGCTTCGAAAGGCGGCTTTGAGTTTTGATGATTGCATGGTGGGGACAAAGAAGGAGACACAAGTTCCTTGGCAGAATCTGAAATAATTTAGTTTTTGAGGGAAGGCTTTAAAAAATAAAAATTTTTGGTTAATGTAAGGTAATTTTGCCGGAAATTTTGCAACAACAACACTATGCAGAAAATTTCCTATGTTTGTTTTTTAACAAAAACATTAAAAATTTTTTTCCTACTGTAATTTAAACTGATTTTTTATGCCTCAGCCTCATTATTTGCCCACCTATTGTAAACGTTCTTGGCCAGACAGCCCACGATTCGAATCTTGTGTCGGTAAACACTCGCTTTGCACGTTTCGTTGAGCTCCAATTGTTCGATCGGCAGTCTAATCAGTTCTTGGTCGGCCTGAATTTCCTCCGGAAGCTGCGCTGAAAAAGTTAAAATTAGCACAATGAGAGCGATTATTGTGTCAATCAGACAGTTTTGAGCCGACGGGTTCAAGAATTTGATAGACAGGATTAGCGAGCGTCGTATGGTGTGATACCAGGGGGTTTGTAAAACAGTTGACAGAGGGCTTTCATGATCTTTATGATACTTTCTGACGTCAATGTTGGGTTCACTGGCATTACTTTCAAAAAATCTTCAAAAAAGGAAACAAGAAAGAGAGTAAAAATTAACATTTTCAAGCAAAACATCATGGAAAATTATGTGATAAAATCAAAGAAAAATATTTTTTGCTCTGGCTTTACGAGTATTGTGCCCTATAAGTTATTAATTTTGCCCCCTCGGTATTGGTACGCACGGTCGACGAAAAATTTTTGGACATTTCGTTCCATACGCCGTGAAAATAGAGCCTCAAAGTCACTTCCCATAAAAAAATTTTCTTATAAATGCCACTTACATTTGTGATTTTTGGCCAACAGTTTTTCCCTCAGCCATTCCGATTTCTTGACTTCCTTGGCCTTCACGACGACTTTATCCTCGGAAACCGCCACTCTGTTTGACTCGACTCGATATAGCGCGTTTTTTGAATTGTCATCAAATTCAAAATCATCGTCGAATTCAGTGGAATTCTCATTGGACAAATTCTCGATACTCTCATCGACTTGAGGAAGATGATTTTCGCTATTTATAGCCGCTGCCGACGAACTAGGCAGCCCATGAATAACCAGTTTGAAAACGATATTCAGCACCCACCATTGCCACATAATAAGGTTCCAAAAGATTGGCGAGTATCGGTGTTTACAGCCAAGACTATAATCAAGAGTACAGCTGTCTCTCTTCACTCTGATTGGCGCCATTCAATTTGCAAAGTCGGAGTGATAAAACTGATAATTCGTAAATAGGGTCAACATCGAATTTACAGTCAGAACTTTGCGTGGATCTCTGGTCAAAACACTTATGAGAGCAAAAAAAATTGTAGGCCGTTTTTGGTGTTAGATCCAGACATTCAAATTGCACTGTGCTGCTTACAATTCCCGGCTTGCACAGTGCGGAGAGAAATGATTTTTTTCTCGCACGGTGCGGTAATTTTGCAGTTTTTCAGAGACGAAAAACCAATAGTTTACACACGAATTTGACAAAAAAAAGTTTATTTTCTTAATCGGTCTGATACTACTATACATAAACCAATAAAAATAAAATTGTTTCAGTCCTCCGAGCTGAGAAAAATCTCATCCGAAATTAAAGTCGGGAACGAAGATTCCTCGCAGTCAAAGGTACTGTAGCGAGATGAAATATCCTCAATGGCGTCACTGATAGCGCCTGAGGCGTTTCCCAAATAAATATCCATCACTTTACGGTCCAATTGAAAAGCGGGCGGTGTCTGGAGCCAGAGATCTTGAAGGGCTTCGATCTTGATGTCGGGATACTGAAAAAATAAAATTAATCTTACGAAAATCTCAACAGAATGTAAAAGTTGGAGAATATGGAACTTACATTGTGATGATGAACTCGATCGATGCACAAATCCACAACATCGCTGACCAAAAATTCCTTTTCCGACTTCTTCATGTTGGCCAACAAACAGTTGGGTCTGTAGGCCAGATGACGTTCGGAAGGAGGGTTGGACTTGGCCAAGCACAGCTCAAGATCACAGAGAATACATTTGGCGCAAAATTGTTCGCTGCTGGTCATCATAAATCCAGAGAGCGCCAACTGCAAGGAGATGGGTAAATTGGTGTAAAATAAACTCATAATGTTTGATTTTGTGGCCATGACATGAAAAAAATTAATTCTAAATCTTCTCTATGCCAATAAAAGACTGTGTTAAAGATCCGATATTCATATAACTTACCTTCTCGGAAGTACAGACCGCACCTTGCACATCATCATAAGGCCAATCAACGAAAGTGTTGAGTCGGTTTTCCAATTTCAACCAATCCCTCAGATGAATAGACTGGTCCTGGACGGTCATCAGGAACTCTTCCATCGGCGGAAGCTCAACTTTTCTCTCAAGAATGTCATCAAATTCGGTCAGGATGCTGCTGAGACTGTCCAGGTCAAAGTCGCTGATCCTGGTGCTACAAGAGCTGGCCTGATCTTGCTCTACAACCACTTCGGTTGCCATTCAACCTGTTTGAACGAGGTCTCGACTGTGAAATGACTTTGTAAATAGTTTTTCAAAAATTTGAATTCTTCGTATACAATGTCCTCGCAATTTGCACTGTGAAGAAAATCCGCAAGCTGCGCCCAAATTATCCGTATTTTTTCGTTTTTTGACCGAAGCTTGGATGGAAAGTTGTAGATGGTGGTTTATTATTGGTAGGAGACGCATTTTCGATATTTTTGAATTGAATTAGAGCTGGCTGGTTGATGATAACAAGATCCGTCAAGTCTTTTTGGCAGCGGCATCTGAGAAGTGTTGGACTGGCCATAAAATGCGAAGAACTTCAAGGTAAGTGGAAATTTCGGATTTGATTTTATTTCTTAGACAAGACAGTGCAATGGGCGCATGATGCGATTGAGCAGGAAGTTACAAAGCCTTCACAAACCCATATTGTTTTATTCAATTCTCATGAGCCGGCGTTGGCACTGAAGTTCTTGGAGTCCGGCTTTCCAGGCGTGTCATTAATTGAAAGCAACATGAAGATGGCTAATCGACAAAGAGTAAGGGTTTTAAAATTAGCTTTCTTGGGGACTTACGGTTTTTGATATAAGGCGCGTGCGTTCTACTTCTCTTCGGACTTCCTCGCAGAAAACCCGCATTTCTTGTCTGTGGGCCCGCTAGACAAGAAACGCGCAATTCTTGTCTAAAATTGCGTAACATTGCGCAACATTGCGCAATTTTCTGCTCTCTCCCCGTGAAGATTTTTTTCTTTTTTTCTCTGCTCAGTCAAGAATTGCGCATTTCTTGTCTAGCGGGCCCACAGACAAGAAATGCGGGTTTTCTGCGAGGAAGTCCGAAGAGAATTAGAACGCACGCGCCTTATATTGTAGTAGGTAAAAATGATTTTTGATTTTACTTATGTCGTAGGTGATCAATGGCGCCTTGCATTGTAATAAGGGTTAAGCCAGTTATTTTTGGCTTTTTTTCAACCTGTTGGAATAATTTTTGGCCTCTTTGTTGTTATACTAGGTATTGGGTCCTTATCGTGAGTAATATGTCTTAGTGTTGTGGATTTCTTGCAGCGTTTCAGCTACCATCTCGCAGAAGCTTTAGCAATCTTTTTTTTTTATTATTAGTCATCACTGCCATTTTTCAAAACTTCTCCTCGTTTTTATTAGCGAACTCTAAAGAAGTTGTAAAATATAGGATGCTAGTAATGTTAAGGCGACTCTGGCTTGATTCTTGGTACAAAAATTAGCCGGCAAAGCATGAACAGATGAATAATTTCTTTGCCTGGAAGGCTCGTCTACGTAGGTAATTTTTCCCACTTGAATTCCAGCCTCGTCCCTTTCGTCTTTTATATCCGAGTTTCTGATGTAAGCAAGCTCTCGATAACGGCTCATTCGGTGAAAAACAGTGAAGTCTTCGTTGGGTTTTGTGAATCTGAAGGGCAATATAAAGTAATGAATGAAATATGCAAGTCTTACATTACACTGTCGTCGAAAGCGCTTTCGGTCTCCTTTTTGATGATTTTTTTGTCGTCCAGTTTGATTTTAGTGGCTCGATTGTCGATTCTATCGTATTCCACAGTAGGATTTATAGTTGTCTGGTTCTAAAAGCAGAATTTAAATGGATGAAAGGCTTTGAATTTTCTGAAACGTTGTATAGATAGACAGTCTTGGATTGACTGACAGTTGTACTGTGGGGACCTGATACAGTGGCAAAAAACGTATCATTTTGCATCCAGGGAGCATCAAAAATGTGGCAAAATACCTCCCTCTCCAAGTGAAAAAACTCCGATTTCAAAAGCGCGCTCTTTTTATGATGAAAAAGGGCGCGCCCTTCAAAACGAAGTTTTTTCACTTGGAGGGGGAAGCATTTTGCTACATTTTTGATACTTCCCGGATTTTCGATATTTTTCGTATAAAATGTCACCTATATCATAAATTGCCAAAAATTTGAAAGCTGTAATCGTGTTTCAGCTAAAACTATGAAAATTTCATATAAAATATCGCCCACATGAAAAGAATCACGAAAATTCTAAACCCAATGGCCAAACTCACTTTGTGAATGACAAAGTAGGTAGTCTGAGGTCCGTACCACTTTTTACTCTCATATTTGGCCTTATGAATCTTCCCATTACGCGCCGAAACCACTAGCATTCTGCACCGCCAGTTCCCTCGAAGCTGGTGAAACTCCGCAGACTTGATTCTCATCGCATACCAATGCCGTTTCTCTTCGTACTCAAACCTAACTTTTCCGTTTTTCCACAAAACTATGGCGGAATTGAAGTCGCCAAACGTTTTCCATTGGATTACTTTGCTGGTTCCTTTGAGTTTGTCGAATGTCAGGACTGTGCCGTTGTCAATTTGGAGTAGTAATGAGTTGTTAAAATAAAACGCCATGCTGATTCGGAGCTGAAAAAGTTTTGGGGAATTTATTTGTATTGGAATTAGCTGCTGGTCGATAGAAAGTTCGAAATGAGATTAAATTGGTCCAAATTGTGTATCAAAATGTTTTGTAGAGACACAAAAATATTGTTGTTCTTGAAGAGGGATGTCTGAAAAGATGTCTTGAAAAACTTTCTCTCTTCAAAAATGGAGCTATCATTTATTTTGAAGGGATAATATTGCTGGGATACGTTTCGAGACATTTTCGAGTTGTAACGCATCTGGAATTGAAGTGTGCTGAGTTCACTTCGATCTACAGTAGGGTACCTTATCCAGTGGCAGAAAACGTACCATTTTGCGTCCGGGAAGTATCAAAAACGTGGCAAAATCCTTCCCTCTTCAACTGAAAAAAAACTTCGTTTTGAAGGGCGCGCCCTTTTTCCTCACAAAAAGAGTGGGCGCGCTTCTGAAGTCGGAGTTGTTTTCACTTGGAGAGGCAAGCATTTTGTCACATTTTTGATACTTCCCGGAAGCAAAATGGTACGTTTTTTGCCACTGATCCGGTCCCCCACTGTAACCGTCTCTCTTTGTCTCCATAATACTTTTTGATCTCAAATTCGGGGTAATTTTGATCTCTTTTTGGAGTTTTTTCGGTGCTTGGAGTCGGGCTAACCCCGTTTTGAAAATTAAAAACTGGTTTGCTCTTTTAGTAGGTAAGAACGAATCTGTTTTCCTTACTCTGTGTGGATGTCTCGTTCGTGCAGGAGACGGGCATCGCAGGACGAATGCTGGTTCTCTCTGAACTTGCCGCTTCCCTGAAACGAGATTTTTAAGAATATGTCAACCTGAGGGAAAATTTGGGGCCTTGTCAGCAGTGGCTTACCTGTGAAATTCCTTCTTGTTGTAGTTCGGATCGTACTTGTTGAAGATGCAGAATTAGAAACCAACAGTACCATGGCTACAAGTAACTGTAGGGAATGGCCCATTCATGCGATAATAGAAGATTTTACTTCAAAAATAGGGTTTTTCGGTATTATAACGGCTAAATGTAATATGGCTGTTAACTAGAGTACAAAGAAAAGATCGTCTTGTTGTTTTACAGCCATTTCAAGTTCCGAAGAGAGTTTATTCTTGTTCGTTCGACTCACTTTGACTTTTGGCACGCCTTATATGAGATTTGTTTAAATCGAATTTAGCAATTTATCCCGTGAAAAGCGCCGAACTCTCTCCTTTTTAATGGTCCTTGTTCGTTTATGACATCATTATGCCATGTCTTTTGCAAATCGAGCGCTCAGCATGCGGCTAAAATGATATTTAGCCATTAGTGGAGGTTTTGATCCACTCCGTTTATTAAATGACAATCAAAATTTGCCTAAAGAAAGAGATAATTTTATTTTCTTTATCAAGGTTGCCTAGTGCGATATTAAATTCTTTTGGTTTGTAAGAAAAGATGTGAAAATTTAGTTTGGAATTTCATAAAATTGCTCTGTAAGATTGAATTCAAGCGAGTTTATGTCGTAAACTTGAGATTTTCAATTTCGAAAAGTTTTCGTGTCAAGACCAACACATTTTTAAAACGTTGTTATATCCATTATTTTATACCCATAGGGCCGTCTTTATAGTTTAGTTTTAGGGATTAAAAGTCACTTTTCAGTTGTTGACCTCATCTCGAGCAGGTATCCACGTCTTTCACGCCTCAATCCAAGAGAATGTCCTTGCACCCTCAAAAACTGAACCTCTAAACAAACAATCACTCGCCCGAATGTTACTTTCGACAAAGAGACTCAATAATAAATGTAGGTTATCGATTTTTGTTGTTGTTTAGCAGAAGTTATAAAAAATTTATGTTACACTTGACATCAGATTTTAGTATCCTTGCTGGTCGGATGTTTCCCATTGATTTCTCAACAACAAACGGTAACATCGTCGATGTTGACCCAGTTGTTGATATATTCGCGAAGGGCGGCTGTGGAAAAATCGTGGAAAAGCAGGCTGTTTGACGAACCTTCCACTAGCCAATTGGTCGACTTTTACCCTCCACCGACGGTGTTTGATGTAGCAACACCAGCACTGATCACTTTTCTCAATGCCAGGTAAGATTTGGGTTATTTTTGGTGGCTTGAACCGGTTTGCTTGAGCAAGTTGTCTTTTTAGGTATAAATTAATGTTACACTAGGCAATTTTTGGGCGTGTTTTAAGAAGTTTGGTAAAGTTGAAGGTAGAAGATGCAGTACAACTGTATTTGCGACGTCTAAAATTGAATTTTTTCGATACTTTATTCACCATGATATCAAAATATATTTCATCGTATAAAATGTCGCCAAACGGCGGAGAATGGCTGATGGTGATAAAATTGTTTGTAAAGTAGTTTATAGGTGGCTAAGGTGGTTCTTTTACGGAGTTTTTAAAACCTTTTTTTTTGAAATCATGTTACCCTTGACAATTTTTATCAATATTTTATATGTATAGGTGTGTTTAGTCAACTGACCCTCCTGACTTGCTCAACGGACAAGGATCTCGACTTTTACTCGATAAAAAACAAGGTTTTTTCGTTTTTGTTCAACCTTTTCTTCAAAGTTCAACCACTAACGGAAAGAATTGGCTATGACCAAAACCGCTTTTACCCTCAAGCAATTGATGTACCCGCCGTAACACACGAACAGAAACTTAGAGCAGTAAGATTATTTCTTTCGTTTGAAGATTTTTTTGGATTTCAAACATATTTATGCAAATTTGTATTATCTTTGATAAAATTTTCTAATTTTAGCTAGGGTATCAAACAGATCTCTTCTACCCGGTCTTTATCATCCCTAAGAAGGTGAAGGATGTATTAGCGGAGCTATCCAATAGGTTTCCAGGCACGGATCATGAGATTTTGGCCATTGAATTGGCTTGTTTTATGGATATTTTTGGAAAACTTTCCCCGTCAAAAGATGTCAAAGCCGAAGTGAAGTAAGTTACTGGATTTCAGAGTCTTCTACGTTATTTTTTTCCTAACTAATAGAATAAAATTTTTCAGAAAAGTCATCCCAATTTTGGAGCTTCCGGAAGATTTGAGCGGCCAAGTATCAGAGCTAAGTCCAGAGGAAATTTTGAATGCATTCCCAGCAGCACAAAAGCTCTTTAGAACCACACAAGGCAATAGAGTTCTCAAAGAGTTTGTGGGGAAATTGTTAAACGTCAAACCCGGGAATTATGTGGATTAGAAAGTTGTTGAAATTTTTCATTGTTACAGTTTTTTAATTTTCAAATAGTTACTTGTTATCAATCCGGTAAAATTTAATGCAGAAAAATGTTTAAATTGAGCGAAAGAAGGTATGTATTAACCGAGGTGTTCTAGAAGTGTACAAAAGAACGCAATATTGGAGATTTCTAATATTAGTTTAGTCATCAGCTGATCGATCATCATCACAGGCTGGAAAAGTGGACTAAACAAGTTCAGATTTTATTGAGAATCACATTGTGACCTCATAAATAAAGCAGTAGGCCCACGATGACTAATTCGGTCATTTTCGAAAACGATTAGTCACAGAAAATGCGTTTATCATGACGTAATTTTCAATTTTTAAGACAATCGAGCCGACCGGCTAATGGGATGACATAAAGTCTTAGAATCGACGACTTAGTGGTTATATAGGCTATGAGCTCAGTATTTCCAGAGAAAATAAAAAAATACGTCATGTAATAACACTAAAATTGGTAAAAATTTGAATTTTTACCCCCCGAATCAATTTTAAACTGGCCCAAAAGGTGTGGCCCCGCGGTTGGGCACAAAAGCCTAATCTAGCGCCTTAAACCGTTAATTGCAAAGTATTATATTACACATGACCTTTTCCCTAAATATTTTTTTTTAAAATGGCCTCATGATCTCTATTAAACAGGGTAAAGTGTACGAGATTGAGCTCGATGAGCCCTATTTGAACTCCGAAAACAATTCTGATCTTAAAAAGCCAAAAAATACAAAAATTTCCAAATTTTAAACCTGTTTCCTCCTCTGTTTTTGGAACCTCAGCTAATTACCACCCCCTTTTTTGACTCCAAAACTACCAAACTTAACACATCCACTAATTCCAGCTCCCCGCAACTCTCCTTTTGTTGTTTATTTTCGCAAAAAAAACATTATAAAAAATGTTTAAAAACGCCTCTTTTCCGAAGGTCTTTTATAAGCAAAAAGGGACACAAAAATAGTAAAATGTTTTCGCTCCTACTATTACTGTCGCTATTAACTTTTGGCGAGAGCATTCGCTGTTTTCAAGGGACCGAATACTGGCAAAAGGAGATCAAGTCCGCCTATTTCGAATGCCCAATTTCGGCGATTACGTGTACAAAATTCGTGGATTATGACACGGAAATGGTGACTAGAGGATGTCATGTGGACGAGTGTTTTGGGGTAAGCTGATTTGGGATTTCTAGCAGAGGGTTTTTTGATTTTTTGGCCAAGTTTTGCATAAAAGTCGCACAAATTCTTTTGAAAAAACACGTCCGAATTTCAAAAGTTTCATAGAAAGTCCATTTCTCTCAAAAAAATATTTATTTTTATGTTTGGACACCCTTGAAGACCCAACGATTATTTTTCAGACCCGTCGCGGTGCCGAATTCTGTCGAAATTACACTCAACCCGGGCGGAATGAGGAGATTTGTTGTTGTTACGGTGATGGTTGTAACCGTTCAAATCACCTCCAAATCTCATTAATATCTTCTATATCAACATTTATATTGTATAAACTACTTATCTAACTTCTCAAAAAGAATTTTTGAAACTCCAGTTATCTTCATGGTGAAATAATTTATGTTCGCTATTAAATTAACTATTTACGGGGTGAAAATATGGTGCGGTTAGTATATTATTGATCAATCTTGACTAGAGGAGCCATGTTCTGGCAAGGCGTTGAGGCTGGCGACGGCGAGATCGCAATCCTCGATTAGTTTCAGCAATTCTTCCGGGGTTGGACCCTAAAACATTAGAAATGATCAAAAATTTTTGTAAATTTCAAAAACATCCTCAAAACTCCTAGATTATCTCACCTGTAATGTCTGGAAGCCTTTGACAACATTCCACTGATTTATAAGACTAGGCGACAGGTTAATGAACGAATTCTGAGCTCCAGTGACGACTCCAGAAGACCCGGAAGGGTTATTTTTCGCTTCCGATCCGACTTGAACCGTTTGTGTGCTGAGCTGGCTCAGTTGCTGGGAAAGCAAGGTGGTTCTGGCTTGATGTTGGTCCAGTGCAGTGGTTAAATCGAACATCTAAAGGCAATTTTATATGTCACAAAATGAAAAAAGTAAAATCTTCTCAACCTCCTCTCCAAAATGCGGTTCTCACCTGAACACTTCCACTGCTGGTTCCTGCGAACAAATACCTTCTTGGTCGTGCGCCCATTCTATTCGAACCTTCACATTCATGAACATAAAAAGCGGTTATTGGCTGGGCATCTACTGTTTTTATCGTACAGAGGCGTTCTCCAGTCGATGCCAACAAAATAAACAGGGTATTAGCGTCGGGAACCACTCGCTGGACAAAGATCTGTTCTCCATCTTGCTCTCCGTAAGGACCGGGATTACAGCCCTCAGGCAATGGGCTATCATCAGGCGAGGAATCGAGGGTCATGATCTTGAATGAAGCCAGCGATTGGCCTCCTGGCTGGGTGCTGATCATGCCACGGAACCGGGCCACTGACCACGAACGGACATGGTTGTTTTCATGGCACACTAAAATGTAAAATTTAGGCAACAAAATAATATTTTTTATTCAATCGGTGTCATCTTATCTCATTAAAAATCTCAGCCATTTTTCTGAACCACATGAAACTCTCCTGGGTTAATTTTCAACCAAAACCGTATATTACACTTGCCCTCTCAGACATAAAACACCTCCAAAATGCCCAAGAACCCCACTCACAACTTACCGCTAATCAAATAATTAGTCGTCAAAGCCACTCTGGTGATCGGAGACGTATGAACTGAGTGGGTTTGGAACAATTGCGGCCCATGACCAACAGTTTCTGGATGCTGGACAATAACTCGAACATTTCCGGTCGCTGTTCCATACGCGATTTCAATCCAATTGCCACATATATTTGTTTTGGGGGTTAGGTAGACCGATATTGCCGTGATTGTGTCTGCATTCGGGTCTCTGTAGAGTTCGGTGATAAGGAGATCATTGTCTTTCATTCGGAGGGGGAATTTTTGCATGTCAATGTAGTAGATGCAGCCGTTCGTGCATCCAAGGAGGAGGATAAAGCCGGCTGTGTCATAACTGGATATTTGCATCACATCTGAAAGAATTATTTTACAAATGAAATTATATATTCATGCAGATATCTGAACATATTTTATCGTATAAAACGTTTATGGTAAATTCATATGCGATATCTAAGAACTTCAAAATCAAAAGCTACATCTACACCTCCACTTTTTACGACCTTATTTAGACATCTCATACAACAACCTTTCAACTTCCAATTTCTCCAAAAAACAGCAGTCAAAGTCGGAATATCCACGTAAATCTAATCTAGCATACCATTTCACACTATAAAATATCCAACTCATAGATAACATTTTCCAATTTTTCAAATTATTATCAAAAATTACCTTGTACTTGCCAATTGTGGGTCATCGAATTCCAAACGCCCACTTTGCCAGTCCAGGACAAAGCAACCAGCTGGGATCCAATGAAGAAGAGTTTATCAATGTCTGCATTCAACGAGAACACTCCAACTGTTCGATGGACTTGAGCATCTCCACCTTCTTCTATCAGATACAGATGGATAACATTGGATGTTAACCCCAGAGCCAGCATTTTTTCCGACAACTGTGTTGGGAATTTTGAGAGGAATGCCATATGCTTTATTGGTGCGTCCATTATTCCGGAAACGAAGCACATCTTCCATCCATAACTATCTTTCATCCTAAATTTCAAGTATGAGATAATCAAACCAGGAACATACTTATAAACACATCCAAAATTGGTGTAGGCAACGGCTACGGCGTTCTGATAGGCTCGGATCAGCCGAACTCGCATTAGGTTTCTATTTACATTTTCTTCGTCCATTTCATTCTCTCGAAGGACAAGTCTTCGGAGGTCGGTTCTGATCTGCCTGGTGGTCGGATCGACTGTTGATTCGGATGATACGGTTGATAATCGTGAAGACTAAAATACCACGACAACATAAATTCAACTTCAAAAAAATGGAACCACCCTCACCAAAAAACATAAGACCGTCAAAATTGAGGTTTCTCGCGAAGCTGCTTACCGATTCTCCAGAATCGTTAATTTTGAATTTCACGGACGAGCTACTGTACATATTTTGAGAAGGGTAACCGGTAGAAAACGAGGCCGAGGACTGACGATGGGCATCTTGATGAGAATATCCCTAAAACGAGATAATAATTTATTGATTAGACCATGTTTAGTCCAAAACTTTGCCCTTTGACTTCATCGAGCTCAAAATAAAAATATTACCCTTGGTGTTACAGAAGAGAGTCTCCTCTCCCTGATGAGCGGTGATTGCATATGATTACTCGCATTTATTGACCTGTTTAAAGCCACGGAAGACACTGAAGGTATTTCGTCTGGCGGATCCAAAACTCCCATAAAAAGTACGTCGCCACAGGGCGTCTCGTTCATCTCCTGGCAGAGCTTCAACCTTTTCAGAAGCGGTGTGATCCCGTAGAACTCGGCTTCATGGATCAACATCGACAGGCTCACATTGCTAAAAATGAATCGTCTTTTATGCTACTTTCGACTAAAGGTGAAAAATAATAAGATAAGACAGAACTTTACCTCAAATCAATTTGTTGCGTGCGGAGATAATGCAGTACTCGTCGAAATAAATCAGGATCTCGATCGATGAAGAACTGAAAAATAGAGATTAAAGCCTTTATATTACTCTTCATACCTAAAATACGTTTTCTTATATCTTAAGAACACTGCAATTTTTTCAATAAAAAAACCACCGAGGTTCAATAAAAGAGTTCTTTACGCATTTTCAGCCACGTCTGTCAATTTTGACGCAGCCAGGGATATTACACTTGGCATCAGATAAAAATTCTTACCGCCCCGGTTGCATCCTCCGTGGAATTGATCCGGCCGCTCAGCAGGCTGGAGAAGAATGTATCCGGCACCCAGCTGAGCGTACTCCGACTAGTTGAAAATCGCTGCCCTCCAACATTCAAATTTATTATTTCATTGGACGACGTCCGCCTCGTTTCGGACATTATAACCGGTCCATTCACCAAGCCTATGAATAGAATAAAGTAAGTCGAACGCTTATATATCTCGCCGCAAAATGAGCGTATTATAACGGGGTGCTAGACTACAACAGAGATAACCTTGTTTACATCGGTTTTTCATTTAAAATCGGTGGAGTTTTATCAATTCTGGAGGCAAAAACAGACCGATGGCCTGCATTTCTAATCAAGCACACTTATCCGAACATTGTGGAACACAAAAAACATCTAAATACACATAATTGATAGAAAACAAAGAAAAATCACGAGTTTTGCCATGTGATACAGAAAATAATATAATAAAACGCTTCTGAACTCAAAACTTTAAACAATTTTATAATAACAAATATTATGACCTTCGTATTTCGCAGCAATACCGATTATTGACGTCAATCCAAGAAAAATATTATTTTTCACGGCTCCCCTTGCTGCGTCCCACAACGAAGTCGTGTTGGCGCCATAAATTTCTGCTCTTTTCTTTGGAAGGCGGAATTCTGTCAAAATTTGTCATTCCTCACTCGCTTTTGTTGTTACGGATCGTTGTTGTTGTTGTTGAAAATGTCCGCCGAAGTTGAAAATGTTGCTCCAGTCAACGGAAAGGGCGATGAGAAGCCGGAAAAGTAAGTTTCTTGTGTTTTATTTCAAGTTTAATTTTTTCACGGTCTGAATTAATTATTTCAGCAAGGAAAAGCAGCTTGGTACCCTTCTGGCTGAAGGAAAGAAGCTTTTGATCGCTGGAAATGTCGATTTGGCCATTGACAAGCTCTCGGATGCAGCTCTTCTTGGGTAAGATAAAGTTTCAATTTTTATGTTCTGATTTTAGAAGCACAGTGTACGGAGAGCTCGGACGTGAGATGTATGAGGTCTACATGAGCTATGGAAGGGCCCAGTTGGAAAGTTGCAACGAGATGGCCACCGTGGTAAATACCAAGGTTGACGATGAAGCTGATTCCACGGATGATGAGGAGGATGGCGAAGGAGAAGAGAACGGCGAAAAGAAGGAGGAAAATGGCGAGGAGAAGAAGGAAGCGACAGAAGAAAAGAAAGAGGGCGAAGAAAAGAAAGATGACGAAGAAAATGAAGAGGGAGAAGAAAAAGAAGGTAATGAAGAAGCACAGGCAGAAGATACAGCCTCAGTAAAAGATGGAGAAGCCCCTGTGGATGACGCTTTGACTGATATGATCCGTTCAGCCTGGGATCTCTTTGAATTGGCCAAGAAGATCGCTCAAAAAGAAGTGGATACTCAAGAAGATCAAGAAAAGAAGGTTTGGATCAGACGTCTTGCCGATGCCAGTGTTGGAATTGGGCAGCTAATGATCATCGACGAGCAATATGATTTGGCACTTGAGGAGCTAAACAACGCCTTGACTGGAAAGAAAGAGGTTCTGGACGAGTTTGACCGAGAAATCGCTGAAGTTCAAGCGGAAATCGCTCGGGTGTTGTCTCTAAAAGAAGAATTCAAACTTGCCAGTCAATCCTATCAGGATGCCCTCAATGTGATCCAAAAATCAATTGGTACGTTTTTTCTTTCTTTTTTTGTTAAAATTATAGGTGGTTTTTCAACTTGTACATATTTTTGATTGAGTCAGGTTTAACTTGTTAAATTTCAGAGAATTGTGAGTCCAAGAAGACGGAAGAGAACGCCAAGATCATCGAGAAGGAGATCAACGACCTTGAGGAAATCAGTCGAGACATTCAGAACAACATCAACGAACTCTCCGATCAAGTTGCACTTGACCAAAAGATCAAGGATGAACTCAAAAAACGGATCTTTGGTTCTGAACCCTTCCAACAAGTAGAAGCCAAAGAGGGCGAAGAAGTGAATGACATCACCGAATTGGTCCGCAAACGCAAAAAGCAACCAGAATCAGAGGAAGCCGACGAAAAACGCGCCAAAACTGAGTAAATTCGGATGTAACCCTGTATTAAATCTCACTTACAATCTCACCATGTGTAATCTGCATATTATTAACAGGTATTTTAAGTAAATGTTTTTAGCTTTAATTTGGGAATCTTTGCATTTTTATAATATTTTAGGGAAGAAAAACGTTTATGTTGCTCGCCGTGGGATTCCAGTCCGCGAAAATAAACAATTACTCTATTCTTATGCTCGATTAAGCAAGCCTGTAACGAATAGAGAGGAGTTAAAGAGACTAATAAAAACTTTAAAATCTTTAGGATGTGGTTCAGAGATCCATCCATTGGGCTTATGATTACAGACTAACTCTCAAAATCGTTTAGTTTACGCAATTTCCGCTACTAAATTTTTTTTCTTGTCTGATATAATTTATAAGTATGAAGATCTCAGAAGCTTGTAAAAACTATGAAGTACTTACAACAGAAGATTGGGTCATACAAGACCTACTTCCCTTCACCACAGGAGGTCAGTAACAATAAAATTCCTGCAGAATTAGGAAGTTTTCTTTTGATTACTCTATAAAACACCTCGGGGAGATAAAACTGGATGTTATGGCTGCTGTTGAGAGGTTTAAAGGGTCTTTTGTCTTAAGGTCATCTTAATTTGACTGTTATTGGAACTAATATGTTTTATCTGAAAAGATTTTTTTGAAATGGAATACGGTAGCTATTTACATAAAAGGTTTCTTGGAATTGGAATAAAACGCCATGAGAACCGCACAAGGCGCAGCACTCCATTTTTAAATTTTAAAACTGCAAATTTGCAGAATCCGTGATTTTTGGACCAAAGCTTTAAGGTAGATATGTCAGCAAAAAGTCATTCAGAAAATCATTGTTTCATAGTTTATAAGACCGCAGCCAACCAACAGTTTTTCCTGGCCATTACTTTTTTGTTTTTTACATGGTCTCTTTCCGTCAAAAATCGTTGAACATCTCGGCTTTCTTTGCAAACCATGGGCTGAAATTTTCGGCAATTTTGATCTAACCTTTGTGGAGTCTGTCAGTAAAATTGGAGTAAAATCTGTACATCGACGTCAATGCAATACTGTTTTCAACGATTTGTCCCTATTCTTAATGTTTCCATACAAGTTTTCGACTTTTTGCATTTATTGGCCTCTTATTGGGCATCTTCCCCATATACAAATTTAACTTTAGATTCCTTTTCTGAGCTTTTTTCTACCTTTTTCCCTTTTATTTAATCCCATCTTTCAACATTGCCATTCTTTAAAGATCTTTGGACTGTTTGATCGTCAATCTCCGAAAGTGTTTTTCGACCAACATGTAGACGACATCTAATCCAATGTAACTAAGCGAGTTCTCTTCTAACCTTACAGCCTGCGGATTACTGGAATATTCTGGTTTGGGAGTTTCTTTTGCTGATTTAGTTCTGCATCGAGAAGGGCGAAGTTTCCTCTTGCGTCGCGCGTGAAAAGCTCAGTGTTTTAAACGTCGCTTAAGGGATGCGAGCGCTAATTTTATTACTGTGCCTTTCCGTCGACGTAATTTATTCGCAATGTGCGGAAGAGGAAGCCGAAAAGAGTCGGAACGGAACTTTGACGACCCTCAGAGATCTACGGCATTACAAGAAGAAAGCTAGCAGTGGTGAGTCTTTGTTTGATGATGTGATGACTATGCTGTCAATATTGAAATTGCCGAAGACAAATCTCTCAGATTTTCTTCAAATTTTGCGTACATAATCTGACCAGAATGCTTATAATTCCTTTAAAATGTTAGCTTGCTCTTTGCAGGCGCAACGGAAAGATTCATCGATTACTGCAGATCGAGGACGATCGGAGACTTTGTTTTCGGCCTAAACTCTGGGAATTTAGCGCTCACAGTTGCTTCAGAACCCAAAATATACGCAGAAAATTTTTTTAGTGTATAGTATAAAAAACGAGTTTTCTCAGGCTATCTCCGCTTGTTTTCCGTAGCCTTTTGATCGTAAAGTTTGCAAAATATTTTGACTGCCCTTGTAAAGCGCTATCCAAAGTCTTTACAACGTTAAATGAGCTGCAAATCAAATCGTCGCACCAAGTAATTTTTGTTGAATTTTTAAATCTTTTCAGATCTTCCTCGTCGCCGTAGGAAACGGTGTTTTGGCCCGTTTGCTGGAATTATTCCTCCACCGGGAGCTCCAGCCGCGGCAGCCGCAGCTGCTTCTTCTGGTGCTGCTTATCCCGGTTATGCTGGCTACGGCTCGTATGGCGGCTACGGAGGTTATGGAAGTTACGGAGGCTACGGAAGTTATGGAGCCTACGGAGCGCCGGCTGCATCGGCCGCTAGTGCTTCCAGTGCCGCCAGTGCTGCGAGTGCAGGCTCGGCTGGGACTGCTGGATTTGCGGGAACCAGCGGGTTTTCTGGAGCAAGCGGTTTCTCCGGTGCGTCGGGTTTTTCCGGGGCCTCTGGGGCGTCTGGATTCTCCGGAGCAAGTGGATTTTCCGGCGCTTCCGGAGCTTCCGGATTTTCCGGAGCGTCCGGAGCAAGTGGTTTTTCTGGCGCCTCTGGGGCTTCTGGATTCTCCGGCGCATCTGGAGCGTCGGGCCTTTCTGGAGCAAGTGGAGCTGCTGGAACATCGGGAGGCGCTGTCTCCGCGGGATCGGCTGGATCAGTCGCTGGAAGTGGCTCCGCAGGATCAGCTGGTTCCACGGGAGCAGCAGGATCTTCTGCGTCATCAAGCTCAATCGGATCAGCAGCTAGTATTGGAGGCGCCGCTTCAGCCGCTGGGGATTCTGTGGCATCGGCTGCAGGTGCTGGAACTGCTGGAAGCTCGGGTGAGAATTTTGTATTTTACAAACCTTCAAATTTTCAGCCTCCGTCCCAGCGTCGCCATCAGTTGCCCCTGGCCTAGGTGAAGCTCAACAAACCGACGTTTTATCCGACGCTGACCAGCTATGGTTGCAAGAACTGGAGCGCCGATTCCCACTGCCCAGCTGTTACGCCAACGCTGACATGTTGATGTGTTGCAACGAGGCGTTGGAAAGGCTGATGGACGAGAGTTTCGAGCAGCTAAAAGATGATCTGGACACAGATTACAATGCTTGTAATACGAACAAAATTGCACAATATATTGGCGATAAAGCGGAAAAGGAATTTGGCCAGCCCTATGAAGTCATCGTCGGGAATGGAGATTACGTCAGTAAGAGCAATTTCTTCATGGATCAGTATTGCAAAATCAAGCGGGACGGAAAGTGAGTTGATTTTTTGGGGTAAATTACTCGTTTCGTCATTTATTTTATCAAAATTTTAATACTTCATAAGAAGATGTAACATTCAAACGAGACAGCAAAAAGCTATATAGATCACGTATTTTACTCTAGCAATTTTTTTATCATAGCTAAAAAAATTACTCCCAGGTTTATTCTACTCTATGCAACACCCAAACAAGAAGACGAAATTTTCGACGAATCCGACGGAAGAAACAACCACTTCGGCAATGGCGGTTCAGCAGATGGTTATACCGAAGGAGAAACGAATTCTCAAGGCTATGGATATGAGAATGTTAAGCCCTCAGGCTATGATTCTTTCGACAATAAAGAATATGGGAACTCCGAAATTCCTTCCACTCCTTATGGTGGAGATGACAATGGATATGGAGAGAAAAATCAAAATGAAAACACTGATGCAGGTTATGGTGACAGTACTGGAGGCAGGGTAGATTCTACTGGACGGGTATCTGGACAGAATGGAAAGAAAAAACCGGCTGCAACTAATCGTCTTGTCGATAGTTCTGCTACAAACGAAGACGCTATAAAAAGGTGGGTAAATAGTAGATTCATCTGTTTCCTTTGAACAGAAAGCCCTACATTTGCGACACTTTTTTAAGCCTGGTACAGTCTCATGCTAGGCCAAGTTCTTTGTGAAGATATTTTTGATGACTTTTAACACATTTTAGGCCTCCATCGCCAAGCAGAGGACAAAGGCCCAGCTCGTCAACTTCAAGCTTGTCATCACCTTCGTCAACTGCCTCAAAGGTCTCCCATAAGAGTTCATTTAGCAAGCTGAATGTTCCATTTACATGGATTCCAAGGAAAGGACATTTGCGAAGAAGGCTTCGCCGAAATCGAAGAAACCGACGACGGTTACATAAGAAACAAAGAGGAAGATTTCAATCAATAATATAAATATTGTTATACTATATATTTTTAATTTAACTGTATTTTGAAGACTTCAGTGGAGTACATCTGTATCAATTGAATTTTAAAAAGTGGTCAATGACTTGAGCAGAGACAGTTGGAGAAAGTGATTTTGATCGTAACGTTTGGCTTCTTTTATAATAGAAAAAATTTCGACAACTTTTGTCATAAAAATCTCTGTTTTCTGCAAGGCGCAAGTTAAAAATTTTTAAAAAATCCGATTTTTATCTGTGACAAGTTTCATCAAAATCGCACTACCTAAAATTTTGTCTCAAGATCATCAAGAAATTAGCATAAATCAGAGTGAAGGTTTAGCAAAGCTCTGCCATACGTCAAAGAAAAAGTGAAAAAACAAGGAACCTCGGATCATTGATTTTTGACGAAATGTCGCTGAATTATCGAGTCACAAAAGAAAACTTTCCCAGAGAATTTCGAGAAAAATGTTTTTTCGAGGAGGAAAATAATTTTTCACGCTCGATAATTCTGTGGCACTTCGCAAAAAATCAATGATCCGAGATTCCTTGTTTTTTCAATTTTCTGAAAGAATTGTTTTGACGTGTGTGGCCGAGTGGCATGCCAGTTTATTCCAAAATCCGCTTCTACAAAAACCGGTCAGCATTTAGTAATCCCTTTTATTCTTCTATCAAGGCTCAAGGAAGACAGATCATATAGCTTCCAATGTGCAGTAGGAACAAGGCTAAAGTAATCTGGAAATCGAATTTCAAATTTCATTAATATTTTTCCAAAAAAGAAGTATTTTTTTCCAGCCATGTCCCCCAATAACCAAGGACAATGTTTTGGAAGTGTTGGAATTTTTGTACGATCAAAAAGTTGCTCCAATGGAGAAGCGACATGTTTTTGAGCAGTTCCACAATCCGCCACTGAGGAAGGGGGAATTCATTTCGGTTCCATTGGTGTTGTTTTTGGGGCAGGTAAGGCATACTAGTCGCGACATAAAGTCCTGACACATTTGCACAGTGCATTTTGTTTTCCTTTCGCACTCGTCGCGGCAATTCCCCGTTTGTGCACTAGCGACATGCACTTTCGCGCGAGTTCGCCACTTTTCTCGCGCGACACCCGCGACAAAATGTGTCAGGACTTTATGGCGCGACTAGTACTGTAGTAATAAAAAGATTTTTTAAAGGGTTGAAAAAAATTAGTTTGCGCTGTGCAGAATTTGAAGTTTTCATAGGTTTCATATTTTTTAGCTGCCAAAGGCAGTGTCAGCAATTTACCAAAGAAATTTTTCGTGTTATAAAAAATTTTATTGCAGTACTCCGTCGGAAAAACTACAATGATAAAATATCTGCTTGGCCAGGAGTACCCCGGCTCCAGAATTGGGCCTGATCCAACAACTGACACTTTTACCGTTGTTCATTATGGAGAAAAGCAACATGAAGTGATGGGAGCAACTTTAATGGCAGATCCAAGTCTTCCATTCCAGGTAAGCAGAAAATGAGGAAGGTTGATAATGAAAAAACTGAACATAAATCCTTTATAAAATTTTTTTCTAACCGCCTGGTATAGATTTTCTAGTAATTTTTCACTGTTTTTTCAGTGCCTGAGCACGTTCGGGTCAACATTTTCCACACGAATTCGAGGAGCCGCCTTAAATTCGGGGCTCTTGAAACACATGACCCTCATCGATACCCCTGGCATTTTATCTGGCGAAAAACATACTTCCAATAGAGGATATGACTTTGCTACAGTATCCAGATTCATTGCCGACAAGGTCGATCTAATCATCTTGTTGTTCGACATCTCCAGATTGGATATCAGCGAGGAATTCAAGATTGTTCTGCAGAATATCAAAGGAAATGAGGAGAAAGTAAGTTAAATTGCTTGTTGAAGAATAAAACAAAGTAAAATCAAATTTATTTACCACGATTTTTTGCAATACAAAATTTTTTTATTTTTCGATCTTTTTTAGCTGATAAAAATAAAAGAAAACTGATAAAACTTGGAATTTAGTCGGCTCTTTATGTGAATCAACGTCTTTCAGATCAAAATCATCTTGAACAAAGCCGACTCCGTCGACACCCAGCACTTGACTCGAGTCCGCGGAGCACTGATGTGGATGCTGAGTAAAGTCATCTCAACGCCAGAGGTCCCTCGAGTCTACATTTGCTCATTCTCTGATGAAATCGCGGCTAATGGAATTCCCAAGAGATTTCATGCTGATTATAAAGAACTTTTTGAGGTTTTTCAAAGAATCCCGGCAAAGTGTATGGATCGGAAAGTAAATGACATCATAAAACGGGCGAAGCAAGTCAAAATTCATGCGCTCATCATGAGTGAATGCATGCGTGGATGGGTAAGCGGGATTTTTTAAAATTAAAAAATAAAAATTTTGAAAATTTAAATTCCCGCTGTTTTTGGCATTCCGTTTCCGGCTGGGAAAACCGGAAAAAATGATTAAAGATTTATATTATTTTTGTTTTTTTACATAGAACTTCACAAATACCATACTTTCAGTACCGAAAGAACCAACGTAATCTCCAGGGCGCATTGAAAGGGGGAAAGTTGACCAAGATCTTCCACAATGTTCGAATTCAAAGTCAAATTCCGGAAAGTTATATGCCACTGCAAGAAGTAGGTTGAAATTGTTACCCTTGTAAAGCTTGCCTTTTTGAAACACTATGGATCTGGAGCAATATTTTTAGCTATTCCAACAACGCGGATTGGAGAGCAATGTGGCTGGTTGGAACAAATTGGACAAGAAAATGATGGAACAACTCCAAGAATTCATTGATGTGGACATTCCAAAGTAAGTCAAATGCGTTGAAACTAAACTAGACGTCCTAATAAATCTTTTTTTGTCTAAAATGTCATAATTTTAGTCATAATTTTCTTTAAATTTCCAAATTTTTTACGTCTTGTTTTAGTATCCTCAAAGTCATGGAGCACAATGAAGATCCCACCGAGTCTTTGAGGAACTATTTCCACGACCTCAAATCACCCTTGCACAGGAAAACACCAAAAAAAGTAGGAAGTTCCTCGAAGAAGGCGAAGAATGTGGAAAAAGTCAGCAAGAAAGAAGAAAAAATCCCGGAAAAACCGGCTCCAGTCATCAACAAGGCCCCGCCGGAGCCACCAAGAGCACCACTGATGGAGGGGCCTGCATACGAGAATTTGGTCGAAATGGCCAAAATTGAAGCGAATAATAAGGGAAACGCTGAGGGAAATAATGCCAACGAGGGTAAATCGACTGGACCTCAAAACCAAATAAAGGTACCCGAACCTCCAAGTGGCAGTAATCTCGTCCAAACTGATCTCCAAAGTGTGAATTAGAAATAACATTTTTTGAATAAATTATTTATTTAAGATTTTTTTTTTTGATTTTTTGGAATTTTTTAGAGAATTTAGGGAAGATTCGGGTCTCGCCGCGAAAACAGAAGATTGGACGGTTTACCAACAAAATTTTTGATTCTTTGGGGTGTCAGCATTCTGTCCAAGCTGTTTCCGAAAGTCTGCAGCTCCGACGGCACAGTGCAGTTCCGTTTTTCTCTCAATCTGACTGCACTGTGCATTCAAAATGCATGTCGCATTCTGCCCGGTGATCACAAGTGTCGCCTTTTTCGTCTCTCTTTCTCTTCCTCTCTCCTTCAAACGCGCACTCTCTCGCAATTTCTTTCAATGTCACGGGCAAAACTCGCAGTGATCTGGAGTGAAATAAGCTACAAAATTGACGTCGCAGGCCCAGAGTGCAGTGGTTTTTGGTGATTTCAGCGACAAACCTCTGCGAATTTTCGTCGCTTTGGATTTCGGAGGATTTTCGTCACTTTTGGGAGCCTGGAAGGCGGATTTTTTGGGAAATTTTTGGAAGTGAAATGTGGCAAACTTTCCGCACCGTGCAATCACCAAATTCTGGCTCAGTGCACTGTGCGGTGACTCTGCATGCACAAGAACCGATGGTCAACAAAATTTGCCTGTTTTTGGAATGATTTAGGGATCAGTCTGGACAAAATTACTTATGAAAACTTGATGAACCAGACCAAAAGCTTGGAAGCTCATCTTCGCGGTAAATATAGTATTAACTTTCTGTCATCGGCGGACCTAACTTTTCGGGTGATTTTATTGGTTATTGTAGACGCAGGTCGGCAATTCCAAATTTTCGCAGAGACCTTCAAAATTCTCCCCGTCTTTGGTGATCACCTTCCAAAATTTTTGGATATATCCGGTTTGGTCCTATCGCTTTCGCCATCAGACGGAACGGAACGCCCGCAAACCCTACGGTTTTTTCTTCATTCATTTGGAGTAGACGAGACGAGAGAAAGGGGCGAGCAATGGGGGGAATGGAGAAGACGGGGTGGCTGTGTGTGTCTGCCCCGTTTACGCACCGCTTATTCGTCTCCGCACAATTCTCCCTCACTTCCAGGCGGCGGTTCGAAGCATTTCTTGAATGTTTTCACGTTCGATTCCGACATTTTGATTAGGACCTGCGGGTAGAGCAGTGTCACGTGAGGTTTGTAGGCCATAAATGCGCAGTGAATGCTCTCCGCCAAAGGCTGGTTGGGGATCTGAGCCATCGTTTGTATTATCATTAGCGTCTCGATCTCCAAGGCCAAACGGAGTTCGTTTCATCGCCTGAGCACAAAAAATTGTATTGTACGGTGTTTAGCAGGCATTGCAAACCAAAACTGGGATAGGAATACAAGTTCTTTAGCTCTGAGGCACAGTGTGATACAAATTGTATCATACTGGACTAACTAGTCTAAATTTGAAAACCTTTCTGTCTCGTTAAAGTAAATCCTAATAAAGGCAAAGCGATGACAATGAGATTAAGGTGTTACGAGTTTTTGGACGTGAATATAAATGAGGGGCGTCCAGAAACAAACCTGTACTACACGCAAGAACTTATCCTAGACTAGGTCTAGAATAACGCATTTTTGATATTTAAAATCGATTCTTGCTCTCTAAAATTAAATATGGAGTAAATTTTGAGTCATCGGAAATTCAAGCCTGCTGATTGTGAGGCTCCTCGGTTCTTGTAAACGTTATATTGTCCTGCGTCATCTATTTATTATAACATAATATTTTCTGCAATGCCGGTAAAAGGCCACTGACGCCAAAATCAAAAGCTGTGGCGGGCTTTTCACGCTGATCGCAAACGGTGCTTAAATCTATTATAATACCTATTTATGGGCTATGGGACAAAATGGAAGTAGTGTAAGATCCATTTTAGTTGGATTAAAATGGATTAGTACCCACCAAAGATCATAGTTCGCTTAGTGAAACGCCAACAAATCCCTATGTCCTTATTTTTTGGTATAAACTATACTATACTACCCAGTAAAAGGTAAAGTTTTGGCCATTGTTGGGTAAACGGATCTTAAAACTTGTTTGAAACAGTTTCTAAAATACACAGTTGCAGTAGTTCTCCAAACGATAAACCACGTTTTTTATGCTATCCAAGAAGATTTCACATATCTCTTCTCCCTTCACGCCAAATCGTTTTTTATTGCAACCCCAATTAAGAAAAGCGTTACTAATCCTTCCAGCGGGTTGAATTAGTCTTAGTTAGATAGCATAATCCCTTTAATTGCACGTTTAAATTAACATTTTTTGTAACACCCCTGTTTTTATTTCAATTATGTTTTGCAAATTCTTTTAGGCTATCGAAACTATTTGATCTTTTTGATATTCATGTTCAACCATCCGGTTTTTCTCGCTCCATTCTTCACTTTTTTAAATATGAGACGCAGACGAAAAAATTGCAAGCGCACGTTTGGGTTTAAAATTCATAACAAGCATCTAAAGTAATATAATTGCTCTTCTAAAAATGGATCTGGAATTGTGTAATCGCTTGCCGGTATCAGATAAGGCCTGGTTAGCTCCTTTTCATATTTTGCTTTGATCTCGACATATATCTTTTGTAAATCTTCGACACAAACACTTTTCATCGTATAAAATATCGCTTTTTTTATTTTTGCCCTAAAACCCTCGATCTTCGGTCATCAGTTACTGCGTTGGCACGCAAGTTACTGTAAACCATAATTTCTCTATAATTCGTAAACAATTTATTGAACTAATCATGTTTTTGAACTTATTTCACTTTATTCATCCCGGGATCCCATGGATAACATGGATTTGCCCAAAAAGTATAAACCTCTTCTGTTGTCGCTTGCATGGAAAGGTGTTTTCACCCCAAGTTTACAGTCTCTTCACCCTATTTTACCGGTATTCACTGCTAATAATAAGAAGAACGTCGCGACGAGACGAAAAAAAATGTTGGGGAGATTTTTTTTGGCGACAAGGTTTTTTTGCGCGTTTCCTTTCATTCTACTAAGAATTCTTGGTAAAATATGCGTTGTTATATCACGCTCAAGTTACGCGCGTTTTCTTTATGCTATGGTTGACGAATTTATTTGCAATCTTTGCAGGGAACTTGGGGTTTGAGATCAAGCCGAGCGCCAGAAACTAGAATGGCAGAAAATGGCGCCATCCCCACGGCTGGACTCTCAAATAACAAACCCACACCATCAGTGAAGGACTCTGTTGGCCAAAAGAGATCCAAATCCACAAAAATGGTAAGATTTTGCACCATTTTTCGAATGCTCATCTGTTGTTGCCCAGTGTAATATAAAAAATCTTTTGATTTTAGGTTTTCCCTTCCCAAAGAGACTCTCAGAAAGACAAGATCGTCAAGATGACTCGGTCCGCACTTCATAAGCATATCCGTCTCATCAAGACCAAGCTCCATCGACGAAACCAAACCCTCCGAATCCGCGTGCTAATGCAGGAAGAATTTGAAGACAAATACGTCCGACTGAATCAAGCGGGCTTTGAATCAGATGATGAGGACGATGAGGTATTCTGTGCCAAAAAGAAGAAGCATTCCGACAGTTTCGCCGATGACAAGGACATCGACGAAGAATGGGACTTTGGAGATGGTGACTACCAGAATGCCCCGGAGAACCCTCAGGAAAACAAACGGATCTCGATTATTGAGGAATTGTATGGATGAAACGTCCTTGGATCTCTTTATCAGTGCCTTTTCGTAGCAATATTTGTTTATTTTCAGTTTCACTTGGCCTAGTATAACATAGATACGTTTTTTAATTAATAAATGAATTCTAACTTCATTCTAATCGGAAGCATTGGAGACCTCAACAAAGATGGATCGAGTTGTGACTTGCTGGGAGGTCGCACGAAGCCAAGCCTGAAAGAAATTCCAAGAAAATAGGTCGACGTCATCATGGGTAATATAAATTTGCTCTCAAAACGCACCTGATACGCGTTCCGCTTCTCTTTTGGAATCCAACACTCTCCAACCAACGCATAGATCACACACAGCTGATCGCCAGCCTCAGGTTCTACATCCAATCGGGTAATTCCGACTTCAGTCTCCTCCAGTGGACCCAAAATATCGGCACAATTTACCAGCTTGATTCGGCTATTGGAGGTGCACTTGACCTTGAACAAGACTCCAAATTCACTGGAGTTGCGGACTTTCAATGTGACATCAAATGGCTTCTTCTTTTTGTTCTAAAATTTGAATGACAGTAAGCAAAAGGTTTACCTCAATATGAATTGGGTCCACGCTGAACTCCTTGAACTTATCCGGAAATGCAGGGAATTCCGTTGACATTTCTGACGCTCAAACCAACGGGTCTTGGTTGTTGATTGAGAAAAAGTGAAGATTTTGGGAATAAATCTGTCAAGTGCATTATTTTACATAATTTTGATGCTGTTCTACGGACTTTCCTCTATTTTTCTATGAATTTTTGTCGAAAATCTGAGAAGCTGATTGAAAATGGCGAAAGTTTTGCGAAATCATCAAGGATTGCCTCGAGGAACCGCGGATTTCACCTGCAGTTTTTTATTTTTCGGCAAGTTTTTCCGATTTTCCGCAATGTTTGCGAATTTTGGTGCTTTTGGCAACTTTTTGTCGATTGTCTCAGACTTGTAGCTAGTCTCAATGTTGTTTTATATCAATTTAGCTATGTACTTTCAGGATGATCAGCAGAAGCGTGTTTCTGTACGCCCTGATTCTCGCTTTGGCTCATGCCGCCGCCGTGAACAACACCAGCAACAGAACCCCAAAGCATCAGCCAGAAGAAACAGCAAAATCAGTGGGAAATCATACGGAAATGTCGCGGAATTTGACGGCTGACGATGCGGAATTGCACATGGAGTTCATGACAGAACTCGAGAATTCTATCTTGAGAGAGGTGTTGGGCTTGGAAAATGCGACTGGCTACTATTTCAACCAGACGACGATCATTTTCAGCGACCTTATGGTGAGTTATTTTCCATTTTTTGTTGTTGGTTTAGTTGCAAAAAGGTGCGGGAGGGCTCTCCTGAGCTTATATTTTATTGGGGTTACCTTAAAAAACGTTTCGATGTTATACTTGGTATTTGCAGAACGATCCCTGTGTTCGCAATGGAAATTCCACATTGCCGGCCATTTTCGCGTTCATCGTTGGACTCATTGCCTTCCCCATCCTGAAGTGCTCGTGTGCTGCGCTCTGCCGACGTGGAAAGAACGCTCGGATCCAGCGAAGATACCTCCGAGGGGAGAACAAAGGAGATGTCTCTGGCCTGAACAAACTCATCCAAGAAGCCACTGCCAACGATTCCGAAGTTGATATGTAATCTTCCCGCTTCGTTATGCTGATCTCCATTCTCAATTTTTATCATCCTTTAGATCTCTGTTAAATTTTACTAACACCAGTTTCCCTCATCAGAATATTCTAAATAAAGCGAAACCCTGTTTGTTAGCCGATTTATTCATCTGTAAGCGAATGGAAAAGGTAAAATAAATATAGAATGGGATTATAAGTTATACTGACACCATTCTGAGAGGCAATTGTAACATGCCTTGGCGAAACGGTCCTGAAATCCGCATTCTGTTTTGAGCCAATCAACAAAGCACTCTTCGTCCTTCCGGAGCAGGAGAAATTGGCCAAGGAGAACATAAGCTTTGTCGAAGCCCTGAAATGAGATGGTTTAGAGCTGTGATACACATTTGACAACTGCCGACTAAAATTTCCAAGACAAATAACAAAAATTACCTTCTCCGCGAGCTTTTTTCCATAAGCCTCACCAATTCCAGCCACATCTGTGATATCCTTCTCTCCCATGGTCTCGGAGACGAAATCCTTATGCTTCTGCGAAGTCGTCATTATGTACAGAAGATATCTGAAATTGTTAGATATTATTTTAGCGTTCTAAAAATCTTCCGCATGCCAAAAACACGAATATTTTTTAACATGCCAATGACAAATGAAGAAAACGGTGAAAACGGGATAAACGGAAGATTACAACAGCCATGAATCATGCGCTTTTAGACGGTTGAGAGCAGAATGTTTCGACATTTTTCTCTGAAAAAATTCTGGACGCGCCAACACAATGCCAAGGCACCCTGTTTTTCGCGGTGGGGCGCAGCGAATTTGTTGGTGGGCCAGATTCTCGCCACGAAAACATGATCCACAGTGAAGAGGCGGGAACTGGTTAGCTAAAATTCATTTTTTGGTTGCAAAGTTCGCAACATTTTGGCGACTTCGCAATCGAGTTATGCGTGTTTTTTCTTTGCGAAAGGTTATCGAATTTTCAGGATAATGACGGAGAAACCCGAGAAGGTTGTGAACCCTGAGCTCGCTGAGGTCACTGATGACATTCGCAAAGCAATTATCGAGCAGTATTACAAGCAACCAGTGCTATGGGATCGGAATCATGAAAAGGCTGATCGATCGTCGATGCCAGCAGCATGGGAATTTATTGCATCTGCGGTCTCTACACGGTCTAAGACATTCAGCGGTAATTTTAGAGGCTTTTGATCATTTGTTTTTAGTCAAAATCGTCAAGACTGTGATGAAGAACTTGAAAGATCAATTTGTTCGGGTCCATCGAAAGGCTACGCAGGAAGGTGGTACTGTTCAATGGAAATTCTACGAGGATCTTCTTTTCTTGGCCGATAGCTTACCTTCGTAAGTGTCTATTGACTGCCTTTCGTGTCGAAAAATTTAATTTTCTTCGGTTTGTTATCCAACCATACATCGGCCTCATGGATACTATAATTTCCCCTTTTTCAGGGCGAAACAGCCTCTACAATCGACGGAAAACGTTAATATTGCGCAAGAGATGCCCCGAACGAATGGGATTCTTTCCAACTTTGTTTCATCTATTTCATCAGCCTTCACTCGTCAGCCACCAAATCCCTCAGATTACATAAAAGAGGAATATGAAGGAAATTTGGTTGTTGATGAGACCAATCAAGCACCCGCTAGCACGGACTCACCTACTAATATGTTATATAACGCTGCTCAAAATAGGATTCAATGCAAAGAAGAGTTGTTAAATTTGTCGAATCCACCAAATCAAGTTCAATATCAAAATACTCCAGTTTATTCCACAATTGCCAATGCAGTGAGTGGTTGACCTTAATAGTGTGGTTTGGTAGTTTGGAGAAACATTGTTGGAGTATCGAGAATGCAAAAGAATTATTTTAGGTACCTCATCAAGTGCAACATCCCGTTCCCTTAAATACAGCTAACACACGCTCTCAACCAGTCTTTAGCGAGATCCCGGGAGTTTTTACCCAATCTACACCAATCAAAGACACTCCTCAAACCGCCTTGATCAAACCGGAGTTCTCTCCAATACCTCATAATTCATCATTTGCAAATTTAGTTCCGCCTACTGCTCAAACAAATAGTGCTCAAAATGTTCCAGGTGAGTCCCACAAGTCATTGTTGATGTTGTTTTAGATTCCCCTAAGTCGGAACAGTCGTCTCAACCAATCTTGCCTCCAAGTGAAGTACATCATCCCGGGCCGTTGTATGAATGTATTTCCCAAGCCATTTCACCACAATGTTTTGCTGACACATTGAATGATGTCTACATAGCTTCGTTGAATTCACAGAAGCGTCTTCAAAATGAAGGGCACAATTTGATGGAATCAACGAAGAAGCCGAGAATTGAGGTAAATTCTGTGAATTTGGCTCCAAATCAGCCAGTTTCGGCCCCGTTACCCCAACTTGTGGCCCCGCCATCACCAACGGCTCCTCTAAAGAGTGTTACAAAGGAAGCTCAGGTCAGTGTACCTCCTGCTAGTGTGCACACCAAGCCAGTTGAAGTTCCGATTAGTAAAATTGCCGAAACTCCTGACAAGCCTCCCCCAAAGAATAGTAAAAGTGCCGAAGCTCCTAACAAACCTCCCCCAAAGAATAGTAAAGTTGCCGAAACTCCCAACAAACCTCTCCCGAAGAAGCCTTCTACTGCCGTAAAATCATCCCAACCTCTAGTGCTCACTAATATTACTCCTCAGGAGACCTGCAGAAAGCCTCAAGCTCATAATAAGACTGATGTGGACCGTCGGATTATATTATCCATGCAAGATCAATGTTTGAAAACAATGGGTAAGTTCCTATTTTATATGATTTTGTCTCTTTTTAGAGATGGTCCAATCCCAATCTGCCCTGGGTCTTATGGTTGCCGAGATTGCAAGGAAATTGGAGTCCGAACGCAAAGACAAGACCTTGGAATTTAAACGAGCCGTCCTTCAGCTCATCGACAACTACGAACAGTTGTTATATCATTAGATTTGTTGTATTTTACTTTAAGTTAGTGCTACGTATGCTTTGTATTTTTTCATGATTTAACGTTGTGTATCATAGTAATTTATGTTGTTTGTTGTTGTTATCTGGAAAATAAATAGTTGTTGAAGAACTTTGCGACCAGTCGCATATAAATGGTATGCTTCAACTTCTATGCGTATACTCTTTATTGAACCTGTTTAAATTTACTAATCAAATCTTTCACACTTGAGATGACTTCACTTTGATGGCTGATAACGTTCGACTAAAGCACCGACTCCTTCACCGCCTGAGGCACAAGCGGCGATCACAGCATACCGGCCATTTTCGGCTTCGAGACGAGCGGCGGCATGGGCGACGAGCCGGATTCCAGTTGCTCCGAAGGGATGGCCAAGTGAGAGGGATCCGCCCCATAAGTTGATCTTGTCCAATGGGACACGTCCGAACTTCTGGGGAAGTCCAATATAATTTTTGCAGAAATGCTCCGAATCCATGGCGTTCAGATTGGCGAGGACTTGTCCGGCGAAGGCTTCGTGGATTTCAAAGACATCAATGTCCTCGAGTTTCAAGCCAACGCGCTTCAAAAGGCGAGGGATTACGTAGGCGGGAGACAAGAGCAGTTGATCCTTGGGGTCTTGAGCGACGAACATGTTCTCGCGGAGGAAAGCTTTTGGTTTGTAACCCTTTTTGAGGGCGTACTCTTCGGTGGAGATGAGGGCGGCCGAAGCTCCATCGGTCAAGTAGGATGAGTTTCCTGAAAATCAAAATTTTTTATTAACCTAAAATAAAAATATAAGCCCTCAAAAACTTTTTATAGACTAAGAATGAGTCCTTCTTGGTTCACCAACATTATCTAGAGATCCAAAAAAATCGTGTTTAATACTAGATAATTGTCTCACCTGCAGTCACAGTTCCATGGGGCTTAATAAACGCCGGTTTGAGAGAAGAAAGCTTCTCAAAGGTGGAAACTCTGATTCCATTGTCTTGATGGATTGAGACGTTTTTTGATGCTCCAGTGGGGTCATAAAATGGGATCACATCCGCCAATTTTCCCTCTTGTTGGGCTTTTTGTGCCAAAGTGTGGGATCGGATGGCAAATTCGTCTTGCTCTCTAAAAAACAACCATTGTTTACGATTCTAAATTAACTGTTCCTACTTTCTGGAGACTCCAAAGGCCGCGGCCAGACGATCCGCCGAATGGCCCATCACCTCGCCGGAGGTGAATTCCGCGACAGCTGGAAGTTGAGGGTTGAAAATTCCGCTGATGATCTTTTGGCCGAATTTGAGTCGATCCGGGAGAGCTTTGGCTTTTTGCAGTCCAAACATGGCTTTACGGACTTCTCGGTTGTAACGAATTGGGGCATCCGAGAGAAATTCGACTCCTCCGGCAATGGCCACGTCGTAGTTTCCACTTTGAATTTGAGCTTGAAGAGTGGACAAAGCAACATTGGAGGAGATACAGGCAAGGGTTACGGTATGGGCAGGAATCTAAACAAAAAGTGCATTGTACTATCAGAAAGAAAAGTTCATCTCCTGAAATATGGTGTGAATCACAGCATACGTCGTCGTTCAGCTTTATCACCGTCTTAAAATTGAATTAGACTATAAAATTCCAATTGTGTTCATTACAAAAAATTGCATTTACAGTAAACATGTCTGGGAATTGACCTTCGAAAACGTTTTATCCTAAAGATTCTAAAAGAAGAAGAAAACATACTTTATCAGGGAACCCGGAGAGTAATTGGGCTTCACGCGCAATATTTGAGGTCAAAGCTTCTTGAATAACAGTACCACCACAAATGTAGCCAACATCATTAAAATCCACCTTCGTTCTTTCAGCCAGACCTGGAATGAGTCATTAGTATTATTTAAAGCAAGTAAAAACGTCAAATGTTTGAAAATTACAGCAAATTATATTGCACTAGACAAAATCTAAAATATCGAACAAAAATAAAAAAAATGTACCCAAAAAGGCGGCTCGTTGAAGATCGACGGCCATCAAGTCCTTGTAGACCGTCTGCGACACCGCAAATGGAGTCCGAACGGCATCAATGAGAACCACATTTGGACCCGATCTGTTTGGCGCCGCCGTGGCATAGCCGTGTTTGGTGACGATCCGACCGAGTGAGGAGGAGTTCAGACAACGAGACATTGTTAATCAACCTGAAAGTCACAAAATTAAAATTAAATTCAACCTTTTCCGCGAATTTTGACAGTCTCGATAATGGATAATATAAAAATCTCCAAATAATCTAAAAAAGTAACTATTAGCGACTGGCAAGCAACAAAATGTAACGCCGAATGACGAACATGCAAGTTTTATTTATCAGCCACCCATTTCGTCTGACCTTTTTTCTCTTGAATGGACTTTGTACCGCATGCCGGTCAAAATACACTCGCCGATTTCAAGACCACGCCGATTGTGACCATCGAAATCATAAAAGAAGCTGTTTTTGTGCTCAAAGCAGCTGCAGCTGTCTGAGGTACAAAATAAAGAGTTTCCATTGTACTTTGTGCTCCAAACATACACTTAGAGGTAGTATAATATAACATAATTTGCTAAAAACTTAAGATTCTAATAAAACTTCACAATAAAATCATGTAAAAAACTAGAGTAAACTAACCGGTAAAGATCAAAAATTACAAGTGTAATTGCAATGTAAAAAAAATTGCATTTAAACAGAACGCCAAGCTTGTTGGCGTTAAATGTTTGCGCTATGAGACCAAATTAAATATTCACAACAAAAAATGTGGGCGGAAATTACGTTGTGCATCCCTAAACCCCCTTATTTCGTCTGCCAGTCTTTAATATACCTTATTATACCTTTCCACACCAGTCTTCATCGATTTTTCTCAAATTTCTTTACAAAAATCATGTACAATATAAAAATACTGCTGTTAAAAGGTGAAATAAATTAGTAAACATCACTGGTGATGTTTGGTGGGGGTTTATTCATATTCATCAGATTAACTGTCGATCTCATGCTTCACCGGGACCTCATCTAGTCCCTCTTCTGGCTCCTCTATCTTTGCTTTCTTATTTGGACTTCCGTTGGAACTGGAGGGTTTGGGAACAAGTCTGATTCTTCGGTTTTTATTCATTGGGTCTTGAGTTAACGTCTGAAATGCGCACAAGAAATATTGCGTGGGAATGGAGTCAGTAAACAAACTATATTATACTACCCATTCAAAACGTACCGCTGCCCGGCGAATCCATCGAGTTACAGGGTCTGATACTTGAATTCTTTTACCTTCTACGGTCTCCTAAAAGTATAAACAATAAAAAAGGATAGTCTTACTTCGAGTTCATCGCGGTCTGCCAGCAATTTGACTATAATATCGGCAATAACTATTTTGGGTTCAATTGCTGCTCGTTTTATTGTCAATCTTTGGTTTAGATAACCAATTTCCGCCTTATCATCCTCGAATTTGCAGACCTTCAAGCTTTTGTTCTTGAATGTCGCTCTAAACATCAAAAATTTATATAATACGTGCTCTAGACCAACTTACAGCCATTTGATATCCAAAAGTTGATCGCCACAATTTTTCATAAAAACTTTTCGCGCCCTCTTGTCCAACACTTGCTCATAGACTCTATCGACGAGGTTGGTGACACCCAAAACTGAGTCATTCACCTTCCAATAAACAAAATAATGGTCTGAAGTGGATGCCAAGGCTCCCTTGCCCTCAACTTGGCAGCATAAAAGTGATGGTCGATATGCCATAGCTCGCAGAGCTCTGCAGACCAATTTTTAACAACAATTTGCTGTTTTTACTGGGGTTTTTTCACTTTTTTTACTCTTATTTTTCCGAGAAAATTTAATTTATGCGTCCCGGAACGAAAACAAACAACAGAATCGCACTCTTTTCATTTTTTATTCCTCTCTTTCTCTTCCTTTCGGTGCAGAGAAAGGAAGAGAGTGTGGAAGAGCTGCACACTCATGTGAATAAATACGTTAGACGTGAGAGTTCGGGGCGGACTTCTAACTTCTAGAAAAGAAGCCTTCCCAGTTCTCTTCGGGGACTTTTATTTCGCTGCCAATATTGTCGTTGAGGATGGGGGGTTCTGGAAGATTTCACAATTTTTTTTGAAATTTCCGTTGCTTTTGACGTGTCTATTTTTTCGAACAGGAAACGAACTCCCTCTCGTTCGACATTTTTTTTTCTTGCACATTGGTTTGTATTGTTTTTTAGGATTTTTAATTTATCACATGACTAAAAAATTAAGAAATTTTGATGATTATGCCCCGAATTTATGCCAAAAAAACGGCGAAAAGTAGTTTCTAAGCTAATATAAAGTTTTTGAAATTTTCGAGAACACTTATGACGGCCTTTATTTTGACGAGACTTTACTTTTAAAATTTTAGGAGCATTGTTAATGGATGATATTCTTCAAACGGCCTTGTTGGATGCTGGACTTGACTTCTTTGACACAGAACCCGAAGAGACTAAAGATGGAGAACAGAAACCAGATGAAGTCACGCCAACAGAAGAGGTAGGATTTTTTTTTGAGGTTTTTTTTGATTTTAGGTACAAGCTCCGCGAAATATTACTTTCATCGAAATTTTTTAGCTTTACGCTATTTCTTTATCAGTGAGGTTGTAAAGTGTATCGTGACTGATTTCTTATCGTTGTCTTGGTTTAGCGCTGCTGTAAAGTTTTGTTTTTACATCATAAAATGTGAGATTTTTGTAGTATGTTTTTGCCGGTTTTCTGATTTTTTCAAATTGATATAGTTTATTGTGTGGTTTTCATTGATAAACGGCTTAATATTACTTTGAAGGTGACAATTTTTAACACAATTTTGCGATTTTTTCATGGATCAAATTTACAGGTCAAGAAAGATGCCGCCGCTGAGGTGATCGAGCCGACAGTAGAGAGCGAACCCGTTAGAGAGCTAGAAACTGCCAAAAAAGTTGATGAGAAAGATGAAAAGCCAGACGAAATTGCAGAACCTTCTCCACAGGTAGTACAACAAACTCCGGCACCCATTCCAGTGGCTCCTGTTGTACCTGTTGTACCGACAACCTCTAAAGTTGAGGTATGTGGGTTTTAACTATTTTTCTTCGATTGATAAGGCAGCTAATTTTATGTTTTTGATATTTTCAGGCCCCCGTACCTTCAACCTCATCAGCTCTTACTACAGGTACGGCATTGCCTCCGGTGGTCACTAAAAGGATAGTTCGTTGTGTCGGAAGGCCTATTTCTACGGGCCAAGTGCAAAAGGCATTGGAACCGAACAGCCCAATTCGTCGGTACCCAACGCATTTTGTTTCCAGTGATGGAAAGATTGTAAGTGTAGTATAATTTTTCTTGTTGTTTGACGTTTAGGTCTTCAAAAGAGCTGTCAATGGTTTTTTTATTTTTTAAAGGTCCTGTGGGGTATAAAACCAATTTCAGACTCACCGACCAGGTCCAGTCCGAACTTTCCGCCAGATCAGAACGATCGCTCCGAATGGGACTCAGGTCATCCAACGAATCCCAATGAATGAACCATTTATAAGAAAACCAGAACCTCTTCAGCAGAGAACTGCCAAAACCGTTTTGTTGTCGAACGATGGGACCCGAACTATCAGAACCTACAATTACTCGGCTGGTGGAAGGATATCCGAGGTATGTTTTTATCATGGATAATAAAAAAAATTGGTTGATTTTGATGAAATTTTGGGATGGGATATTAAAAGTGGTCGTTTGAAAGGACCGTTTGATTCATCTTGGGACCTTTTTTGGCAAAAACTTTTTATTTTTGATTTGAATTGTTTTGCAGCAGCATTTAATTTTATTGTTTAGTCCTTCCAGGCCCCGGTAATTCAAACTCCCCAGCGCCAAGGACCCTCCAGAGCGCCGCAAATCCCGACGGCCACAATTCGGCCGCGGCTTGGTAAAAACAGAATTCTGAATCGGATCTGGCCCGCGGATCCTCCTCGTCCGCGAGCTCCACCCAGGCCATTTCCTAAACCCCTAATGGATCGAAGACTTGACCTTCCGGACGGAACCGTTCAATTTATCAAACCGATTGACCATCCGCGAATATCGACACCTGGAAAACCTGGAGTGCCAAAATATACGACGGAAGCAGATGAGAAAAAGCCTGATAAACCGGAAAGTAGTCTGAACTCAATGGGATACGAAGACGATGCAAGTTTATATTCTGTTTTGATCAAATTTTTGAGTTATTTATTTATATTACACTTGTCTTTTCAGGAAGAAAAACATGTCCAAGTCGATACTTTTATCGAATACAAGCCTCTGAAACTTCGCTCAGGGTGTGAACACCCGGATTCGGTTGTGGAAACGGCTTCTCTGTCCGCTGTTTCGGCACCCGACATCACATATCAAATGAAGATCCCAGAAGAAACAATTGACTCTGGAAAAATCTCCGCGCTTCAACTTGAAGCGGCTTTGTATGCATGCCAAGCACAAGAACGGTGGTTACCCTCAGGTGAAAGAGTTGGGTATTTGATCGGTGAGTTTTTTCGATATTTTTTTGACTTTTGGATAGTTGATGTCATAGATAGTATAAAATGTGGTGAATTTTGGTCATATTATTATTGCAGGAGACGGTGCGGGTGTTGGAAAAGGAAGAACGATTGCGACCATCATATATGAGAACTATTTGATGGGCAGGAAACGCGCCCTTTGGTTCTCAGTCTCGTCGGATTTGTATTATGACGCAGTTCGGGATTTGAGGGACATTGGCGCTGATAATGTGGACGTTTACCAGTTGAATCAAATGAAGTACGCAAGGATCAATAGTGTCGAGAATGGAAATATCAAGAAAGGAGTGATTTTTGCAACATATTCCTCTTTAATTTGCGAAGCCCGACATCTAAAGGATGATGAAAGTAAAGGAAATAAAATTACGTCCCGACTTCAACAGCTGATCCAGTGGTGTGGCGCGGACTTTGATGGCCCCATTATCTTCGATGAGTGCCATCATGCGAAAAATTTGGTGCCTTCAGCGGGATCTAAGCCGACCAAAACTGGAAGATACGTTTTGGAATTACAGAAGAGCCTCCCGGACGCTAGAGTGATCTACGCATCGGCTACGGGCGCCACTGAACCGCGAAATATGGCCTACATGACGAGGCTTGGGTTGTGGGGCGAGAAACAATGCTTCCCGACCTTTTCGGACTTTATCCATGCCGTTGAGGACCGAGGAGTGGGCGCGATGGAGATGGTGGCCATGGACATGAAGCTCAGAGGACTCTACTTGGCCAGACAGCTCAGCTTCAAAGGCGTTAGCTTTGCAGTTGAGGAAGTTCAACTCGACGATGACTTTGTAAAATTGTACGACGAGAGTGTAAAGCTCTGGATGGAATGCCGAAGACAGTTTCAATTCGCCATTGACGCGTTGAAGAGCGACGAAAGAAATGAGAAAACGGTATGGGCACAGTTTTGGTCCGCCCATCAAAGGTTCTTCAAGTATCTTTGCATTGGAGCAAAGGTTAATGCGTGTGTTGCGATCACAAAGAAGGCCCTAGAAGACGGGAAATGCGTCGTAATTGGACTACAGTCAACTGGCGAGGCGCAGACGCTGGGCGTTTTGGGAGATGCGGGCGAAATCACTGATTTTGTTAGTACTACCAAGGCTGTACTTCAAAATCTGATTGAAAAGCATTTCCCGACTGGAGACTCGGATGGCATGGGCATGCTTGGAGATATGGGAAGGATGTTCTCCATCGGATCGGGAGGAAGCTTTTCCAGAAAAAGTAAGCAGATTATGTTGGAAAAAATTTGAAAGAAAACTGGATAGGAATTTCTGAAAATTTTGTGATTGAAGTTTTGAAATTAAATTTTGAAGCCAGTTTGGATATAGTCGGGTGGATTGAGAGTTTAGAAGCTGCATAGGAGGTTTTTTGAGACTAAAAGTGTCCATTTTTTAGGAAATCGAACCACCGTATATGACAACATTCAACCATCCTTCAAAAGACGCCGGGAGAACTCGTTGGGAACCGTAAATGAAAGTGAAAGAAGCTCCAATACCGAGGATGAGGAAGAAGAAGAAGAGGAGGATGAATCGGATTCAGACGCTGAAAAGTCGGATGACGACAGTGATGACAGTATCTTGGACGAGGAGGATGACGATGACGAGGAGGATAGTGAAGAGGATTCGGAAGAGGAGGAAGAAATAAATGGACCTGATAATAGTAAGTTGAGAAAAGGGTATCGAGAGGAAGGTCTGGGAAAGTTTGGTGATGTCAAACAGTGTCGCGGAGAAATAAAAATTTTTGGGTTTTGGGAAATTATCGTAAACAACTTTTGATTCGGTTATTTCATGGCTCAAAAGACGTTTCAAAAGATGTCCAATTAGCTTATTTCTCCAAAAATTTATAAAAATATATTGATGTTGTTGTTTTCTAGTGCAATCTTTTTTTTCAGATACCACAGATCGGAAGAAAAACGATAGCCTCTTCGATACCTTGATGAATGAACTGAATGATAGCTATGTCCCGGATGTAGACCCCTTCCATCACGATTTCTCATCGGCCGAAGACCCCTGGGCCCATTTACAGAACTACCAAGAAGATCAACGAGAATTGGAAGAGCAAAAACGAAGGGAAGCGATGGAAGAAGCGAAAAGGAAAAAGGAAGAATTGAAAAGAAAGAAGAAAATCAAAAGAAGGAAGAAGTTAAGAAGGCTCAGAAAAGAGAGGGAAGAAAGAAAAAGGAAGGAAAAGGAGCTGGCCGAACAAAGAAGAGTTGAAAATGCTACGAGTGCTGTGGATTTTATCCAATCGACCAAAGTCATTGACAATGGAAATCAAAGAGATCCGTCCTCTCTTTTGATGATCAAGGTAGGAAATTTTGTATACAGGATATTGTTTGTCAAAAAGTCAAAATTTTTTCAACCTTTGAAGGTTTTTCGATAAAAAATTTTAAGATTCTTTTTTCAGACCGAGCTTTTGGCCGCTGTGGAACGTCTGGGCCAAGTATTACCTCCGAACACATTGGATCAACTGATTGATGAACTGGGAGGACCAGATGTTGTCGCCGAAATGACTGGAAGAAAGGGGAGAATCGTTGTGCAGCCCAATGGATCAGTCGAATACCAACCAAGGAATGCCAATTCAATGGCCCCGGTGGATCTCATGAACTTGGAAGAGAAGGAAAAGTTTATGAATGGAGAGAAATTTGTGGCTGTGATATCAGAAGCAGCTAGTTCGGGCATCTCTCTACAGTCGGATAGAAGGGTAAAGAATAAAAGAAGAAGGGTCCATATCACTCTGGAATTGCCATGGTCAGCCGATAAAGCGGTCCAGCAGTTTGGTAAGGAATTTTTCTATAGTATTGGGGTTGTTTGATAGAGATTTTAGGCTGAAATAACATTACGATAGCATGGATAATATAATGTTGATGTCTAAATTACTGTGTTTTGGTCTTTTTTTGAATATCTTAATAGTTGTTGATGAAGAGTGAAGACTAATGCCTAATTTTCAGGCCGAACCCATCGCTCCAATCAGCTCAGCGCCCCGGAATATCTCTTTTTGATATCCGAGTTAGCCGGAGAAAAGCGGTTTGCCTCGGTTGTTGCGAAGCGTCTGGAATCCCTCGGAGCCCTCACTCATGGAGATCGAAGAGCCACGGAGAGCAGAGACCTCAGCCAGTTCAATTTGGACAACCGGTATGGCCGTGAAGCCCTCCAAATTATGATTCGAACCCTGGCCAACCCCAGAATACCCCCGCTTCTCCCGCCACCCAAAGACTATCGGATTCAGAACGCCAACTTCTTTGAGGATATGCGGGAATATCTGGTTGGAGTTGGAGTTTTGTCAAAGAATCCGAACAACCCGGCTGGAGTTTTGACCATCGAAAAGGAAGGAGTGAGCTTGGCCAAGTTCCTAAACAGACTGCTCGGACTACCAGTGCATGCTCAGAATGCCCTGTTTGGTTACTTTACCGACATCATCAATGAACTCATAAAAAGGGCGAAGGCGAACGGGACTTTTGATAAAGGCATCATGGGTAAGATAAATTCTTTTCAATTTTTTTAAATGGGTTGTCAGTTTTGGTGTTAGGATAATCTAAAGGAGTTATATCAGTCTGTCGGGAAAATAACGGCGGATTGTCGCAGCAAAATGTCTCGCCTCGCCGCTATCGCGCACTAAATCCCAAGCCGCGGCTTGCAGTCGCAAAGCGATGATGAGCGACTCCGAGGCGCGACGATCCGCCGTTTTTTCCCGACAGACCGATAGAAAGGACAAAATGTGAAATTTGTAATTTGAGGACGATTTTTTTAAATCTCCGCAAAATTGGCATTGTGTGTCAAGGGTAATTTTTGATGGAAAATGAATGAAATGGATAGGTTATGAGATAAAACTGTGATAAGAAACCTATTTATTTGTTAGAAATAGACAGGCTTGTGTATTGGTGTATCTTGAGGAATTATTTTGATCAGAACTTGGTGCAATATAAGTTTTGGAGAACTTTGAAGTATTTATCGATTTTTTCCAGATCTTGGCCACGGAACGGACACCGCCAGGGAAATGGAGAAACGAGAGTTCCGCGGAGTGATCGACAACTCCAATTTCTTGGTTAAAATGCATAAAATCGGAGCCGAAAGAGGCGTCAAGTGGGAAGACGCTGTGAAGCTCCTCAACGCTCAAGTTGACGACACAGACGATGTCTGCGGCTTCTACGTCGGAAAGCCGAACCTGAACAAGAAGGTCCTGATCATTTTGGTGGTTCATTCGGTGAAAAGAAGCGCTCTGAGCATGAGCAACCAGAAGATGTACACTCTGATCAGACCCAACTCGGGAAGGTCGTCCAAGTCCTTTTACGCCCAAGATATTACGAGAAGGCACACCAGGATCCCCATGGTGGAAGCCGAGAAGATTTGGAAGGAGCATTACGACAGTAAGGGAGTTTGGGGATATTGTAGTAGGAATGGAGAGAAAAGTTTAGATTTTTTTGGATTTTGAAAGAAAACTGGATAGTTTTGTTTAAATTAAGCTGGGAAACGGGGAATGAAAAGATTTTAGAGTAATGACATGTCTTGCGGAGGAAAGTCCTATCTTATTTTATTTCATGATTTTGTGCTAAACATTTTTTGCTAAATTTTTGGTCCTTTCTTGGAGATTTTTTGAACGAAAAGGAAAGTTTACTGCAAATTACGGCCTTTTAAAAATAAGAAAATTGAATTTTTGAGATAATTTTTCCCAGCGCAGTGTAGTAAATCCCAAATTTTAGTGCTCGGAACCATGTGCTTCCACAAATACCTCATTGGTTTTTGCCGGACGGAAGAACAAAGCGTCTTCTGCGAGGTGGGACGCAGATTCAGAACCTACTTTGTGCTTTCGGGGTCAGTAATCGCGGTTTGGCCCATTCTCGAGAAGGCCCTAAATGAAGCAAAACCCAATAAAAATACGGCAGGACCCAACATGCAGACGGTCAGAATTCAAACCGAAGGAAATCAGAAGCTGGTTGGACTGTTGGTCAAACCTCAGCATGTTAAAACTCTGCTGAAAGCCTTGAATGAACTTGAGGCATAGTGATCATCATGGAGAAGATCGAAAAATGGCTAAATTGTATTGAAGATCTTCGATAATGCGGCTAAAGCAAGTGTAAGGTTGGATAAGCCTCTAGAATAGACGTGAACTGAAGGAACTTGCGAAAACTCAACGGATATCTCGGAAAACGGCTAATGCTAATACTCTCTTATTGTTTTCTCTCATTTCTCTTAAACTTGTAATCTTCTGTCTTTTTTAATAGCACATAAACTCGATTTATGGCTGTCCCAGGGTACTCTCAAATTCGGTTATGTTAAGTCACTTCCATTCTATCTCTAATTTTTTTTATATTATCCATGACAAAAAGAAAAAATGCTAAAAAATTGTTGAAAATTTTCCTAAATTGTCTCCAAAACTTGCTCTTTCCAAAGTTCAGGGACCCTTCCATGCGCTATATATGATTTCAGCAGCATTGTAAACTATGGAAAACAAAGTGATTAGTCCTAAAGTAATATAAATTTTGTTTTCGAAAGAAACATTGTTTTGATGCTGCTCCTTATCTCCAAACCCAACCAAACTCCCCTCTTTGATATACTGGTATTGTTCCACCGTTGGTAATTTTATTCTCGAATCTTTGACTTTCTTATTATTGTGTAAGACTTTTTTGTTATTGTGCATAAAAATTTGTTGCTGAAAGTTGGGAATTTTCCTCGCAGACGATTCATTGAGGCTTATATTTTATATAAAAAAGATCACCGAGGAAGATAACGCGCCATAAAAGGAGATAACAAAAAATTGTCCAAAGTTTTGCCTAAAATAATATTTTTTGGAGAAAAAGGGCATAGTACATAATCAGAAGCGTTGGGAATCGACAAACAAATGCCTCTGCTTTCCCGTCTTATCATATAAAGTTAAAACGGGTTGAACGAGAAGTGTAAAAATACTCTTGGCGGATCAAAAGTCTGTCGCCGTCTGCTCTTTTCTAAATTTCCGCTCGTTTTTTCGCGGAAAACTCGGCATAACTTTTTATTTTCCCGCTCAATTTGGTTGATTGTTTTTGCAAAAAATTTTATACAGGTACCCAGCAGTGTATAGAATGAGTGGAGTTCGGAAACGTCGTACTTCCGCCCGCAAAGAGGACGATTCGAGCTCCTCTTCCGGGATCAACACCTCTCCAAAGCCGAAGAAAAGGTAAGAGCTTGCTCAAAATTATGTAATTTTGTGAATTTTAGGTGCGAAATCGTTTTATTGTGCTGTAAAAAATCGGAAAGAGAGATAATTGACAATTTTTAGCATCTCCGAGACTCATCCGGATCAGCCAATTCATGTTGCCCAAGACTCTTTGTTCAGTTCCAGCTCTGGATGGACAAATTACCAAGGATTTTTCAATCTCGCAGTACTTCTTCTGGTCGGTAGAAGATTTGGGCAGCTTGTTTTCCGCAAATTTTCTTTGTTTTGTGCCCAAAATCTCGGACGAACCTTCTTTTAGATCTAAAATAATATAGCTTTTAGCAAACTACGGCTTTTCGGCCTGAAAATCATCCGCAAATAAGCATAAAGCTGTGTTTAAAACCTAGAAATCACCTATATGTTGTTCTCCTTGCATCTTTAATTATATTATTTTAGGTGGTATCCAATGGTCGAGTTGCTCTAGAAAACCTGATAAAATATGGAATTCTCATCAACCCCTTAGGCTGGGTAGAACTCGCTCCACTCACACCATGGCACTGGCCGAACATCACAATTATGATCGGAACGAACATCTCCATCATCTTATCCTTGCTGGTCGAGAAGTTCATGGCCGCAGGCTACGGCGGCTTCAAATTTGCCAGTGTATTCTACACCATTTTGCTCATTGCTCACTTTACGGTCCCCGCCATAATCTCCACCCAGATCGGGTCAAATCCACTTTTCAATTCCTGGGCCTTAACTTTGGTGGTAGTGGAAGGTCTAAAGTTGGTCTCATATGGCCAGGTAAATCACTGGTGTCGAGAGGCGTATCGTGCGGAAAAGGTGGTAAGTGTCTTGAAGATTTTTCGTTCGAAGTTTAGAATCGATTAGTGGAAGGATCTCTGAGAAATTTCGATTTTTCAGAAGAAACCCTCGGATTCTATCTATTGTTATCCAAATAATTTGACGCTACGCAATATCTATTACTTTATGGCCGCTCCCACGTTGTGCTATGAGCTCCGATTTCCTCGGACACCCACCAGAAGAAAAAGGTTCCTCATCAAACGGGTGGTTGAGGTATGCCAAACTCGGTCAAGTATAACATAAAAATTTCTTTTAGTTCATCACTTTTTCCTGTCTAATCGTCGCATTGTGCCAACAATGGGTTATCCCACTCGTCAAGAATAGTATCGAGCCTTTTTCGGAGATGGATTTCAAGCGGTGCTTGGAAAGAGTCCTGAAATTGGCCATTCCGAATCATTTGATCTGGCTTCTCGGTTTCTACACCATGTTCCACTCCGGAATGAACCTACTGGCCGAGCTTCTTCGGTTTGGCGACCGAGAGTTCTATTTGTAAGGGATTTTTATAGTATTCATGTCAAATTTTTAGAGATTTTTGGAATGCTGAGACGATCTCGTACTTCTGGCGAACTTGGAACATGCCAGTCCATCGGTGGTGCCTCAGGCATGTATACAAGCCGATAGTTAGCAATGGATTCTCCAAAGTCTCGGCTTCAATTGTCGTTTTCTTGATCTCCGCTTTCTTCCACGAATACTTGGTAAGGGAATTTTTTTTGGGTGAGACAGTGCCTAGAGTTTACTAATGTGCGATTAATGGTTTGGGACATTTTTGGAAATGCAAAATCCTTTAAATTTTCCGAAATTTTTGAGAATCAGTTGTCTCCCTATCTTTCATAGACTATTCTCAATAACCTCGTTTAATTTAGGTGTCGGTTCCGCTCCATATGTTCCGTCTTTGGGCTTTTAACGGCATGCTCGCCCAGATCCCGCTCTCAATTTTAACTGATCGATTCCTCAAAGGCGGCCGAGCCGGCAACATTATCGTATGGCTTTCGTTGATCCTGGGCCAGCCCATGGCCATCCTGATGTATGTCCACGACTGGTATCTGATCAATCATCCCGGCCATGTCTCGGTTCCCATCAACGTCACCATCCCTCACATTTGAATTTTGTGATTTTTTTAAGTTGTGATAACTAGTAGTGTGACCCGTATCAGGTAACTTTACAGTATTCAAGGCAAGTTTTAGCTAGCTTAGCAGTAATTAGCTAGGTTTTTTGAAAGATTTTTGCATTTTTTGACAGATTTTTGTATTGTCTTTGACAGTTTTGACTATTTTACTTGATGTAATGGTGTTAATTGGAATTTTCTGTGATTTTAGAGCATTAAAGAGCTTGTGGGACCCTAAAGACAAAATATTTGTCGGGAAAAAAACACATTGTTTTTATTAAAAGTGGTCAGTTGCACTGTAAAATTACGTAAATCTCTTTTTTGCTCTTGATAGATCACAAAAATTGCCCGTTTTACACCAACACTTCTTGTTTCACGTAAAATTTTGTCGGTTTTTTCACTTTATCAGATCTTGTTTCGCTCTCTTTGTGCCATTTCCACGCCCACCTAGCCATTTAAAACAGTATCCTCATATCCGTTCTTGTCAATCTCTTATTTTGTGATGAATAAACTCAGACGGGTTTGTATGTGAAAAACTAATTTTTAAAAATCATTTCAATACAAAAAACAAGCCAGAATTCCATGAATTCGATTAAATCTCCGCATTATTCCTCTCCGAAACATGCGAATCCCCGGATTGGGGGAACGGCTGCTGGGATTTGATTTCCTAGAGTAGCATAAAAAGTGGGCGTCAGCAACTTTCACTGTGCGAAAGGCCGAAAAAAAGTCTACGAACTTTCTGGAAAGACTAGTATTTTGAGCTATTTTTGGCGTTTACACTGCGCAATAAAGTCAAAGCGACAGCCCAAAAGTCTGTCGTTCAGAAATTGCAAAACGCACTGTGGATTATTGTTTTCTCTCACAGATCACTCGAGCGACTTCGCAAACAGCCTATTTTCACCTTTTCTTAACATTTTGAGAGAGAGGTTGAAAAGACAATTTTTTGGATCTCTGTAGCGTGTTGTGGAACACGTGCATATTTATTTACAAAAAAAATGGTTTTGAGATACAGTGGGAGATCAGACCCAGTGGCAAAAAACGTACCATTTTGCTTCCGGGAAGTATCAAAAATGTGGCAAAATGCTTCCCTCTTCAAGTGATATATGAAATCTTCACGGTGTTAGCTGAAACACGGCACCCTACAGTGCCATAAGATTATCGCTTTCAAATTTTTCACAGTTTATCCATAAGCGACATTTTATACGTAAAATTTCAAAAATTGAAAAGTCTTGAAAGTCCACCATGATGACATCTTAAAATCCAATGTACGGTGGAGGGTCTGATCCAGTGGCAAAAAACGTACCATTTTGCATCCGGGAAGTATCAAAAATGTGCCAAAATGCTTCCCCCTCCAAGTGAAAAACTTCGTTTTGAAGGGAGAGGGAGGTATTTTGTCACATTTTTCGACGCCTCCAGGATGCAAATTGGTTCTTTTTTGCCACTTGATCAGGTCCCCCACTGTAGTGGAACACCCGCATATTTACAAAAAAAATCGATTTTGAGATATTTCTCGGCTCCCAAGACCATGCGGCAGAAACAGAACGAATTCACACTAAATTTTGTATGCTCTTCCAGAATTTGGGGGTCTCATGTTGACAGCTCACGGACAGTTCACACCATTCCCTTGTTGGATTCACCTTGATCCCCGCTACGTGTTTTTTTTTCGAACCGAGCCTGCCCTCTCCCTTACGCCTCCGCAGAGGGGAAATTTCTTATCTCCAAAGGATCCGGAATAAGATTTAAATTATTCGACGAGAAATGTTGAAAGTCTTTAATTTAAAATCTAGAGTGATTTTGAATTTGCGTGCATATATCGAATTATGTTGTTGGTGAATTTCTTTCCGATAATAAAAGGCCAATTGGCAAACCACCGAATATTGGGTTCGTTTATTTTTCTCTGCAATTGTGCGCGCAAAGCGGCCAGGAAATTAGGCTAACACGGGAGGTACCCCAAGTGCGACGCTCCGATTTTCTTTAAATTTTGAACGCACGTCGGGCATGAACTATGTGACAAAGTTTTAGCTCGCGCTTTTCAGGCGCCGCCGAGATATTGAACGATCTTTGCCGCCGAGAGAGTACGCTCGGAGAGCGGACAGAGCGAAAAACATCTTTTGGCCATAACTTTGCTTGTTTCGTACGGAAAAAATTGATTTTTTGTGGAAACATTACCCTCTATGGTAGAAATAGGCACGCGACTTTTCGTGCCCAAATTCGGCAAAAAGTCCGAAATTTTCGCCGGCTTTCGATCTATAAATCTCGGCTGTTTCTGCAAAGCGCGAGCTAGGATTCTCGCATATATTTTATGAAAAATTGCTCTAAATTTGTGCCAAGTTTCATCAAAATCTGAGAGTCGCACTTGGGGTACTTCCCCTGTAAGCCTGATCACTTCTGAAAATCGACCAAAGAATATGGTCGATTTTTATGGGATTACAGAACAGGGTGGTTCAGCCGAAGCTTATTTCAAGTATTTCTCCGCCAATAATGCACCAATTTCTATAAAATTTATATCAAATTGAAGCTGAGGTGCCCCAGTTTTTGTCCACAAAGTAATATGACGGGCCCATGCACGTCAAACTGAGATAAGCTAAAACAGTCCGGTGAATGGATTGGGAATATGCCAAAAAAAGACGCGAAAAAACGTTTTGTCGGGGGAGAAATGGGGAATTTTTGGGGCGAGAGAGTACGCTTTTGCGTGTCTTTTTTCTCTCTTTCTCTGGAAATCAAGACGAAATGTAAAACACCGATAGCGAAGAGTCTATACTCCGCCGATTTAATTTGGACCAGTCTGAAACTTGAAAACGGTTATAGATATGAACTCCATTCCTTCAACAAGTTTGATCACCAGTCGACTCTATGTTCAACTGTAGCCAAATATTTCCTCTGCCTTGAGGCACAAGAAAAATATTCGAATTTTGTAATTTTTTCTGTCGAAAAAGTTTGGACCAGGGCAACAAAAATTTGCATTTCTTTATCACTAGGTGGGGTGAAACCATGATAACTTGTGAAGATAATTGTGATTCCCTGCTGATACTAACGAGCAGGGAATTCCGAGATTAGCGCTGTGTTTAAGGCCCTGAGGGCAATTTTAAAGAAAATTTCCAAAATTCCAGAATTTTTTCGCCCTGGCGCTTGAGTAAGCAGCGTAAATCGTCTTAAATTAGTTTCTGTGCAACCACAGTATCGTGTACATCTAATTGGATGACGTTATAAAATAGTTTTACATCTAAAATTTTTTGTTCTTGGAGGATTTGCGACTTTGAAACTTGGGTTAGCGATAATAGTGAGGCCACTGCGCTCAAACAACTGCTAAATCATACAGCGTTTTGCTTGGGACATATGAGGGGCATCCCACACTTTCCTTCTGTGTCAAAACAATATCCGATTTACACGCGACAAATGCACAATAGACCGAACACTTTGATAAAAAAATTTAAGAAGAGGGTGCTTACTTAAAAGTTTTCCAAAGTGAAAAAAGATGTTCCTATATGTACATTGTACGTTTATTCCGCTATCAGGTGCTAGCCAGACCTGATAACTTAATTTGATGCACATTAAATTGTTTTTTCTCAACATGTTTCGACTGGGCCAACGAAAACTTTTTTTATCAAAGTGTTCGGTCTATTGTGCATTTGTCGCGTGTAAATTGATTATTGTTTTGACACAGAAGGAAAGTGTGGCATGCCCCTCATATGTCCCAAGCAAAACGCTGTATGATTTAGCAGTTGTTTGAGCGCAGTGGCCTCACTATTATCGCTAACCCAAGTTTCAAAGTCGCAAATCCTCCAAGAACAAAAAATTTTAGATGTAAAACTATTTTATAACGTCATCCAATTAGATGTACACGATACTGTGGTTGCACAGAAACTAATTTAAGACGATTTACGCTGCTTACTCAAGCGCCAGGGCGAAAAAATTCTGGAATTTTGGGAATTTTCTTAAAAATTGCCCTCAGGGCCTTAAACACAGCGCTAATCTCGGAATTCCCTGCTCGTTAGTATCAGCAGGGAATCACAATTATCTTCACAAGTTATCATGGTTTCACCCCACCTAGTGATAAAGAAATGCAAATTTTTGTTGCCCTGGTCCAAACTTTTTCGACAGAAAAAATTACAAAATTCGAATATTTTTCTTGTGCCTCAAGGCAGAGGAAATATTTGGCTACAGTTGAACATAGAGTCGACTGGTGATCAAACTTGTTGAAGGAATGGAGTTCATATCTATAACCGTTTTCAAGTTTCAGACTGGTCCAAATTAAATCGGCGGAGTATATTCCGGTCCGGGCTCCTCAGTTTGACGTGCCATGTTCAGGGATGCTCCCTTACCTTTTTTGCTCCCTTTGTGCCATTTCCACGCCCATCTGGCCATTTAAAACAGTATCCTCATATCCGTTGAGGATACTGTTTTCAATCTCTTATTTTGTACGGGTTTGAATGTAAAAAATTAATTATTCAAAATCATTTCGAACCGAAAAATACGCCAGGATTCCGAGAACTCGATTAAAAATTCAACATCATTCCTCTCCGAAACATGCGAATCCCCGGATTAGGGGAACGATGGTGGGCGAAAGCCAACCACCGTGGACGACATTTTGAGTTGCGTTGCAAATTCGGAATGTATAGGATGAGGTTTGAGTTTGTAGCATTGATTTTTTATGATCCCTTGTGATAACTCAAAAAATTATCATCGATACTTTTTGATCACTTTTAATTTTTTTCGTCTTTAAAGTGGCCTGGCGCAGAAAAATTTGGAAAATAAGCAAGGCTAAAGGTCGCTTTAAATTAATTTTTTGTAACAAGTCATTTTTTGCTAATCTTTTCCACATATTTCTTTGTTTTTTCAAAGCTCCGCCCCATTCTGAGCGGTTTAAAATGTACAATCAATGTAGTAGATCCTCTACATGTAGAAATGGACTTTGATTTTTGCAGAATGGGCGGGTCCAAGATTTTCATAGAGCTGTTTTAAAAGTTGTATAGTTGGCGTTTTTAGGGGGATAACTTTTGAAAACTCAAAAAGTTATCATTGAAAATTTTTACAGACTTTTGAAGTTTTGGACCCAAAATGCGTAGCTATCATTTCTTCACTATTTTGATGTTTTTACCCTCGAGAAAATTATTTTTTCATGGTCTCACATGATTTTAAGCTCATGTAAATTTCTTCGATATGTACTGATGACTTCATCAGTTTTTTTTGTAACTTTTCTATAATAAAATGAGCCTTTTTAGCGGAATTTGCAGCGACAGTATGCAAAGGCATGTAAGGACGTCATTTGATTGTCTAAATGAAATCTCAAAAAATTATTTGAAACTATTTTTGCTGTTTACTTTTGTGTTTACGACTTTAAATTTACCATTGGAACTGATGAAGATGGACTTTTGGAAATATTCATATTCTACACTAAATAACGAAGAAAGCAATTTGCTGTTGTTGCATCCCAAAAGCTGCGAAGTCGAAGTTGCAAACCCGTTTGATAAAGAGATGATGTTTACTATATTGAGGGACAATATTCCAAAAAGAAGTTGCACTCCAACGTTGGAGGTGAGGTCGGAATTGAAAAAGAATAAATTGAAGTTGATTGGAAGGTTCGAAGAGGATGAAATGTGCGAAATGAGGTAGGAAATTTCATAAATAATTTTTTAAAGTTTTTACAAAATCAAGAGGGGATTTGACTTATAGTAATTTCGATGATAGTGACATTTTATACGACTGATTTTTTATTGACAAAAGAAAACTAAGATTTTTATGAAATGGGGTAAAAATTGAGGCAACACAATATTCAAGACATCCCCGAGATTTGTAGCTCCCAAACTCATCGAATTTTTTTGGTTGGCAGTTGCAGAAAATTCAAAAATTTTTAACAGGGGAAGTACTCCAAGTGCGACGCTCAGATTTTGATGAAACTTGGCACAAATTTAGAATAATTTTTTCTAAGATATGCGAGAATCTAAGCTCGCGCTTTGCAGACACAACCGAGATTTTTAGATCAAAAGTCGGCGAAAATTTAGGAGTTTTTGCCGAATTTCGGCACGAAAAGTTTCATGCCTATTTCAACCGTAAAGGATAATGTTTCTGCAAAAAATCAAATTTTTCCGCACGAAACTGCCAAAGTTATGGCCAAAAAGCGCTTTTTTCTCTGACCGCTCTCCACGTTGAGCGTGCTCTCTCGGCGGCAAAAATCGTTCGATATCTCGGCGGCGCCCGCAAAGCGCGAGCTAAAACTTTCAGGAATTGATATTTAGTCCATACTCGACGTGTGTGCAAAATTTAAGGAAAATCTGAGCGTCGCCCTAGAAGTACTTCCCCTGTAAGTTTATAGAAAAAATCTTCCATACTTTTTGCGATGACTAGTATCGCTATGACGGCCATACTTCACCAATCACGAATTTGTCTGAGATGCGAAGAATTTGCTTTACAGATGTGTGAACCAAACCAAATTCGGCTATCAAAGCATCGGTCACTGGGCCGAGCTTATGGCCGATGACGTCATTGAGACTTTTTGTGACAATATTGAGGTGAGATGCGCCATAAATGCAACGGAAACATATCATTACTTACATTATCAATTGGTAAAAAAGTAAGTGAAAGGTTTATTGGCGTGGGAAATTAAAAATCATCTGTTGAAATTTTCGTATTTCAGGCCAAAAAAATTGCCGCCATACATGAACTCGACAGATGACGTACCGTCGAAGTCACGTCCAAATTTGCATGTAATGCTGCTGGATTCGGTGGCGCTCCCTCATTTTCTCAGAGCGATGCCGCGAACTTTCAAATATTTGAAAAGTTCGCTGAGCTCGTATTTATTTACTTACAACAACAAGGCCGGGTTGAACAGCATTCCAAACGGGTTTGTTTTGTACATGGACAAATTAGTCGAAGCTGCAAAAGCAGATCCGCTGGGGAAGAAGCTGCCATCGGGAAAGATGAGGGAATTGAATCCCTGCGGAAGGAACACTAGTTATTTGGCCAGGTAAGGGCGGGTTTATTGAAAGTAGACACAAAAAATATTTTCTAAAAATGTTGGATTTAAGGGTTTCCGAGGGTGCTGGTCTCGAAAATTATGTTAACTTTTCCTCTAGTACTAAATAGTATTATCTGATACTATCCAAAAAAATTACTAGTTTACAGTACTACTTAAGAAAAAAGTAACAACCAGAGAAAATGAACATGATTTTCGAAATCAGCATCCTCGAAAACCCCTAAACCGAGTATTTATGAAAAAAAATCAAAAATTGCTACTTTACAGTACTACTTAAGGAAAAAAGTAAGAATCAAAAAAATGATTGTCATTTTCGAAATCAGCACCCTCGATTATCCTAATTTTGGCACTTGCATTCGCAGAAAAATTATACGCAGCATGACACAAGATCTAACAAGTGTTAGTTTGCTCCCATTTTTGCGGACTTTGTTGCGGGCAACTGAGTCAACATTAAAACAAATTTTCGACTGAATTTTCGAGATTCTTCGTGATCGAGAAACAACAGCAGGCTTCATTAACTTCTTTTAGGTTCTTCAAAGAAAACGGGTACAGAACTCTGCTGAATGAGGACTGGTCAATTGAAATCCATAAGAATTGCAAGGCCCAGCAGGAGAGTTATATCGACGAGTTCTTCAAGTAAGCGAAAAACAATGTCAGCGTGTTGAGATGCGCTGAAAAAATGATAAAAATTGGGACAGAAAAGATTTTTTGAGCGCCGGAAATTGGATATTGAATATCAATACTTTTGTAAATTTTTCAGTTCCTACTTTAATCATAAATGCCAAATCTGGCCACATTTCTTTGCAACGGAAAGATTGGGACCGGGTGGTCGATCCCACTTCCATTCCAACCTTTGGGAGCCCCACTGTCATGAGCGGCATCTGCAGCAATTCGATTATCTCGAGCAATTCATGGAGATGTATAAAGATGAGCCGATTGCCACTTTTAGTTGGCTCACCTATCTTGTTCATGACTGGAGGGGAGATCTCTTTGGATATGATCTCGATTTCCTGCAATTCTTCGAAAGGATCACGCCGAAGGTAACGGAATTACAAAATTTTTGTTGCCCTGCAGTTGGGGATTTGTATATCTTTGCTATCATGATTTTTAAACCTTCTGTAGCTGGCTTCCAGCGCTGACTAAAGTTCAAGAGTTCAAACTTTTACTGCTTGATGCTTTGTTTGCTGATTTCACAAAAACGGGTGCAGAATTCGCTTAAACAGAGTTTGCTTAGACGCCAGCTTGAAGCGAGTACGTAGGAGAAGGCAGCTGAGCAAATTCAGGTGTGACAAACGATCGCAATTCCTTCCTGCCTTACAGTAGATAAATTTCTTTGTTCTAGAAGACTCTTACACACAATGAATCTAAATTTTCAGCTTTCAAATTCGCATTTCATTTTGTTGGCCGACCATGGGAACCGTTTGTATGAGGAACGGACATTCCGATTGGATCGACTGGAAGATAATAACCCTTTACTGCTCTACATTCCTCCACAGAATTTGCTAAAAAACGAGGAATTTAAAAATCGACTGAATGAGAATAGTCGGCAATTAGTTACGCCATATGATACCTACGCAACGTTGAAGGACATTGCGTTGGTAAGCATGGAACTTTGCGATTTTCGAAGTGAATGTTCGCTTTGTTACGATAAAAATTTTAGCACGGGCATCTTTTCGATGACAAGTACAACTTTTCATCACCCCCTCCCGCTGGCATCTCCGATAATACCGGTTCAAGCTGGCTTCGCCCGCTGAAGCAGCCTCGAAACTGCGATTCCCTTCACATTCCCTATCAATATTGTCTTTGCAAATCTTCCAGCGAGGCACAGAATATTACCGACGACTTCAAATTCAAGCTGGCCGAGACCTGCATCCAGAAGATGAACAAAGAATTGAAGAGCAATCCAAAAGTCGCGGCCCTTTGCGAGAACTTATCAGTCGATCGAAGCTATAAACCGGTGGTTCAGAAACATGGTGACAAAGGAGCTGTGTATCGTGTGGACTTTAAAACGACGCCAGGAGGCGGACTCTACGATGGCTATGTTCAGGTAGGCAGCTAATTTTTGGAGGCCTTTCTTGCCAGCTGATCGCATGCCCTTTCATTAATAATAAAGTATATTTTAATGAAGTAGACACTTCTTATAGGTGCTCCCCAATGGAAAACATAAAGTAATATCACAGACATTGCCGCGTCGCAATTCCTATGGATCTCAAAGTCAGTGTCTCATAATACTCTTCAAAGCTTATACGTTTATCGAAAACTATTGTGTTTGTAAAAACCGTTGAAATAAATATTCTCAAAGAATTAACGATCCGCCGACTCTCCGAGTGAATATGAAAGCGAAAGTGGAGTTGATAATAAAGTGACCGTTATATCAATATTCATGGCCGAAGTAATCGAATAAAAGAGGGGTCATTTTACGAGGCTTTCTTTTAGATCAATGTCATCTGGCCACTCGGTATTGAAGTATCAAATTTTCGTATGTTTCGGCTGCTTCAATGCGTACTCCTTGTCATTGCCATAGGTAAGCGAATTCCACTAATACATCTGTCGAAAGTGTTGTGATGAAATCTGTCTTTACAGGTCTTCATTTTTCATCATGGAATCACATTTATGCGGCTCCAGCAAAGAAGCATCCAACTTATCGAAATCTCTATCATCCAGTAGCTGACGTCCCAAAGGAACCTCTACATCCGTGCCTTTGTCATCTGCAAAACTTTAGAATCGAATTTACCATACATCTAAGTCTTGACCGTCTATTCAACAGAGCCGAACACGAATACACCAAAACTAGTTTCATAGAACGTCCAAAGATTAATCTGGAGCATTCAATAAGCTATGAAGAGCCAAAAAATGCAGACAATACGCTTGAAAATACAATACAAAATCAGCCACAGTGGGAGCAGTACAACATCAAGAGGCAAGAGGAAACTGTAGATAATTTGGCCTCGGAGAATTACAAATTACGCAAGAAGTTTGTTGGATATAAAGCGTTGGAAGAGAAGATGAAACCACAAGGAATTTTGAACACATATGAATCGAGGAAAGGTAAGTGATCCCTTGGAGGTATAGTAATCTTTACTAATGTTCTAGACTTCCATCGGAAAGATCAAGCGGTTCTTCAAACGCCGCAAATAACAATTGAAAAACTCACAAAATACTAATAAAAGCTCATGTTTATTTTATTGTTGTTTATGTAATAAATAAAACAGTAGAAATCACCATCAGCATAAATTTAGAATAGTTTTTTCAAAAACATTTTGCAACATTTAAAGAAAATCTGAGCGCCGTACTTGTGGTATAACTATCTTCAAAAAAACTAGAATTCATTACCGGCAGGCTCATACAGACAGCACCGCAGACTAGGCATCTATGTATTATCTGCTTCGAATTACTGCTTCTACACGCATGTCACTTTACATGCGTTTACCAAGCGCTTCGCAGTGATAAAAAAAATTTTCGTTGCGTTAAGGGTACGCAATTTGTACACGTCTCAATGACTTATCGCCGGAAACCAAAAGGACAAAGAGTAAATAAAGAATCCTCCAAGATACTAATAAATCCCACCACTCCCTGAAAAGCTCATTTTTGCCCCAAAGAAGCCATGAAATTGAATGCAGAGAGGGAAAAGCAATAGGCGTGTTCCTTATCAGTTCGTTTAGACAGGAAGAGTGTGAAAGCCCTAAAATTCTACGCCAATAAAAATTTTTTGTTTTTTTGATACGTGTCAAACATTTTTTAATAAGAATCAATATGCATTGTCTACATGCGAAGGACTCGACACCACGCCTTGATCGCTGATTTTACTTTCTCTAATAACTAGGAATTATTAAGTTAAGTGTATTTATTATCAAAGAATTCGTAAAATAATTAAACCTGAGTGGATTATTGCTCTCAATTCATTGTTGGTTCAGGAGACACGGTAAGAAAAAATGATTGGCATAATGATTTAGGCTTGTGAGTTCAGATGTTCACGTTCTCAATCAATGACAATATATAGATAATACGATCGTTCATACTTTTCACTACACATGACGTACGCGGAACGGGTAAGATACGATGTCTTGCGGTATAGTGCTCCTATATTTTTTTGAAATCATGCAATTCTATAAATGCCTCAAAAGGTATCCCTTCAAAAAAAAACGGCCCTTTTCCATTACCTTTTTCCGAAGTTTCATCAAGTAGTACAGTTTTTGACCCTTTGTAAAAAAATCGACACAAATTTAGATTTACTTTTTTACAAAAAAAATATTTTTTTCGACGGAACGCTGGCCATAATACGGCCAAAAAGCGTTCTTAAAACTTTTGGCAGTGATATAAATATGTATGGTCCAGGCAAATTTGAGCCAGATTGGAGCGTCAATCTTTGTGCACGGTCCTTGTAAGCTATAATAGAATCCAAACGTACAGTTTGCAACCGAAAAATTTTGAAATTTAAATTTGGGAATGCAAACTTATTCACTTTTCTCTGACCTCTTCGTATTGCCGGGTCGATGGATGAAGGCCTCCAAGAAATCGTCCTCCTTCCGGCCGAAAAAAGCACTAATTTGCACCGGAGTTACAGTAAGTAAGAGTGGAAGGTCGTCAGATTTCTAGCTGATTATCTAGGCCCGTTTTTCAGTCTTTCATTACCTAGTCTAGACCCGTTTTTTTAAATTTGAACTCTTTGAGTTCACAGGGGAAGTGCTCGAAGTGCGTCGTTCAGAATTTGAAGAAACTTGGGACAAATTTAGATCAATTGTTTCTAAGGGAAATACAAAATTTCTAACTCGCGCTTTGCAGAAACGATCAAGATTTTTAGGCCCAAAGTTGGCAAAAATGTGGCACTTTTCTGCAAATTTTGGCGTATAAAATTCTATGATTACTTCTAGCGGTGAGAATAATCTTTCCTCATAAATCAATTTTTTCCACAAGAAGTTGGAAAAGTTGGAAAAGTTACGGCCAAAAATGTTTTTCTCTCTGACTTCTCTCCGTGTTTTGCATACTCTCTCGGCGAAAAAGATGGTTGAATATCTTTGCTGCCGCTACCAAAATAGGACCCGAACTAGTCCAAATTTTATTTTTTTATCATCCAAACTGATTTTCAGGTCCGGTCTTTCCGAAAGTTGTTGCCTTTGAACTGGTTTCAAGTTTTCTGCCTCTGCGGTCTCTCCATTGGCTTTTTCTTGTACTCAGCAACATTATACGATATTAATATTTTACCTGGCTCACAATACACTGACTTTAACGACTTTGAAACTACTACACGGCAATATGAAGTCGAGATTACTGAGGAGGCGGAAATCAAGGAGGAAATTCGATATTACAAACGCCCTCCGGGCACGGAACATCTAAAATGTTCATGGCTCATGGAGGGAAATCACACTGATTATATAAAGAAATTGGCAAAGAAAAGAATGACATATACGGATCCAAAAAATTTCACGGGCAAGTTAAATTTTTTTTAAACTTTTTTATCCTTTTCGAGTCAAAAGTAGATTGCTTAGTAAAATACACATTTTTGAATAGCTGTATCATAAAATTGTGCAACTTACAAGGGATCGGCAAAACCGCGCATCCTGGTTTTTTCTTGAAACATACACCATTTGAAAGAGCGTAAAAAACTTGTCTAGGACCACATTTTATTAGCTGCTATTTTTGCTCTACGACTTAGCTAGCGATCACTTTTGTTCTAGGCTTATCTCACCCTTTTTCCGAGGAAACAAATCCGAACGGTTTCCAAAGCAAGGCGCAGCAATGCTTCGGTGGCCTAGTGGGGTAAGGCGCTAAACGAGGCGAACCTGCGGACCGGGTTCGAAACTCCTTTTGATTTTTTTTTTATTTTTTCAATGTTACAAACCAAATAAGGTCTGGAAGTAGTGCCACAAACATCGTATAGATGTTTGTGGTTAAATGGGATCCGTTTTTTAAAAAAAAACCGAGATTTTTTTTAATTCTTTCGAATTTGTAGTCCTTGCCCTTGAAGTGGGTATCGTCTGTGGCTGAAACTTTCAACGGCTTCCAAATTTTTAAGAGTAAAGCCAGGTAACGGAAAGTGCGTTAAAATTGAGCTTGAAAACGGATGGTGTGTTTTCTACCTGCTATTTTGCATTGGGCTACAGGACCTAAAAGATGGCGTGATCACACATTGTTAACATCGACTTGGGTATCTGAAGGTCGGAAAAAAGTATGTATTTTTTGGCATAGGATGAAGCGTTGGACGTCATAGGTACGTATTAGACATATGAAAAGTAATTCTTCAATCTCTTTAGCCTCTCAAAAGCAAAGAGTCGTGAAATCCAACTAGGATTTTTTTTTTAATTTTCGCTAGCTAGGGCGTAAAGCAAAAATAGCAGCTAATAAAAGGTGATCCTAGACCAGTTTTTTACGCTCTTTCAAATGGTGTATGTTTCAAGAAAAAACCAGGATGCGCGGTTTTGCCGATCCCTTGTTAGACACTTAAGAGACATTTTATACGATGAAAGATTTAGTCGTATAAAATGTCACCTTTAGAGTGACAACTAACAGCCAATCCTCCCGAAAGTTGGTTCTGAGAAATACGAGGCGTTGCAAATCTCCGGTAAAAACCTTGGATCGATCTATACTAAAACAAAAAAGTTGCGGCTATTTTTTCTTCTCACATCATATAATCCATGACATTTCAGGTCTCCCGATGGATTGTACGTCGATAAAAGCTCGGCATCGTTTCCCCACCATACCAACTAGTAAAGAAGAGGCCGACTTCCCTTTAGCTTACGCCCGTAACGTCTACACGGATTACTTTTACTTGGAAATGTTACTTTCCGCTAGTTATCAACCCCAGAATTATTACTGTTTTTCGATCGACAAAAAGTCTTCGGATCTCTTCAAAATGCGAATGCAGGCCCTGGCAAATTGCTTTTCGAACGTCTTTATATCGAATAACACGCGGTGGTTGGACAGTTTCGGGCATAATCAGGACTGGTCCCATTTGGATTGCCTGAGAATCTTGGCGAAGAAGGAAAAGAAATGGAAATACGTGCAGCTTCTACAGGTAACTTTCTCTAAAAACACGGTTTTGATTGTAAAATACGTGCGTCTGAATTTTTCGGCCATTGCCAACTTTCTGGGGACAAGTGACATTTTATACGATGAAAAATTTCCATGTCTTACCAGGGATCGGCAAATAGTTGCAACCTTTAATCTTAATGAAACATATATCATTTGAAAGAGCATTAAAAGTAGTGCACAACGTAAAAAAAATTAGCTGCCTAATTTATGTTTGGACAAAGTTATGGCCAAAATACAGATTTTAGCCTAAATTCACACGTCACTTTATAAGCTCTTGGAACCGCAACAGGGTTGTGTCCAGTTGGCCGAGTGGTAGTGACCCCACTTCAGGCGCAACAGCTCCTGGTTTCGAACCCGGACTCAGCAAATTTTTTGCATTTCGTATCTTATATTCCACAAAACCATGGTATGTTGATGTTTTTAAGCAGTTTGTGTTCTTCCTCAGACAAAATTCGTTTTTACGGGATTTTTCTGAATTTTTGGCTTTTTTTGAAACAACCACAAATTTGATGGTGATGAGAGTGGGGATACCACGATCATGTAATTACAAGGGTGATCCCAGTAGCCTGACCTATTATAACTACTGGACGAGAATTAAATTTACAATGACCTGTAAATATACATTTTTCGAAAGAATACGAAGATAAAATTGTATAATTGGGCAAAATACTATTGCTGACACAGTGGACCAACCGTTGGTAGGGCTAGGACATAAGAAATTTTTAATTTTGAGATTTTAGTTTGTGAACGACCATGGCGATCATATAAATGTATTTCCAACGCTTTTTGCTCCAATTTTCCCATTAATCTACTTTTATTTACAATTTTTTGGAACTAGCAGTAATGTCTAATAACTCATAACCGAGGTGTGGTAGAGCCATAAAACGACCGTGATAGACGTTTTTAGACACTAGAAAATCAATGGAGACGATTTCAAGTCGCCAGGATTACTGTAACATACGAAACTGGCGTTTTGGCCGCATATAACCACTTTCATAAAACGGTCATAACTTTGTCCAAACATAAATTAGGCAGCTAATTTTTCTTGCTTTGTGCACTATTTTTAATGCTCTTCCAAATGATATCTGTTTCGTTAAGATTAAAGGTTGCAACTATTTGCCGATCCCTTGTTAGCAATACAAATTAGAAAAAAAAATTAATTTTCAAAAATATATAGCTGGCAGTAACATAGATAACTCCGATTCCAAAATTTTAATTTTCATCATTAATCATTTTTCCAGAATCATGATTTTCCGCTGAAAACAAATCTGGAGACGGTTCGGATATTCAAATTGTTCAATGGGTCTAACGATATTCAAACCACCAAAGAGCATGGAAGAGTGGATTACAAAAAGAATTGGACATTTGTGAATATAGGAATCTTCCGAAACGGTAAGAGTGGCGGATTTTGGAATTTTTAAAAATCGGAAAAATTAAAATACAACGCTCTAAGGCCTCTGTTTAAGAATAGAAAAAGGCTTACTGATATGTTTAGACATCATAATCAAAAATATTTAGCATAGTGTTAGGTCTCACCACGAAAACATTGAGTTTGACAAAGCAGACTAAACAAATTTCTACCGCTCCTAAATTTGCAGACAAATGTTATTGCGATGTCTACAATCTTTTTAATAATTTTTCGATCAAACTGTACCCATTTTTGGGTCCCACCGCGAAAACCTGAAATTTGTTAAAATTGCCTAAAATCCCGAAATACGGCACGAACTCGACAAAAAGTCGTAATAAGACCTTCCTGACGATTTTTATTTTCAGAATCCCGCCTGCATGAGATTGCGAACTATTCGACCGCGAGATTAACATTTGTCAAAGGAAACAACGCCCTATCCGTGGTGCGAGAAGCCGTGGACTACGTTCTCTTCGATCTCAATATCACAAAAACAATCTCCATGATCGACGATGGCAAGAAGTTCGCCGTTGACGAAGTCCTTTTCCCCACTTTGTTATCCAACGAGGACTTGAGAGCCCCGGGATATTACACGCAAACGTGCGTCAAGAAAGGAATCAACCACGGCGGAGTGACTCGTATGGCATACTGGTCCTACTTGAAGCCCCCATGCTACAGCGGCCATTTCCGTCATGCGATTTGCGTTTTTGGGGTCGCGGATTTGGCGAAAAACTTGGACAAATCGGACCATTTGAACGGGAATAAAATGCTGCCTTCCTTTGACTTTAACGCCATAACCTGCTGGATGGAGGTGATATATAATCGAACGTTCATTGAGCAGCCGAAAAACAGGATTCACGAGCATTTTTACCGAACTTTACCAGCGGTAAGTGAAGTTTTTTTAGCTAAAGCACCAAAAGTTGAACATTAATTTATCTTATTTTAGGTGAGATTCCAAAAATACAAGGACAAAAATGGCCGAGTGTCCAAAGAAGCGCTGAAAAGTTTCAAATGTGGGACAAGCACGGGCTAATCGCTACGCTGATTTGCATTTTACCTATATGTTTTTTCATAATTTCAATGATTGCAACATGTCAGATAAACTAATTTCAAAAACCGTAGTAATCCGCTTGAATCTAATTTACTTTGTGAAAATCGGACGAATTTGTATTATGATCACTTTGTATTCCTTATTTTCACTGGAATTTCCAATAATTCAGCTCTTTTTTAACTTTGAATTTCACTGTTTTCACACCTTTCCCTACAAAAACTAAAAATCAATGGTTGTGATGAAATGTGACACTTCGTTATTGGAAAATGAAAAGTACGTTTTTTTCTTTTCGTCTTGGCGTTTATTGGAATTTCGTCTGTTCGTCAGTTTATTTGGTTGTTTTTTACAACGTTATGCCGTGAATTTCTAGAATTTTTCAGTTTATTATACACCAAGCTTTGGCTGACCCAAAAATTTCGAAAATAAGAAAATCGGAAATTTTTTACGGAATTTTTGGCATAGAGTGGGTTATGGTAGTATTCAGCTATTTGAAAAGGAGTTTAATTCGATGGTTTGTAACGTTTTTTGCGGTAAAATGTTGCGCTTGCCCTTCTTCGCGCCATTTCGTCGCATGGTTTTGACGAAATGTCACTATTGATTGAAAGTGATAAGCATAGGTGAAAAAGTTTTCATACCATATTGCTTTTCGTCCTTTTTACAGCGTTTTAGCTCCTAAAATCCCCGTATGTATCGCTCTTTCATTTAGGATAGATTCTAGACGACATGGATCCCGAATCTTCTCAAATGAAGCGGTCAACTGATAAAGAGGATCTTGAGGAGGTCCCAATAAAAGTTAGTTATCTTCTGTAGATGAATAGAGAGGAAAAATTGAAACGTGAGATTGTTGAGTAGACATTTGCGCATGTCTGGGCGAAAAATCAAGAAAAGTTGTTGTGAAATAAAATTTTTTTTCGCAGAGAATGTTGTTACACTTTCCTTTTCAGAGCGTACGAGCGAATTGCTTGGCCAAAGCCCGCGCCAAACGCCAGGAGATTGCGGATAGGCGCCATAGATTGACCATGGCATCAGTTGCCGCTAGAAAAGCCAGGCTAAAGGTGCCAAATGAAAACGAGGACTTCGAGGAGGAACCAGTAAAAGTAGGTGTTCTTCTGAACGAAAAATTTGAACGTACGATTTTTCGTTAGACATTTTAGCATGTCTTGGGGAAAAAATCAATAAAACTTGTTGTGAAATAAAAAAATTCATTGTGCGAAAGTGTTGTTATACTCAGTTTTTGCAGAAAAATCGAGAAGGAGGTAACAAATTGGCCAAAGCCAATGTCAAACGCCAGGAAACCTTGGCTAGGCGTAAGAAATTTTCTGAAGCAGATCATACGGCTCAAAGAAGTAAGTTGTTTTACGTTTTCCCGTTTTTGGGAACAGTCCTTGCGGCCATGATAATTATCGGTGTGCAGTTGGCATTTTTCCTGGGCGCGAGTCGGAAAAACCTCGGGCGCGATCCGAAACCGGTTGCGAGTCGGAAAATAAAAACGTTTATCGGACAAAAAAGGAATGCCTTCTGATTTTGCGAATTCCGCGGGATTTCTCAAGTTTAATGTCTAAAATACGGTGTTTCCAGGGAAACGGATGGAAGTAGATGCCGAGGAACCCGATTCCATCTCGGATTGCTCGGAAATTTCGACTTCGGCGAGCTCGGATTTCAATCCGACCAGTCATTTGAAGGAGGTGATAAACGCGGTGGGAAAGGCGAATCAAGCCCGGCTGGAGTTGCTTTGCAAGACGCACAAGTTCTCCACGGCTACCGAGAATGATGTTATGGCTACGATCATGGCCACTATGGCGGATACAATTGAGATTTTCCAGGATTACGTTCCCGGCTACGTGATGGGCGTTGCAAACGAAGCCTTCACCGACCTGTTAAATAGGTCTTCCAGCAACATTACTGAGGTAATTCGCGCTGTGAAACCGCCAATGAGAAAGGTTCAATCCAAGCGATCACGTAAGTTCCAGGCTTTTTGTTTGGTATTCTTGGTTTAGATCAAAATTCATTGCAAAAGCCGTTGCCGGCTCTCCGATTGACGAACTCTCCTGGAGTGTTGATAGATCATTCTGGACCTCGTCAGACGCCGATTCAAATACCTCCGGGGGCAAACGTCACAGTAGTCGTGCATGTTCCAAACGGTGCAAAAGGCCCGACAGTCGGAGATGTCGTGAAAGGAAAGAAGAACCTGCCAAAGGACTGGAAGGCGCAAGAGATTCCAAATGAAGCTTCGAGTACACAGACAGTGCCTTCAGAAGTGCCGTCTACAAAGAAGCCAAGAAATTCAACGAAGAAATCGGCCGCAATCGACGACGAAATGGGGCCATCTACATCCAAGAAGGCGAAACTTGATAAGCCGGTGAAAGAATCGTACTATATGCGGAAAAAGCGGGAGATGCAGGAGAAGTTGGCCGCTGTAGAGGTCAAAGAAGAGCCCCAGCCCATCATTTATGAGACCCCGAAAAAAATAACTGGATTAGCGGACTTTTTGGAACCTCAGACGACAAGCATGAGTCAAGAAGAAATTCTCTCGAGTTTCCATTCGAAAATCCTCTTGGATAACCATGAAAAGAAGAACAAGCTGGTTGAAGCGAGAAGCAGGGTTAGAAAAATTAATGCTACAACTTTTTTGGACCCAACTACAAAGGATGACGCTTGTTTTGAAAAGTGGTGCAACGCATCGGAAAATTCCGCTAAAATAAATGAGAAATTCGAGAAATTGACAAGAGGATGGGAATATTCTTTCAGAGGAGTGAGTTTTTTATGGGGATTGATGAGAAAAGTGGGAAATTTTAGGGAAGTCTGGAAATTTTGCCTAGTGTAATATATCTTTTTTTGAGAAATAGAGATTTTAGTGTATTTATTATTTATTTTGGGTTGAGTGGGATCGTAAGTTATGTGATTTGATAGATTTATGTAGCCTAATTACGTTTTAAAATTTTTTGGGTTGATGTCTAGTATAATATATGCCTGATGTCTGAATGTTGATTTTTTAGATTATAATGAAGTACCAGCCCTAATATTTCTATACTGTTTTTTATGTGTTGTTTTTGTTGATTATTTACCATAAAAACGAATTTTTTTGTCATTTATGCCTACTACAATATAATTTTTTTCATTTCAGCAACTCTTATTGCCCATGATGCTTCGGGATCCTGTTCTCAAAGCCGCCATGGTCCTTGTCGCTTTTCCAGCCACCTTTTTCGACGTCCGCAATCCTGGCCATCTCCCCTTTGACTCGGCTCTTCGAAGAAAATGCACAAACTTTGTCGCCGAGGTCTGCTGCAACGTCTTTCATGACGCACCATTTGTTAAAAACGATCTCATGGACTTGTTGATTGAGTTGGATAAGACTTGTAAATCCTGTTATTGGATTCAGATGTCAATTATTGAGATCCGAAAGGCTGTCCGGGACATGACCGAGCTCAACAATAGGACCCCCTGTGCTATCCGAATGCCAGATGAGGAGCGTCTAGCGGCTGCTAAAGGTATTTTAATATTTTGAATAAGTTTTTTTTGAGTTTAGAAACATGATATTGTACTAGGTAAAAAGTTCAATTCTGCAAAAAATAGTGATGGGATTTAAATCCAACTTTTGAACAATAAAAGGAAAAGTGTAAAAAGCATATGGGAAAAAATTGTAGGTCTTAGATTTTATTGTCTATTGAGTTATGCACATTTTTATTTTTTAAACCCCCTGTTTTTGGCAAAATTTGTTTCTTGTCCGACAAAGGACGAAAATGGCATCCTTCTATTTTCAGGAGCCCATGTCTATCCTAGAAGAGTCTCTTATAGCAAAATTGACGAACATTTCTTGGGTAAATCTTTTTGGTTCCACCCACTTAAAATTATATTTCAACTGGTCTAAATTACTATATTTTCAGGCGAAAAACGAAGTCCAATAAACACGGTGAACCATCTCCAGACGACAAATGGCCAAATCCTGGTGAAACAGCTTCCTCAATGCTCAAAAGCACGTTATGTTCGATTCCCTGAGCCGTTTAACAAGGTGAATTTGGTGGAGTGGCTGAAGAAAAGTCCCAATAAAGCTCGAATTGATGGAATTATCAAGACTATTTTCACGAATTGGACCTTCACCTTCAATGATGTGAGTTTTTAACCGATTTTTGGGGTAAAATGTTTGAATTTCGGATTTTCCCGCCAAAATTGGCATGGTGTGTCAAGGCTAAAGGAGTAATGGACTTGTTGGAAAATGGGGCTTATAGTGAGAAAAGAGGATTTTGAATAGCTGGAATGAAGATTTGAGTCATTTTAAGATTGAAATTATATTATTCATGATGGTTTTTAGCATTTTTTTTGATTAAAGTGTTTTGCTGATATCTATTAGGCAAACTTTGTAATCCTATTTGCACGACTTAGTTTGATCATGGTATTGTATTTTTAAATATTTTTTGAGATTAATTTACCTTATTTTAGATCCCAATAATCAACTATGCCGACAACCCGGAGACTCGAATCGCCTTGGCCATCTTCCTCGACTTTGATCGTTGCCTAGTGGAAGGTTTGAACCTCGTTGCTACTGCGAGGAAACAAATCTTTCTTCTCATTCGGACCATAATGCAAAAAGCGATGCCCCCGAAAAAGTACACAAATCTGCAGCTGGAACTGCTTTTGAGAGAGCTGGATGTGGTCTGCAAGACTGATTACTTCCGGACTCTGAAGTTGGTGGACGTTGGATTGAGGGAAAAGAGGTATTTGAGATCAAAACGGGCGATGGCAGCGAGAGAGCGCGAAATTGAAGAGGAGTATGAAGAAGATGGCTCCGAGGAGAAGGTTTCCAGGTACGAAAAGCAATGGCAACGACAGAATATCAGTCTCAGACCTCAACGGCTCATTTTGAGACCACCGAAGGAGCCGGATTTTTATGAAATTCCGGAGAGAACCGGGCAGGAAAATGAGGAGGATCTGGCAGAAGATGGCGATCAAATTGGCGAAAAAGACCCCCAGAATGGAGAGGAAGTACCCGGCGAACAGGTGGAGGCCCCAAATGGAGCCTTGAACAATGTTTTCGAAGACAAAATGGATGATATCCCCTCAGGGCTCAAGAAAATTATTGATCAATATCGGGAGGTCCCGAAGGTCATGAAGGAAGAGCTCCCGGAGGAATAATTTTGTCGCGTTCACGTTGGTTTTTGTATTTTATTGAGATGTTATTATTATATTGTTGATGCGAAATGATAAACGGATAAAGCAATTTGAAAAATTGTTTTTTTTTTTTTTTTGAAATTCATGATGTGGGTTTTTGTTTTGTAAATTTTTTTTGAGTCTCAAAATTTGGTCATCATAAACAACATAAAAGTTTATAAAAAACTTGTTTTCAGTTTCAAATGTCGTTAAAACCAACTGTTTTCCGGCAAATTCATATTCGAAACACGTCTTTCAACAAGTTTTAAATAGTAATTTGTGGGGGTTTCGTCGCCCGAATACAAATTTCCACAACTTAAACGCCGAAATTTTGGGTTTTGGCATCTTATACTCCGCCGATTTAATTTGGACCAGTCTGAAACTTGAAAACGGTTATAGATATGAACTCCATTCCTTCAACAAGTTTGATCACCAGTCGACTCTATGTTCAACTGTAGCCAAATATTTCCTCTGCCTTGAGGCACAAGAAAAATATTCGAATTTTGTAATTTTTTCTGTCGAAAAAGTTTGGACCAGGGCAACAAAAATTTGCATTTCTTTATCACTAGGTGGGGTGAAACCATGATAACTTGTGAAAATAATTGTGATTCCCTGCTGATTCTAGCGAGCAGGGAATTCCGAGATTAGCGCTGTGTTTAAGGCCCTGAGGGCAATTTTTAAGAAAATTCCCAAAATTCCAGAAATTTTTCGCCCTAGCGCTTGAGTAAGAAGCGTAAATCGTCTTAAATTAGTTTCTGTGCAACCACAGTATCGTGTACATCTAATTGGATGACGTTATAAAATAGTTTTACATCTAAAATTTTTTGTTCTTGGAGGATTTGCGACTTTGAAACTTGGGTTGGCGATAATAGTGAGACCACTGCGCTCAAACAACTGCTAAATCATACAGCGTTTTGCTTTCGACATATGAGGGGCATCCCACACTTTCCTTCAGTGTCAAAACAATATCCGATTTACACGCGACAAATGCACAATAGACCGAAGACTTTGATAAAAAAAATTTAAGAAGAGGGTGCTTACTTGAAAGTTTTCCAAAGTGAAAAAAGATGTTTCTATATGTATATTGCACGTTTATTCCGTTATGAGGTGCTTGCCAGACCTGATAGAACTTAATTTGATGCACATTAAATTGTTTTTTCTCAACATGTTTCGACTGGGCCAACGAAAACTTTTTTTATCAAAGTCTTCGGTCTATTATGCATTTGTCGCGTGTAAATTGGATATTGTTTTGACACAGAAGGAAAGTGTGGAATGCCCCTCATATGTCCCAAGCAAAACGCTGTATGATTTAGCAGTTGTTTGAGCGCAGTGGCCTCACTATTATCGCCAACCCAAGTTTCAAAGTCGCATATCCTCCAAGAACAAAAAATTTTGGATGTAAAACTATTTTATAACATCATCCAATTAGATGTACGCTATACTGTGGTTGCACCGAAACTAATTTAAGACGATTTACGCTTCTTACTCAAGCGCTAGGGCGAAAAATTTCTGGAATTTTGGGAATTTTCTTAAAAATTGCCCTCAGGGCCTTAAACACAGCGCTAATCTCGGAATTCCCTGCTCGCTAGAATCAGCAGGGAATCACAATTATTTTCACAAGTTATCATGGTTTCACCCCACCTAGTGATAAAGAAATGCAAATTTTTGTTGCCCTGGTCCAAACTTTTTCGACAGAAAAAATAAAAAAATCCGAATATTTTTCTTGTGCCTCAAGGCAGAGGAAATATTTGGCTACAGTTGAACATAGAGTCGACTGGTGATCAAACTTGTTGAAGGAATGGAGTTCATATCTATAACCGTTTTCAAGTTTCAGACTGGTCCAAATTAAATCGGCGGAGTATATTTGGAGAGAATTGGGCCGAAAAAGTATTATAGGACAGACCAATTTTTTGAACGGAAGATTTTTTTGCAAAAATTTTATGATTACTTTTCCTGCAAGACAATGTAAACTTCATTTGAATCACGCCCAAGAACGTCTCCATTCCACTTGGCACGTTATACGCTGTGTATATCCGTGCTACCCTCAACTTATTTCCAATTTTTATTCAAATGTTTGCTCGAATTTTGCGAACTTTAGACTTTTTTAAAATTAGTTTTCTCCCACGAATTCTTCCCGCTCTAATGTCCATGTTTGTATTTCCGGAAGGCGTTTGTTTTGGCCGTTTCTCGACGACGGACCGTTCCCAAAATGAGGTTTTTTGAACGACGAATTTGGCCAGTGGTGTCTGTGGAGTAAATGCGGTTACATTTTACCCCACATTTCTGTCATGTTTACTCAAGTTTTTGAGGGAATATTTCGTTTTTAGAGTAGAATATCCGGCCGATACTTTGTGCGATATGAGGGGCTTTCGGTGATACGGATTGATGCCACATTTGGCAACGTTTGGGACTCGTTTTCGATTAGCGCTTCCGAATTTTCGTATTTGCTTTGCAATGCTGGCATTTAACGGAGTTTGTAGGCTAGAGACTATGGGAAAAGAGGAGAGGAGGGTAAAGAAACAACTGTCTAAATTTATATAGGTTGGAACAAAAGTATTCCCCAAAATTTTCAGGAAAAGTTATTGAAGTTGTGGAACTTTCTAGAAAGTTCTATCATGTGACTTTGTAACAGTGATATGATAACATGTTGACTGATATATAACTTGTCCCCATAGCGCTGACCAAACGTGGAAAAATGGCCGTCTCAAAGTTGCTTGTTGGATGGGTCAAACTTTAAATTTCTGAACGAAAAACGAATTGAGAGCGTTCAGTTCCCGACTTCAAAGGTACCTGTTCAGCATCCAAAGAATCAAAAAAAAAGAAAAAAAATCATGTTTTATCCCGGAGAAATCTATTACCTTTATTAAAACGTATTGTATTTCGAAAGAAAAGGAAAGATAATTGTATAAACATAATTTCTTTTCCTTGTTTGGCTAGCCAAACCATTGGCCAGTCCATTCTCGCAGAGACTTCATTTGTAGTTTATTACGACTATACAGGCATGCCCATAACTGGCGCTGAAGATCACTTTAACTGAAGATCTGCGATTTCGTATGTTCATAAAACGGTGTGTCTTACAGGGCGGGCAAATCCACAAAGCTTATGTCTAGAGGCTACAAAATGGAGTTTTATGAGGATGGGCCAACGAATTGAGGCTTTGGTTAGGCAGCAAAGCGGTAAGATGATAATTGTCCATGAGTCAACCGTCTTTTTCCCCATGCCACTGTTTTCCGTCTAGAAAATTAATAGTGAATTTTTAATTTATGCATTATACGCCCTTAAAAAACGGGACAACAGTACGAGCTGCAAAGAACGGTCTTTTATTTTCCGTAAATACACAAGACCTCCAGTAATGGTGATTATAATTCAGGGCCACGTTTCGCAACCAACGAACCCATAAATTGATACAACTTTTTGGGCAAAATACGTCATCATTTGTTCCTCAAATTTGTACCGGAAGTATATACCTTCTTTGTTTGGTAATACATTCTACACGGTCCATTCAAATTTCCTTATATTATACGTTGAGGACGCTCTCGAGCTTTCACGGAAGCTCATAGCGGGCCGGTTTTATCAAACCCGTGGGCGTGTTTAGTCAATAGTCATGAGAAGACGTTCCTTTTTGTTCCGCCAGCTTTCGCTAATTCTATTTGACCTTCTTTGTTACATACGCAATATGAGAACGTCTGAGGAAATGGCCAGCACAATGGAGCAGGGCTTTTAAAATACGTTTGGTTCACTGGGGTTTGAGAAATATGGAAACAATTGATTCTTTTTTAGGAATTGATTGCAAAAAAAATTATCGTGTAAAAAGTTGCCATAATTTCCGTGGTTTGTGAAATAATATTTGGAATGAAAATTGGCATTCTGTTCGAGGTATGGAGCATTACTGTTCTATACATAAAAAAGATTTTTTTGTGAAATTTTTTGCTCCCAGTATATGTACTGCAATTTGGGCATTGGAATGTTTCGTTTTTCAAGTAAAGATGGCTGCAAATCCCAATAAATTTTACAGCCTTATTAGGGAAAATTTTGGAAATTCCGTGGTCATAAAACACTCTAGGTTTGAATATCAACCAGACTTGAATTTTTGCCCGGTTTACGCCGAATTTTGAACGGAATTTCATTTTTCGGCTATCAAAATTTAAAAAAAACGTTCGAATTTTCTGATTTTAGGTGTGAAAAATTTTTTAAGACTCGAAAAATTTAAAAACCCTCTTAAATTTTTTTTGTCATCCTTTCTTACCGGTCCCATCTTTCCAAGAATTTTCATTGATCTTTGACTGTTTTATTGGCAACAAAAAATTAATTTCGGCTTTATTTGGCCAGCTAATTAATATTTAAACAAGCCCGCGACAGTAGCACAATCCATCAACGCCGTCTGTTTTTGGAATAATTTTGGATTTTTTTCTGCATAAAAGTGCAACGATTGGGTGGATAGTATTCTTTTTTCTGACTCTTTTAAATGAATCATTATTTTCGAATTTTTTGAAACGTTTCTGAGAGACCACACACATTAAATACGAGTTATGGGTGGATTTGTGTCGGCAGTATGTAATTAATAATTTAGAGACGAACTGGGGGTGGGTGTAGGAATTTATGGTACATTTTTTGTAATTTATGGACGTGATTTTGTTATTTATATAACAAAATGAAGTCAAATAATCGTATTTTATAATATAAAAAATTGATTTTTTTTACATTAATTTTTTTTTAATTTTAATTTTTTCTGCCAAAATTTTTTTCGCCTTTATCGACAATTATTGGTCGAAATATTAGAGCCTCTTTGATGTGTAGATCGGCAAAAAAGAAGATTTTTTGCACACAAACTTCAAAAAAAAATTTTTTTTTCTCTGGCCGTCTCTCCTCATTTTCATAGGCTCTCGTCTCCAAATATTGCCGAATACGACTATGTTTGCAAGACAAGCTAAACTTTTTTTATAAAAAAAAGTTGTTTGCAAAATTTAATTTCATTTTTTTGCAAT